AGGACCCTCGCCACTGCTAGACGCTGCTTCTCCCCTCCTGAGATCATCAGGCCTCGTTCACCAACTTGCGTCTGGTACTTCTGAGCCATGCGTTCAATGGTGTGATGCACGTTCGCTTTCTTCGCTGCCTCCACAACTTCCTCGTCTGTTGCCGATATACGGCCATAACGGATATTGTGCATCACGTCCTGATGGAAGAGCGGTGTGTCCTGTGGTACGACGCCAATGGAATGTCGGAGGCTGTCCAAGGTAACGTCGCGCAGATCTTGACCATCAATGAGAATCCTTCCCGCGTCTGGCTCGTAAAACCTGAATAGCAGTCTGAACACTGTGGATTTCCCAGAACCGCTAGGTCCAACGATAGCGACCTTCTTTCCTGCTGGGATTGTGAACGATATGTCTCGGAAAATGGGGCGCTCTGGATGATATGCAAAGGCAACACGATCGAATTTGATTTCGCCACCTTTCAACACAAGTGCCTTCGCTCCAGGGGCGTCCTGAAACCAGTGTCACACCGAGTACATCGTAAATAGCAACGGTCAACGTACCACAATGAGTTTGTTCTTGCGGCGAACATTGAACAGAACTTCCATATCAAGCAAGCTCTGCCTCAGGTCCCGGTATACGGTTCCGAGGAAGTTTAATGGTAAAGACAACTGAAACACGAGCTGGTTCACCATCACCAGATCACCAACAGTCATATGACCTAATGGGGTATTAGCCCACGTCTGTATCTTTCGAATGCGGACAGACCATTGATGACGCCCTGTACAGCAAGGAACATCATGATAGTCAAAGCTGAGGAGAAGATGATGTTCTGTCCCGAGTTAAGGTAGGAAAGGGATGTTGCTATCTTTAATGATGCGTCTTCGTAATGGGCCAGATGCTTATCATACTTTGCAACTTCGAATGCTTCGTTGTTGAAATGTTTCACCGCTTCGTAGTTGATCAATGAATCGACAGCAGTGGTGGCCGCACTGTTATCAGCGTTATTGGCCTCCCGGCGGAAACGCGTGCGCCAGGCAGTCGTCCTGATGGTAAACCAGGTGTATGATGCCATCGCAAGCCCAGTTACGATCGCATAGTTGGCTCCGTAACTCCAAGTCTGAGATGCGATCAGATTCAATGCCGTCCAACGACCACAACTATAACTTACCAATATGCCACATACCATGGCAATTTCTAACGCAATGGGAGCAATGTGAAACACCATTGCAGTCAGGATGAATGTGATGCCTCTAGTTAGGTATGAGTAACCAAGTACTTGATACACTGGCAAGTCCGCACTTCGTTCCGCGGTCAATAGCTCTTGTGAGCCCGCCTGTTTGGCGAGATAAGTGGAACTTGAGGTCGAGATTCAGGACATGCTCGAACGTATCTCGCGCTACACGTCGTATTGCACGCTGGGCAACATCGGCGAATATGGCGTTCCTCAGTTCGCTGAAAACCGTTGACATAATTCTAGCCAAGCCATCTTATTTGCCCCAGTAAGTACCCATCTCTCCCAGAGGCAGATGGTACATACATCCGGCAATCACCGCTCCCGCCACCACCCACACAGTCGTATCAGCGGTTATTGGCACATTAAGGGCATCCACAACTCCTTTGAAGAAAAATGGGACTTGCACGGTCGCGATCTGGGTTTCATGTCAGTTAACTGAAGTGCAAGCAAGCAAGGTGCATTCGCACCTTCCCGACGATAAGCAGAGCAAATGCAGCCACCACCCTAGCTTTAACATCCCATTCTCCCTTGGACCACACGTTGACTGCTAGTTGCTTGATAATGTTCCAATCTGACTTTCGTTGTTCAGCCGGAGACAAATGCCAGGTATCCTCCCCCTGCTCATCTCCGGATACTGGCGGATGTGAGTTTACTCGAACAGCAGCTTTCAGAGAGGCTTTTGCTATCAATGCGCTGGGTATGTCTGCCGGAGTAACTGCTTTAGTTTGGACATCAGCTCCTAGAGCGGTTGATTCGGAGGGATTAGGGGATAAACGAGTTGAGTAATGTCTGAACCTCGGACATTGGAGGGCGAGGGGCACCGCGAATGTTAATGTGCTGCCAGACGTTAAACGTCTCTCCCACGCATGATGGGTAGAGATAGAACCAATATATCTCTCCGAGGTGGAGAAAGCACAATTGGTTGAAAGTCGTGTCTTCTTTAGCTGGTGTGATTGTGCTACCTGAGATCGATGAACCAGGTTGATGTCAGCGATTTGCTTGGCCTTCTGTGCTACCAGTGCGCACCTGTAGATGCCCTCTACATATCCTGAGCAATGAGCCCAACACAGAGGACTGTCCTCGTGGGACCATCCCTCGAGCGGAACGTGGCGGACGTAAGTTATGGCGGGAACTTGTTACTGAAGATAACGGTCGTCATCCAGCTACCCCCTTGGGCGCCGATCTCCCGATGTCTCCGAAGCCAGTGAGGCATTTTCTGGATTTTGAATGCTTACAACTAGTCCAGGTACCGTCAAGGTGAGGGATTTATGCTGCACTGCGACGGCCGAAGATCTCTGGGGAGCGATCCACGTTGTCGTGAACAGTCAGGATAGGGGTTGTTACATCGACTTACCTCAAATCACATACCCTTGGAAGCCGGAGGTAAGTGAGGTATATGAAAGGTCACTCCACCAACTGGAGCGTAATATGTTTAGTTTGAATGCGGCCAAGGGATGCTGCACTCCGACGGCCGAAGTCTCCGTCGGAGATGTGACTTCGGCGAGCAATGTAACCGATCTTCTTTTGAATAACAACCATAACAAGTGTCTAACTATTCGATGCGTGTGCCGTCTGAAACATGGCTCATTGCGCTCAAATATCCTGCATCGAGTCAAGGGAACAACGTATTCCTTCCCTCATACTGCATATGCAGCAGACGGCAGGGCCAAACGGTTCTTCAGCGCATCCTCTGAAACAATAGCATCCTTCCACTTCTCTTGCACCTCATCTAAATCCCAACATACGGAGACGTATCGGCCCGAAAGATAGTCGTCCTTCCCTTGCTGAGAGTTCCGTCAGCCGAGAGAACTAGTACGGAAGGAAAACAGACGCACAACAAGCCGAACCATCGCCCACGCCGGTAACTGAACATCGTCATTGAGCACCTTGGCGAGCTCCGGCCCGCCAGCCTTGGACAACTCGGTCTTCACTCCTCCGGGGTGGATCGCGAACACCTTTACCCCGTCTGGAGCAGCCTCTGGGATTGGAGAAAGCATTTGATCAGCTTTGGACGACGGAAGATATTGCGTACTCACCCATAGCGGCAAATTCGGCGACTCGGTTGATTGCGTGCTTTCCACTCTGGTAGCTCGACGCACCAGCACGACGGACTATCGAAGCGTCAGACTGTTTTACAAACTACGTGCTATGTGACGCACTTTGTGCACCAACTGAGGAAACAAAGATGAAGTATCCTTTGCTTTTGCCAAGTACCGGAAGAGTGTAGCTAAGCACCAAAGATCAACAGACATTCCAACTATTCTGCAGATATTCGACGTACTGCGCAACATTGAAGGAGCCTTTGACATTGACCTCCCATGTCCTCCACCAGACATCCGGGTCACGCTGGGCGATCGCTAGCGTGTTCACGCTTAGCGGTGAATACATGAGATCTAGTGGATGTTGCTCACTTTGTGTGAAATCTTCCATAGCCCCCGAATTGCTTATCACAACATCTATCTTCCCGAACTCCTTCACACAGGCCCCTACGGCATCTTTGACACTTGCATGATGCACAACGTCCGTAGTGTGCGTCGCGACTTTGGCATTTGGCACAGCGCGCAGAATGTCAGCCTTGACAGTCTCGAGAGTCTCTTGTTTGCGGGAGGCGAGGAAGAGGATCGCACCAGATTTGGCGAACGCAATCGCAGTCGCCTCCCCGATGCCACGAGAGGCACCGGTGATGAATACGACCTGCGTCAGATCTGAGCTTCATGATGCATACCAAAGGTGCGCGGGATACATACCTTGCCTGTGAGCGTACCCGTGAACTTGCTCGGCTCAATACCCGGATAGATGTTGTTATGGTGGGTTACCGGAAGGTCTTCCATAGGAGCGGGCATGACGATATCCACCGAAAGATTTCACGTAGGGCAGCGGCGTAGGTGAGCGAGCGGCTTGTAGCGAAATACGCCGTAACCCATAACTGTCGTTCGCTGGCTTTTGTAGGGAAATCACCGTATGTATGTATAAGTGTCCATTTCAGGCACGAAGCCCAAGAGAAGGGTCGACACAACGGACCGTGGAATGACAACATTAGAAATGGAGGTCGCGGAAACACCTTTACCATAGGAATATGGCTGACCCTACATGTTCCTACGAGGCTGATTTCACTAAGGATATCGCGGCATGACTAAATGAGTACTGCTGGAGTATTTTGGATCCAAGTGTATCATCACTATGATCTCAGAAGTACACCTGTCATGCGCCGGAAGGCAGCGCCAGTCGGTTCTTGAGCGCATCGTCCTCGAGAATAGCATTCTTCCAGTCGTCATGCACCTCGTCAAGGTCCCAATTGACAGAAATATATCGACCAGATAAATAGTCTTCTTTGCCTTGCTGAACGAGTGTGAGACGAGAGCAACCAGTTCAATCATAGAACGCACCACAAGCCGCACCATCGTCCACGCTGGCAGCTGAACATCGTCTATGAGCAGGGGAGCAAGGAAGTCCCCACCCGATTTGGCCAGTTCGGTCATGACAGCTCCAGGGTGTACGGAAAAGACCGTCACACTGGGAGATTCTGCGTTTCTTTTCAGCCACAACGCTGGTAGGGCACACTGATTGTCCTAACCTATAGCTGCAAATTCTGCGATGCGATTGATAGCATGTTTTCCGCTCGCGTAGCCTGAAGTTCTGATGTCTCTGCCTGTGTCGTGGTTAGCAACAATGGGAGGGACTACAGTGAGCTGGCCCACGTTGTGCACCAATGGAAGAAAGCAACATGAGGTACCCCTTCGTTTTCTCAAGTTCAGGTAACGTAAAACTGTGGCACCTTAAATGAAAGAAAGTTGCTTTCACCCAAGGAAACACCATACTGAGCGACGTTGAAAGATCCTTTGATGTTCACTTCCCACGTATGCCACCAGACACTGGGTTCTTGTTGAACGATTGCTGCATCAATCTCAGCTATCTAGCTTAGCGCTAGTCATGAAACCATATGAACTCTTCCATAGTACCGGCATTGCTGATCACCACATCGATCTGCCCGAACGCAGTCAGGCATCCCCTGACCGCCTCCTGAACCTGCAGATGATCCACGACATCGACCACCCATGTTTCGATATTCGCGTTCGGGACGACCTGAAGAATGCTATCCTTAACTTTGTCCAGCGTTTCTTTGTTCCGAGCCACTAGGAACAGTGATGCACCGGACCTGGCGAACGCGATGGCGGTTGCGGCACCAATCCCGCGAAAGGCACCGGTGATGAACACAATCTGTCCCAGTTGAGTCGATATACTCCAGTATCAGGAACCACGTGCTTACCTTATTGGTGAGCGTATTTGAGAATTTGGATGGCTCTATGCCGGGATAGATAGTATGGTGGTGCGTGACGGGCAGGTCCTCAGCCGGCACAGGCATCTTTTTGACCACTCCAATCAGTCCCTTCGAAGATGGATTTGAGGACGCAACGAGTTTTTCGAGTGCGCGTTATGGTGGGATTTATCTTCATATATGCGTTTGTTGAGGGAGAGGTTGCTTGTCCGCACGCGCGATGAGCAAGTTGTGGCGAACGAACCGAAGAACCTATGTGGACGCGCCGACCGCGAGGAAGGACATCATTCCACCCCTGACAGTCACAACGACAGCCTCCCAGGCAGTTCGGAGCGCGTTGCTCTCCAAGCTTATCGTATGAAAGCCTGCTTATGAAGCAACCAATGTCTGCGGTCGAGTTCGCACCAAAACTGCTGACGAGAGCAATGTTGTCTCGGTCGGATTTGGTCCGCAGTAGAGCACTTCGCACCGGCACGGCCGATCCCCATATGCGATCTATAGTCATGGACTTATGCTCTCTACTTGTTTCTCAGTACTATGCAGCGTGGAACCTAGAAGGGAGTCGTGGACTGGATCAACAATCTCTCGCTTCCGATGCCGGGGTAGCTCTCGAGTTTCTTGTTCCTCTGAGGGAACACGAAGCGCATGCTTCTATCTAAGGTTCTTCGGATGCTTGGTCGCCGTGGTCCTCTTGCCCCAGGATGATATGTTCACAATCCTCGTTAATTGGATAGTATGCGACAAGTTCTTCGAACTCTCTGCCTCTCTGTCTCGCCTGCTAGGCTAAGTTGCGGTAACCACGAGCGATTAACTCGATCTACGCTACCAGAGGCAGCAACAACCTGCTCTTCATCGCATCATCTCGGATGATGCCGCCTTTCCATTTCGAAGCTACCTCATCAAGGTCCCAGTTGCAAGAGACGTATCTTCCCGACAAATAGTCATCTTTCCCCGTCTATTGCACCTTTCATCAATGGGGACATGCGGCATCAAAGGATCACGTACCGCGAGGCGGACCGTAGTCCACGCTGGCAACTGAGCGTCGCCAATGCATAACTGCATGATTTCCTGACCAATGCATTCCGCCATTGCGGTTCTCACTGCTCCTGGGTGGATAGAGAAGGTTTTGACCTCTGGATGCTCCGGAAGCTTATCAGTTCTCAGCCAACGCGTCTTCCCGGTCGACATACCCACCACGATGAACTCGGAAACCCGGTTCAAAGCATGTTTGGTGCTAGACAGCATGTTTGAGCATTGTTGTGCTGTCAAGGCGACTTGTTGGAATACCTCAGATAGCTGGACCATCCAGGATCCACAACTTCGAGGTCGTCAACCGATGACCAAAGAGATGGATTTGTGGCTGCTCACGGTGTGCTCCTATACTCGACACGAAGATCAGGCGTCCTCCCACTTTCGAAAGGTGTGGGATGGTATAGCTAGACCAGTGAGTGGATATCCACATTCTGATTTCTCTGGTGTAGCCTACTGGGCAACATTGAATGAACCTTTAACGTTGACCTCTTGCAGATCCCCATGAGCCACTTTATCATATGCGAAGAATTTCCACTCACCCAAGTAGACCACCACTCCTCGGGATCTATGCGTTCCATGCCTATAAATCTTGTCAACACATCCACGCCCCTCAACAACAAGTCCGCATACTCATGTTTGGCTGCGCCACACCTGAATTGCTGATCACGACGTCAAGTTTGTCGAATATATCAATGCAATTCTGAACTGCGGCCATCACATCTTTCGGCTCGGCGACATCGGTGACCTGATATGCCACCTTTGCACCGGGAATCTCTTGGAGAATGTCGTTCTTCACCCTTTCCAATGATTCGAGCTTGCGAGACGCCAGGAAAAGAAAACCCCCTGCCTGGGCAAAGGCACACGCCACGGCTTTCCCAATACCTCGCGATGCCCCGGTCAAAAAAGACCTCCAACAATATGAGAATAGTTCCATGGACGAAGGAATCACGCTTGCCTTTCCATTCATGGAACCGTGAAACGCGGATGGGTCGATCCCAGGGTAGACGTTGTGGTGGAGTGTCACCGGCAGATCTTTCATATTGAAAGACATATTCAGTGAAAGCGTTTTCCCCGTCAATGGCAATCGTCTTTCACCTGGTTCTCATTATATACGGTTAGGGATCCACGAGGACCCTCCGTGGGCCAAGAGTGAGAGAGGACTTCCCCTTAGTCTCTGAGTCATTACTGGTGTGTGGTCTTGACCATTTCATCTTTCCCACGAACTAGGTTTGGACGAAATCCGCCGAACCAAAGAGGAAAGAAGCATGATGCCCGCGAACATTGAACTGGATCGCCGGGGCCCTGCGATTGGCTCAGGGTTCCTCCACGGGCATCGAATCCGAAGCCAGGTGTTGTTGCTTCGTATGATTGGCGAACTGAATGGTGCCCGCCGGCAAGCCCCAGCCCACACTTCCACAAACCTGGAGCGTATGCGTTCCATTCAAGAAAGTATCTTGGTGGTCTTGCAGTCCAACGGCCACTTGCTATTATTCTAATCCCCACGTCTTTTGCTTCCGTGACGTGCACCTAAGGCGCTAAACGAAGCCTGACGGAGATAATTCTCTCGCGATAACGGTCGACTCACACGAATCCATTCCACAACGTAAAACAAGAAATGCATCATATCTGGTCTGTGAACGAACTCGTTGACGCAATCATAAGTTGCATCGATCTGGAAGATGACGGTGCCCGTTCCACTCTTGCCAAGCTTGCCCGTACATCTCGCCTGTTTTTCACCCCAGCAACACGATACCTATGGGCCGATGTCGACTTGGCAGCGATGCACTGCCTTCTCAATGCTTTGCGTGTTCGTCCATTATGACTCGGACCCCGTGAAACACTCGTAACCGCCGGTATTTAGATCGGATTGTGGGCCAACAAGACTGGATCAGAGCGAGCTGCTCGTTGTAGCTTTTATGAACGCCATATCCGAGTTCTCACTGTGGGGCATGATATGTACCTGGACCTTGGCGACGGAGAAGTGCAAAGTATTATTCTGGGCGAAGTTCTCCATGGATACCTGGACATGTTGAGACTTCGTGTCGAGGAGTTTAACGGCCGTTTCCCCGGCCTTCTTACTCTCCGCGTGGCATTTCCCCGAAACCTCGAGATTCAAGATGCCATCTTCTCGATGGCAAGGATATGCTTGGTGCCGTCTCTGTGCAAGGTTTGGTGCTCGGCGATGGATGTTTTCATACCCTCGACAGCCTTCTCATCGAACGCAGCCCTCGCTTTCTTCCAGGCTATTCCCGCGCGATGCCCCCACCTACAAGTTTGGCACCTTGATGTGGAGGAGTCCGAGGACGTTATGTCCGACGATTTCGCGGCACCATCAGAACTGATCAGCGTGACGAGATCGGTGATTTCGCAGGTTCCAAATCTATGCTGTTTCGCAGCTCCTGCATGGTGCTTGATTCCGTCAATTTACGACGCTCTTGCCCGTCAACCCCTCCTCGGGCAGATCAAGATCACAGACTCGAACGAGTCAGTCCCGGATTACTACGATCTTGCCCGTCAACGTTCGAATGACATTCCAGCACATATGCCCTGGTTTCCTCGACTAGGCGTACTCCATTTTCAAGGTCATGAGGGGCTTGTCCTCGACGTTCTCCCTGATCCAGCCAGAATGGGCAGTGACGGGAGTACAATCAGTCAAATGCCCCTGCTTCATACGGTCGATATCTTTGCAGGTAGGTCAGATGCACATGAAGATCCATCGCGGATCCCGTCATTGGTCAAGATCATAAATTATCTGCAATACTGCCCAAAGATCACCCAGCTTGAACTATTCATGGACTTCGCCCCTGCTCCATCGGATGCTGATATCGAACTAATCGCGACACCCTGGCCCGCTCTTCAGGCTCTATGCATTTCACCATGGTCTATGAGTGGGAGGGCGGCTGCAGCGCTCACCTTGAAGAGTTTGCTGATCCTGGCCGCGCGTTGTCAAGAAATAGATCGAATCGATCTGCATTTATGTCATGGTCTAATACCAGAAGTTCCAGCCCAGCATCAGATCTCCCGGGCATCGCCCTGGATCACCTTGTCATTGACACAAACAACATCTGAGGACTTTCTCCGACGTTTCTTCCGGAGGCTCTGGCCAGGCTTCAGGAGGGCAATACTCGTCCCATAAGAGATGTGGGAAGGTAACGATTTTACTTTCCTCTTTGCGACCCTGATTTATCAATCGAACCCTTGATACAGATTTTATGTAGGAATAGTTCGCCCTGTATACCATTATAATACGAAGTGGAATAGAATGAATTGACTACTAGTGGGAGGTTCCGACTGCGCAGCGATGACAAGCAACGGCCTAAGGTAACGCAAGCCGGTTCTTAAGCGCATCATGCTCCAGGATTTTGTTCTTATACTTTTCTGCCACCTCATCCAGATCCCACACGGAAGACACATATCTCCCAGCAAGGTAGTCCTTGGATCCACTCTGTAGCTATTTGAGCCCACAGCTACCCCTGGATGACAGCAACATGTACCACAAGCCTGACCATGGTCCACAGCCCTATTCACCCAATTTGGCCATCACCGCACTATGATCTGTGGGTTGTGTCCAGACATGGACATTCTCCCTGCTCATTCTGTCCATTGTCCACCAGCAGCAATCATCCACTTGCCACTGGCAACTATTACGATTTAGTCATGCCCCAAATGCCAAATGACAGCACACCCCAGTGTGTCAGGGGATGTTCCCAGATTTGGCCAGACATGACAGCAATTGACATCAATCTAAGCAATAACCACCGAAACATCCTGAATGACAACCGAACACCCAAACCATGAAACCAGGTAACTCCTAATCATTGATTGTACCTTGTCATTAGACATGACACCGTATGGAGCCTGCCCTAAATCACTGTACAGTCAGCCACATGGCTTTGCTTCCATTTTGCTTCCATAACCTAGTAGTATTTAGTCTTAGGTACAACCACTGCAGCTCCTTAGAGCTGATCTCTTAGGAACCCCATGGTCCAAGGTCATTAGGCTCCAAATCCAAAGCTTTAATCATTTCAGATGTGCACACAACACACACACAATTGTGCCTGTCAGCTGCCAATCACCACTTACACTATAGAACCCCTGCCAATCACTCTATTTGTGAACAAACATCAAGGTATTGATTGACATACCACTCACTACTCTCCAATTTGCTTGTCACCTGTTCAGTTATTCAATCATCAACAATTGTTGAATCATGTTGCCCTCACACAGTGTGAGCTTCCACATCTGGGTGCTTCTCCTTGCTAGCAAGGATAAATGTGCATACAACACAGAACCAGTGCAGCAGCTGCATTGGGTATCCTGGCTAATCATGGTGGGATTGGGTATGTGGAAAGTGCAGAGTGGGACAAGCTGAGAAATGCATCCTCAGAGGATGCATTTCTCAGCTTATCATTGATGACAATGAGAGCATCACAGAAGACCACATAATATTATGTGGTCTTGTGTAATACTCTTGTCCCATTATCACTCCATTTTCAGAACCAGGGACATCATGTTGTGTGAATAGGGAGAAGCACTATTGTTTTGGGCACTGCTCTGTCTTCCTTTCCACCTGGGATAAAGAAGCAGCCAAGGGTTCGCTTCCTTGCATGCTGTGTGAGAGGATCATATTAAGTACTGACTTGGGTGCTTCTTACCCTAAGTTCTCTGATGCTGCTTGGCCCACTCTTTGATGTGTTACCTTGCTGGGTCTTTCTGGCCGTGTTGTTCAGCGCTTGCCCAGAACGGGATTTGTGAAGTGTTGTTCTCAGTACTTCCCTGCGTTGTTAGTGCATTCGGCCGGTGGATGCGAGATCCTAGGTCCATGTCATCATTGAGGACGCTCAGCAGGAGTTCGCCACCAGCCTCTTCACTCCTCCGGCATGGAGGGAGAACACTGTCACACCGGCCTTGCCATGCTCTGCGGATACCGAATCAGCCTCGTTAGTATCGAAGGAGAGACGTAAACGCGTACCAATGTCCGCAAACTCTGCAACCCGGTTGATAGCGTGTTTCGTGCTTTGATATGCTGAGCTTCCGGGTGATCTGACTAAAAAAGGTAGCGCGGGTGAGCAGTAAGAGAGAGGGACTAGAAGGCAAGAACACGAACACTGAGCGGCCACGCTGCCCACGAAGATCAAGTAGCCTCGTGTTTTCTCCAGGTAGGGAAGGGCATAGCTGACACGGAGTTATCAATTAAAAGATGCAGTGGGGCAAACAAGGCGCACTGTGCAACGTTGTACGATCCACGTACATTCACTTCCCAAATGTTGCACCACACATCTGGATCTTGGTCCGCCATCTCTGCAGCAACACGTCAGTTCGTGCCTGCTTGAGCATACTTATCGATCGATAGAACTCACTAATACCCAATACCTCCATCGCACCAGAGTTACTGATTACCACGTCCACTTTTCCAAACAGCTCTATACATTTCCGGAATGCCTCTCCAACCTGCTCATGTCGCACGACATCCGCTAGTGCGGTGCCGACATGGGTACCTGGAAAACGTGTTTCGACCTCCTTCACGGTCTTGTCAATGGTTGCCTGGTTTCTCGAGACCAAGAAGAGAGATGCGCCGCATTCTGCAAAGGCGTATGCGGTGGCTTTCCCGATACCGCGCGAGGCACCGGTGATGAAGACGACCTTGCCTTTGTAAGAGTCTCGGAACTTGGAAGGATGGATGCCCGCATAGACAGATTGATGGTGCTTCACTGGCAGATCTTCAGCAGGAGGTGCTATTGGAATGAAGCAACAGGATCCCTGCAGTCCACAGCACTGTGCTTGCCATCGTCCTCCACTTATAGGCTTAAGAGGGTGATCGTTGATGCGAAGGGACGGGGACAGGGAGGGAGTGATCCAGGGACAATGGAGGGCGTCGTAGGACCACAATAACACAATTCCATTGAATGCCGTGCTTGTTTGTACATTACGTGTATTCACAAATCTGCCCTAGCCTCCTCACCTGCCCAGCACCGCCGTATGACTTCCCGAATCTTGTCCTTCTCGATATCTCTCGGATTCCAGTACGGGTTTCGAGTAGCAATCTCAGCTGCCTTGTCGACATCCTCCTCCTTCATGCCAAACTCTTTCAGTCCCCGCTTGACCTTCAGCTTCGTGAGAAGTATGTTCAAGCCGTGGATCGCATCGCCGTCACTGCCAGGAAGGGCGTCGGCCAGTTTGTGCATCACCTCCGGAATGGCGGGGGCATTGTATGCCAGTGCATGAGGGAGGACGATTGTGTGCGTTTCTGCGTGGGGGAGATTGAAAGACCCCCCAAGTGTATGGCACAGTTTGTGGTGCAATGCCATACCGACATTACCGAGAACCGCGCCGCATAACCAGGCACCGTACAGGGCTTGGGAACGAGTATGGACGTCAGAGGGGGTTGCGACGACAGTAGGAAGGGATGCTGCGAGTGAGCGAATGCCTTCGAGTGCCATTAGGGACATGATTGGATTGCCGTTTTGCGCATATAGCCCCTCAACTGACCTGACGTTAGTATTGAAGTACGAGTTACTGAAATGCTGCAAACGCACCTGAGTGGGCGATCGCGTTCACACCGCTCGTCGCACTCAGACCAGACGGTAAGGTCATTGTCAGATCCACATCGTAAATGACTGCTGTAGGTAGGATCTTGGGATCGCTCCTCGTCCTCTTCTCTCCTCCAACCGTCTCTCCCAAGATAGGTGTCATCTCGCTTCCAGCATATGTTGTAGGTACGCTGAGGTGTGGCAAGCCCGTACGCACAGCGAGCGCCTTACCCAGCCCTGTCGTTGAACCCCCACCAATGCTCACTAAGCTGTCCGCACCAGAGGACTTGAGGAACTCAAGCGCTTCGTCGGTGATATGCCCGGGGGTGTGCATCGTCGCCTTGGGGAAGACACCGGCGGGTGTGATGCCCTCCCCAGACTTGACGACCTCCTCAATCTTCTCGGCTTGGAATGTCTGTTCAGGAGTACAGAGGATCAGCGGTTTGCTGACTTTGAGACGGTGGAGTTCCGCGGGCACTTTCGCGAGCGTTCCGCTACCGAAGACGACGCGCAGAGGCGCTTGGTTGTATTCGAACGAGGACATCGTTAGACGCCTTGCTGGCAGACTCCGATGACGGGCTGCAAGAGAGGATGCCCTGCTTTTGAGGAGGGAGAGAGATGGAGGGAGCATTACATGGTCGGCAGTGAGCGACGACAAGTAGATATATGTACGGTCATGAGAGTCGGAGGCTGACCCTTACTCGCTTGATAGTTTACCCAGTTATAAACAATTTTCCAACATACATCACACATACACTTGTACGTTCCTTCAGAAATCACTCCAATTTGAACTCTCTGACTCATTCGTCCTACATGATTCTCCAGTGCGTCCTCCGGCATCTTCATCCACATCAGCTGCGTTGTCGGTCGGGGTTTTGGGATTGAGCTGAGTCGCCACAGTCCACTCTTCGGGGGTGACAACATCTCGGAGATTGAGGTAGATTCTATGCGTAGATTAGATGACATGGTAGAGACATACAGCGTCTTGCGTACCTTCCGATTAGCATCGTCGAAATAGTCCAATCCGGTACACGGACAAATACGTACACATAGCCAATGAAGAAGAGTGGCTCCTGTCATTCGAACAAGTCAGATCGTGGTACTGTAAATATCCAATGGAATATTTGGCACCGGTAAGGCAAAGAATGAGATTAGGTTGAGGATATTCATAGCTGCGTCCCTCGTTGAATTCTCCTTCTGGGTGGGAAGTTGAGGACGCTCACCTAGAATGATCTAACACGGAACAAACATCAATGCTGAGTGGGGCGCAGGTTATTGAACAAAACAGGCATACCACATTATAAAGTATTCCATCGAGAATAAGACATGCCATTACCTCTGATGTACAGCCAGCTAGCAAGGAGCCCCGTTCGTAGGCCTTGTAGAGTAGCAGTAGACAAATTAGCCCTTGAAAAAAGATCTCAGGGGGCAAAACTCAGTTTTTCTCTGATGCTCAGCTGGATTAACAACTTACGTCTGAAGCCAGAGTGACCCATACGTAGGCCGGTTTGTCGAGAACAGCGCAAAGTTGTGAGGCGTATCGGACGTCCTGGGTTGCTGCAGGGAAACAGATTAGACTGAATCAGGATAACACTGAAAAGCAGAACATTTCGCCCAGGAATCGCTTGTCAGACTCAGGATGACGACACCTGGCACCCAAGCCGACGCCCACAGAAGCCCAAACCAAAGTTGGCTGAATTTGACGGACTTCTTGTAGATGACCCAGGCTCGAATAGTGATGGGCCCTGCAGGGTGACCAGTCAGTCTTGGGAGCTCTATCAAGAGTACCCCCACCCGCGCCAAGAACCCATCCAGAGACCGCAGAAAAGAGTATCATGAACGAGAAGAACTCGAAGCATCTGGGATTGGTTCAGCTGAATTGTCCAAAGTTTTACATCCAGCCAAAACCTAGCGCAAGACTATAGCATTAAGCCATCGAAATTATTGTCCGAAATTATCTGACTCACGTAACTTGAAAGACCGTTCCAGAATCCACCCATGACTAGCACCGCAAGGAGAGCATAATGAACGACAAAGATCTCTCGCCGTCGACTTGACTCACTCGGGATCGCGGTCGGGACACAGAGGAGTGTCGTATAGCGTTGGAATAGCAGAATATACTTGATAGCCGAGCGTCTCGACCGCCAAATTAGCCTGACCTATTTGTTCCGCTTAGTCCTAGATTTCACCGAACCGTGAATAAGCGCTGTATCTCTTTTGGTATCATCAAGAGCACGTCATAGCACAGTAGAGTCTAATAATGTGTCAATGTCATCATTGTGCACCTATAGTATCAGTAACTCACCACTCCTGCTGTCATTACATACTGAGTTATTCGAGCTTGGGCCAGATCCGTTTCATTTGCACTGGAGGAACTCATTGTACGCCGGGGATCACGCCGTGTCGCGTTCTCGGCAAACTTCTAGACTTTCAAGTGCATTATATGGGAGTGAATGCGCGGATAAGCAGGGACGTATATTGAATATTCCCACAGACAGCCTTCGTATCAGGAAGAAAGCCCTGCCCCCAATAAGATCCGAAGCGAACGCATGATGATGACGTCGAACGCAGTGCTTACAGTCAAGTGTAATAAAGCACTAAGCTGGCCGGCACAGCGCCGACATTCGCATTCCCATAGGCAATAATCCGCAGAGTCTGAGTAATCAGATGATCTCATCCAATGCAGACATCTCCGAGGGTATAATGCGCAGTGGTGTCCTCTGCAGGTCTTTTCAGCCATCTCGATAACGAGGACATGTCCGAAGGCAATCTAACGTCGCAGGTATTGCTGATTCCTAGACTAATATGTCCCTCGGCGTCTGAGCCGCTGTCATGGACCATCACTAAGAGAGCACACAAACGATGTTGACAAGTTGATGATAATCAAAAGCTGTTGTGCATCCGAGAAGTCGTGGCAAAATTAGAGCACGGAGCCAAATTGGGATCTCCAGCAACACGTGCCTTGATCGATTTCAAATATTACTCCAGTCCGAACTCTGCGTCGAGTTCGCTGTGAGTCTTTCTATTCTGTGTTCTCTGACTCTTGGATCCGTGTTATCTACATCTTCGGCTAGGCTTGTTGGGTAAAGTTGAGTTGCCCTGGTCCACTCCACGGGGCTGGCAACGTCTCGGAGGTTTAAGTAGATCCTAGGTGAACCTCAGATGTTGTGTTGAAAACACGTCTCACTCGAATACCGGTACCTTCCAATCAACGCGGTCGAAATTGTCCAGCTTGGTCTACACCGGTTGAGTAGCTTGATGGTAGGTGCAGACAAATACATACGCACACATATGCAAAGAATACGAGCGGTTCCTTTCATTCACCCGAGTCAGCCGTAGACTTACACGTATCTTCAATAAACAACACGCACAGGCAGTGCGAAAAAAGAGATTAGGTTGAGGATATTCATAGCTGCGTCAACCGTTGGACCCCCCTTCTCCCGAGGAAGTTCTTGACACCTACCTAATATGACCTGCAGCGCAGTGCCACACATCAGTATTGGATGCAAACAGGATGATCCAGCAAGACAGGCATACCACATTATAAAATATACCGTCAATAATCAAGCATGCCATCAACTCCCATGTCGAATCCGTTCGCAAGTATCCATTCTGGTAAGCTTTGTAGATCAGCAGCAGGCAAATCGATCCTTGGAAGAACATCTTCAAAGATGTTTCTTAGTTTATTCGGTCGTGTCATCCAACAGGTTCTGCGACTTACGTCCCAAGCCACAGTAACCCACAGGTAAGATGGCTTGTTAAGAATGGCGCATAATCCCGGCACGGAGAGGTATTGAACGTCCACGGACGCTAGCCGCCAGACACATATTAGAATGAATCAACAGACTGCTCAAAGACCCAACAGGTTGCCCACAGGCTGCTCATCATACTCATAATGACGAGACCTGGTACCCACGCGGAAGCCCACAGAATACCAAACCAAAACGTGCTGAACTTGAGGTAGTTCTTGTAGATGATCCACGCTCGAAAAACGATCAGTCCTGCAGGGATACCGCTCAGTCTGGAAGACCATCGTTGGGTGTACAACTTACCGCCTCCTATGGCCCAGGCCAAAAACACGCCGAAAATTGCCATGAACGAGAAGTACTCGCAACATCTTCAGTGACAGCGGTTGAGATACGAAAAGGCCGTAAAAGGGAAGAATTCTAACGCACGACTGTGCCACTTAGTGATCGAAGACAACGGAGAGCGAAGCGCTTTACTCACATAACCAGAAAGACCACTTAGGAATCCTCCCATGACTGAGTTTCCGCACGGTAGATTCAATGAGTAACAGTGCGTGGTGACTGAAGGACGATCTAACTAACTCGGGATACCAGTGGGGACGGAAAAAAGCGTCGTATAGCGATGGAATAGGAAAAGATATTTGATAGCTGACGGCCTTGCTCTCCAAATCAACCTAATCTAATCATTCTGGTCAATATTAGATTTTCCGTAGACATGAACAAAAGGACTGTACCTCGTTTGGAAGCATTAAGACCACATCGTAGAACAGAACAGCCTGTTAACCAGTGTCAATACCACTCTGTGCCTATGACATTAGTAGCTTACTGCTCCTGCTGTCATTACATACTGAGTCACCCGAGCCTGGAACAATTCCGTTTCATTTGCACTGGTGAAATTCATTGCAGCATTGTCAATGTCGGAAGGCGATCTCTCTTGTGGGTTCTTGCCCGTTGACTTGCAAAAGCGGGCATTATAAGGCGAGCAAGAGAATCACGAGCAATGCATGGTGTTCAACACAGATTCGCTCAGGAAGAGGGGTACTGGCATTGTCATTATCCGAAGGAATCGCGGGCATCGGAAGACTTACGATGGTTATCACATGTCGGTTTCACCCTCGCATGTGGTATAACTAGTCCAAAACAGCTCAGGAGTGAAGCTCCACCGTCCGGAACCGAAGAAGCAGAAACGCCTTGTGGTATCATTGATCAGATGATCCAATTTTGAGGCAGAAAACTACAAGAGGCTTCTCGAGGCTTCATTTGCACCCGACCTAGCAGTCCTTTGAGTCCTTGCCTTGAGCCCACACAACAGCAAGGATATGCAGTACAGTAGTTGAAGAGTCCGCGGCGCTAATCTGTACCTCGACCTCTCTCGGATTGCCCTCGTTGCAGGGGTATCATAGGAGATACGTGGCAAGCAGCAACTGGGCACGGAGACAAATCGGGTCCTACAACGTCATCCAATTGAGTGCAACCAGATCACGAAGTTGAGCTGTCTATCGCGAGCTGCCGAGCAATTTTGCGCGCCCCATACACCAAAGGAAGAATCGTACCAGTGTGGGTCGAAAGGAATGCATCAGAAAACGAAAGATCGCTCAGATCAGATTGATCAAATTGACAAGAGGTTCGCATCGCCCACGACAGTAAGACAACGAGTCGACCAAGCAATGCATCATGAAGTCCGAGGATCCATGATGGAACAGAAAACCGCGAAGGGCTTCGTTTACCAGCAAAGGTGTTAAAAGGCTTGTTTTCACAGGCTTGACAGCACAACGGCCTTGATGCCACTCAGTTGGCACTCTGATGTGCAGTGCTTGTGCTCCTGACGCACATGAGGAACGGATAGTGTTTACAATGAGTTATGCAGAGGACTTGGCCCACACAAGCATTTGAGCATGGAAAGAGGCACGTTGATAAGGTCATCCTCTGGAGGAGAAACAAATTGGCACCTGCGTTGGGCTAGTCATCACTGATTCATCTGTGGCACAGGCGATCTGCGTGGAATGTACTAACCAAATTTCCACCCTACATAAGCACGTTGTCTCTCCGTTACTCAGGCTGCATGCAGTGCAATGCAATGCAAAATCGGTATCATAGAATTGTCGTACCTCTTCTCCTCATGACCCATTCCCAATATCCTTTGGGCAAAAACCCGACTCTCTCCACATGGTCACCATTTTGGATGGCCAGCGCGTGCTCGTCGGCAAGCGTCAAGACTTGAAGACCTTCACCTGGTCGAAACATGATCCTGAACATCTTGGCTTCTTCTTGCACAGCTCGACCCTCGCTCGCAAGTCGCTCGCGGATGTACTCGAGCGCAGCGTTCGTCCAGTTAAGACATGCAGTTGCTGACCAGCCGGCGTTGAGTCCTAGTCGAGGGAGATGGAATGTTTGGAACGTCTGTACCGTCTCCAAGATATAGGGTGACCGGGAGCTCCGGAAGCCGACCACCACTTGTGGAATACCGAGGAGATAGGACTGTGCCCAGTATTTGAGCGCTTTCCTGTGCCAATGTCAGATAGATTCGTGGTTTAAAGATGGCAAGGGCGTGCCGTTCAAAGTTTCGCTCATCCTTGACGTTCTTAATAGCACCGGACGTCTTCAGTTCCACATAATTTCCATTCTTCCCCTTATATGCACCTAGTTGATGATAAGCATCACATTCGCGATGGAGCAATTGACTTCTCACCTCGTACACAGTCTACTTCACCTCCGAGCACAAGTTTTGAAGACCCAATACTAGTCTGAACGATGCTGCACCACTGCATATTGGTGTTCACATCGGGCTCATGCTGCGTAGACACTGTCTGATTTGGACCGTCGGCAGTGCAATATGACTCGAACGCATATCTGAATCCATTCATCAAAACATACAATATCGAATGATGTCCTACAAACCCCGTATACATCAGCTTGCGTTGGGGAGTCGGTATGTTCCTGATGAACAATAAGACAAAGGACCCTCACAATTCCACAGGATACCTACTTGATGCCACGGGTATAACCAGTGACCGTTTCGTTCACATATGAATGCCCTTTGTTGTCCTCGAGGTATACCGTACCATCGACCAACATAGCATTCATCTCCCATGAATCACGGCGTTCATACAAGGCAGTCACGATCCTAGGCTATATTAGCATTGCCACGACTGCTGCCAAGGAACAACAGACTCACCGTGTCATCATCCCTCGCCAAGTCATCACGTTCGGCTTCTCGAGGTCCTTTCCCGAGTCGACTTCCCTCATATAGGCAAATAAGAGGGAGTCCAAGCGGCCTGGGTCCTCCTCCGGCCCAGGCCACTGCTCAAACTCCATCTCTAGATCTGCACCTTTTTGGGGCTCCACAAAATACCGCAGCGACGAGTCGTCATATCTTAAAACATGATTGGCATCATAAGAGAATGTCGCAATCTGCGTTGGGACGGTAAGGGCTGCCAAAGGTTTCCTCGCAGAATATATGCTTTTGTCAGGCTTGAGCGGCGAGTTGGAGGACCATGCTGGATGGCTGATCACCACTTCGGCAGGCAGGGGGAGGACCTCAAATGAGCCAAATGACCCGGTCACTGACATTGTAAGTGCATACACGCCGTTGCTGGGTTTGAGCCGTGCTCTTCGGGGCGAAGTGAACGACTATAGGAAAAGTGTGATCCCGTGCTTTGGGTACACGTGATGAACGCGTTGCGGCGTCCCCGTTCCGCGACTTTTATTCTTGTTGTTTACCAAGCGCCCTGCAAATACCTTTCTAATGTGCTCTGAGTTTCTACTGACGAGACACTGGTATACATGTATTGCGCATGATGTGCGATAGTCCTTCTACCTCGCGATATCGCATTCTGCCTCGTTAACGCCGGAGCTGGAACATCTGGGTAACGACGTAGCCCATCGAAGCGATCAATATCGGGACGCTGTTCCGGTCATTTTCGTCAGCCTTCATGGTATTGCTGAAGAAGAATCTACGCACGCATATCTTCCTGATATCGATTTACGCAAGATCATCGCCCACGATGGCCCGCGCTTCTTTCGTGTCTCTACATTCGCCTTTGTCATCTCACCCGGGATCCCCGTCCCTTTGCTCGGTCGGACGACTTCATCGTGGCTAATTTTATCACCTTCGCCATCCCGTCCATTTTCACTTCCCATCATTGTTGCGGATTCGTCATCGTAGTCGGTCTCAATGATGGTGACCGAAGCCTCCTCCGTCATTTGCTCCACGATCTCCCGGTCCTCCGGAATCCTTTCCTTGAGCGACTTCTTCTGAATCATCCGAGGCTTCGGTACATACAAGGATGTCGTGCATGCTGCGGATGCGAGCAAAGCCGTCAAGCTGATCTCTTCACGGTCGGTGTACTTCGGTTTGGCAGATGGGGGTTCCACCTTGTCGTTCGTCTTAGCGGTTGACGATCCATCGGGAAGATCTTGGGAGCTGACTGAGCCACTGTTGATGTGTTCGGAACTGTGGACATGTACATAGGATGTCCCAAGATACATCCCAGGCATCGAAGTGAGCATCGGGGATATCGGCTCCATTCTGGCAAGCTTTGTGTGGAAATCGAGTCTCGATGGATGCAGCAAATTTGGCTGGGATATTCGACTCGACCCCGGCCTTTAACGTCTGTGCCTCAAGGCTTGAGTGCATGCTGCGACTCCCCAACACAGTCAACGGTGCATCACCCAGGACTCGCAATCTTTGTTCAAGAAAGAACGCCTGCCCTACAAGTATCCAAATCTTGCACAGAAAAAAGAGCAGCCGTTTTATTGTCCTTGGGCTAGCTTGCCCACCATTGTTTACACGGTGAATAAACGTAACATTTCCTGGAAGTCTCCTAATCGCTGTCCCAGGTTTCCTTTCCCGGCGGCCTAGTTCCCATTGTTTTGTTCTGCAGCTTGCATTGATGGAAGCCGTTGTCGAAGACACGGGTATTCGAAGCTTCGGATATACATTTAGCCTCACTTCGAACTTCGGTGGGAATGACTAATTTGATTCCATTCTAGGATTGTTGACGGAGAAGAATCCCCGACCTATCCGCTTTAGGAGGCAGAGAGAAGCCTCGCCAAATATTCCATTGTTGTAATACGCTGCCAGCAAGACTGGGACTTCTGGTTCAAGATACAACAAAAGGAACGATTGTCTGCACCTGCCAAATCCGGAAGTTGCAGCGTGCAACCTTTGTCAGCTATTGTCCGCGGCCTTCCCAACGATTCCATCTCCTGTCAGAAGTCAACCTGTACGTTCGCATTTCCTCGACAACACTCGATCCAAGTAAAGACTGCGATTGGTAAAGATACATTTTTGGGACTAGAAATCCCCGGTGCCCACGTCCTTTCTAAGGAAGAGAAAGACTATTTTGGCGCCCAGAAGCGTTCGACGGCTTCGACAAACTAGTGGCATCGACGAAGATTTGAGAAAGTGTTGGCATGCCCGATAGAACGTATCATGATACGCAATCTGGCTTGTGAGGCTGTATCCGACGGCCCTCCCGAGGCTTGCCCGAGCGCCGAGGGATCGGGATCTGGACTGCGCGCTACCTTGGTAATCGTTACGTGATTCGGCCAAGCTTCGCGAGGATTTCCGCCTGTATATCTTGCGAAATTAGCAATATTGCCTCCTGCGGTCTCGTACATGTGGCGAAGGCGTTTCACACGGCTTGATCTGATGTACGATGGCTGGGGCGCGACAACTTTTGCCCGCGGTTTGGAATTAGCATTGTCGTGTTAACCGGAGTGTGCCGGAATGTGGACTGATCATCTTGATGGCAATAACACCAGGGTACACGGCGGGACGCTCGTGTACGCAAAATGACATCCTGTCATTGAGGGCGACTCGGACAAGACGATGCCTAGCCGAGCTCGGCTGATCGAGTCAAGCCCGAGGGACGATTGCTAAAGAGTCCAAGCGTATACAAAGGAGATGGGATGGTAAGCGGCGGAGAATCGGACTGCCGGAGGAATATAGAGGCGACCGCAAAAGGCATCGCAATGATGTCTCTCGTCTCGTGTACCTGATTCTGGCGTATTTTTGCGCCAGCGATGGCGTGTGTGCGTCATTCTGTCATTCAAGAGGGGCCCGAGCTGAGTGGTCTGGAAGGCTAATATATGAGAACGCCTCAAGGGTGATAACGGGGACAGATACGGCATGTGAGCGGGAACAAGCACATCAATAACAAGTTGCCCGTCTCATTCGTGCGCTCATTTGGCTAGGGGCGCGTGAGGAAGAGGCCGATGGAGGTGGATTACCAAGCTCGCTGATTGAGGGTCCGCAGGGTCGGTTGGCACCCACGCTCACGGGCCGCACCCGTGCACATGAAAATGATATTGCTTGCAAAGGTAGGAGGCGTGAGTGAGCATGACGGCAAAGAATACAAGAAGAACGCCCCTCACCTTCCGGTGACGAATATGGAATTGGATTGTATCTGGATGTCAGGGCTTGTACGGGGATGATCACCGAGGATGTTGATAAAATAGGTGTAGAAATGGAAAGTGTATGGGAAGCAGGGTTGAGAAATATGAGATTGTTTGTGGATTGTGTAATCTGATCTTAGTCGTGGTGTGGCAAAAGGGGGCAATGTGCGACCCTGAGGTGAACACATCGAGCCCCAATACAGTACTCCCTTCATATATCCCTCTCCTTATGCTTGGTAAGGTCAAACCGGTTATTCTCTTACAACCACCACCACCGCACTCTTTTGCTTTTGCTCTTACTCCGACCAAGACGACGACGACGATCATCTCCACTACACCTACTGATTGAGACACGCTGGTCGTCCTACAACCCCCTGCACGCAATCTCTCGCGCCTCGTTCGCCAACTCCCACGCTTCGCCTCAAACATGTCGACCACCACGGTCACGCAGACGACGACGGGCACTATGCGCACGACGGCCGTCAAGGTCACTCTCAATGTGACGAGCGACACCATCTGCCCCTGGTGTGCACCTTTCTCAACCGTCATCTGACTAAGCCTTGTTAATCACGCGCATACATCTAGGTGCTACATCGGCTGCAAGCAAATCAACAACGCCATTCAACGCGCGAAAGATGCTCATCTTCCCTTGACGTTCGATGTTGAATTCTCACCCTTCATGCTGGACCCCTCGCTCCCCCAACAAGGCAGCGTACTCCGCAAAGAACGATATTTCGAGAAGTTCGGCGAGGTTAAGGCGATGGCCATCATGCAGACGCTGGGAAAGGTTGGACACGATCTAGGCATCGATTTGTATGTTTACTCGATTCCCTGCAGTCGCCGTTTGTGGGCGCTATAGCACATTCTCACATTATACACAGCAAGTATGATGGAACGGTCTCTCAAACGACAAAATCACACCGGATCCTTACTAAAGCCTACCAGCTCGGAGGCCAGGAGGCGCAGCAGAAACTCCTCCAGCTCATATTCAAAGGATTTTTCGAGCAAAACAGGAATGTTGGGGACGACGATTTCCTTGCGCAATGCGCTGACCAAGCTGGGTTCATGTCCGCAGCTGAGGTGCGTGAAATTCAGTTTCCAATTAAGTCCGTGCACCTGCTGACTAAGTGCTCCCCTTTGTGCTGTTTCATCCATCCGCATATCCCATTTAACGCGGGTCAATTGATTCCCACGAAATGCTATGTTCGACAGGCAACAAAGTTCCTCCAGACGGACGAGCTCCAGAAGGAGGTCGACCGCCGGATCGAGATGGCTCAGAGAATGGGCATCACCGGCGTCCCGTTCACGATCATCAATGGAAAGTGGGCATTGAGTGGTGCTCAGCCTAGCGATGTCTTCTACCAGGTGTTCGAGAAGCTCGCGAGAGAACCAAAGACAAAGGGCCACCATTACCACCACGATGGTGCGCATGCGCATTTACTCTTGGTCGAAGATTGATCATGCTCCTGCAGATGCTTCTTGCGAGAACGGCGCATGCACCGCAACACATGCTAACCCACCTGCCGAAACGTGCCAAGTCTGATTCACGAACAGAATAACGATGAAAACGACCCTTCAAGACCTCTTGCTCATTTTTCGTGGACACAGAAACTCCACTCTTGACCAATTGTGGCAACACATGCTCTTGTTTATTCGCAGTTTGTCGTGTCCTCTTCTATCTTTCTCATACTTGTTTATATGCTTCCTTGCGTTCCGTTTCGTTCATGCTGTCTTTTTATCAACTAGCTCTCTGTGATCCAGATAAATGTATCTCCGTATGTGCGAGACCTAGATTTCGGCCTCTCAGTGGCACAGGCTCAATTGAAATTCTCTTTCCCTCGGCCGCCGCACGAACGTAGAGTTGAAACGGACGATGGGCGCTTACGCCCCATTTCTCCTGCATGTGCATAGGGATGAGGCCTGCAATTCAAACTTCGATCCCTAGCTCCCCGCCCTGACTGAGGTGGTCTTATCCAGATCCAACGTGCATATTCACTATCCTACAGCCCTTTTACTCTCATACAGTTCCTAGTTTGTCAGAAAGCCGGCATAGCCGGAACGAAGGACGGCCGCACGTGGGGGTTACCAAAGCAAGGGGAAGGAAGGAGGAGAAGTCAGGTCACGGGCATATGTTGCTTAGCTAAGCCGACAGGAGAAATGTCCCGCAAGCGCTCGCTCATCAAGATCATCTCTCTCTCTTTCTCAGCCCTGCTCAACATAGGACTGGCTGAGCTGGGAACAACATCCCGCTGCTAACTCAGCAACTTGTCTTGCTACACTTAGAACACGTGCTTACCAATCCTTGGAGACAGCTTCCCTCGGCGGCATTATCCTTGCACCGCACGTTGTATCGTCTTAGTCAGCCAAATGGATCGCAAAATTGGGGATGCTATATAAAGCCTGGTCACGCTCTGACATGCAAGAGCAATCAGTCCTCCACTGGCAGACACGTACTCCCATCTCACCTCACGCACAACCATAATGGCCGCCCAAGTCAGCACCAACCACCTGAGCCTTCCGACAGGGGAGTCTGTCTTCTACCGCCAAGCTGGAGAGTCTAACAAGAACACCATCCTCCTGCTTCACGGCTTCCCAAGCTCGTCCCATCAGTTCCGCAACCTCATACCTTTGCTGGCCAGCAAGCACAGGGTGATCGCTCCCGACCTGCCGGGGTATGGGTTTACCACCGTTCCCGCTGGGTACACGTACACGTTCGACAACCTCGCGGAGACGATCAAGTCCTTCGTGAAGACGATCGCAAATCCGCCTGCGAAGTATGTGATCTACATCTTCGATTACGGTTCTCCTACCGGACTGCGTCTCGCTCTCTCGGACCCACACGCCGTGAGCGGCATCATCAGCCAGAACGGCAACGCATACGAAGAGGGATTCACGTCCTTTTGGGATACGCTGAAAAAGTACTGGATCTCCGGAGCTCAGGAAGACAGGGACGCACTCCGCTCGCTCTTTACAGCAGACACAACCAAGTTCCAGTACACGGCCGGCACGCCGCAAGCCAAGCTCGCGTCGATCGCGCCGGAGTCCTACACTCTCGACCAGGTCGGCTTAGACCGCCCGGGTAACGCCGAGATCCAGCTGGATCTGTTCTACGATTACAGGAAGAACGTCGACTTGTATCCCAAGTTCCATGAGTACTTCCGTGAGACCCAGGTACCGCTGCTTGCTGTCTGGGGAAAGAACGATCCCATCTTTGGGCCTGCGGGCGCGGAGGCGTTCAAGAAGGATCTGCCGAATGCCGAGGTGCATCTGCTCGACGCGGGTCATTTTCTGCTTGAGACGAACTTGGAGGAGATTGCCAAACTCATGGTTGATTTCCTTGATCGTCACCAGATCTAGTCGAATACAGATAAAGATATAAAAAGAACAAGTTTAGTAACTACTAAGTGTTTGAATATATGCCGTGCTCGCTATAGCTAACGTTTCACCGGGTGCATCACATCACATCTCGTTCGGCCATATTACAACACGGAATGGCCCCTTGAAAATACGCGTTTCTGCTCCGGCTGAGGATAGCCTTAACAGCTCCGCGGATGGAGAGGGTGAGTTGAACACAGATTGGACATGGGGGCCGGATGTGGATCGTGTATTCCATCGGCGAGTCTCAACAGTAGTGAGAAATAATGTGCGGTATCGACGTGGGCAGTAAAGATGTACACATGTGATATAGGACGGTGATGAACCTAAACCCCGGAAGATTGGATGAACTAACGTGGTGTTTCCCGTAGGCAGACGGAGAATATTCGTCCAAGGGGGAAAGGATGACGCGGATTTGCCCTCCGGGTTCGTTGTACAAAATAACTTCTGGACGGTCGGAATGCATAGCTCGTCTTCACAGGAGCCGTGTTGCCGGATGGCGGAATTGCGAGGTGTATGAACTGACGCTGTCGTCGCTAGAGGAAGTTGTTGCTGTTGCTCGTTATAGCTCGATGGCATACAGGAAGATAGCAGTTCCATCCGAGAGATATAGAGTCAGGCTGTTGAGAGCTATACGGAGCGATCCCAGAGAAATAACAGCCATATTATAGCAATCCAGGAGGCACGACGAGAACGAGAACCCATCATCCGCTGACAAATACTCTGAAGGTCCATCAAGATTGTCCATTGGGCGCCTTTCTAGATCTAAATCTTGGTCAGCTCGTTGGATTTCAAGTGATATCTTTCCAGACTCCTCCTGCTGTTCAAGAAACTGAGAGTTGAGCAGGTAAAGACTTGACATGCCGTTCATCATGACATCCGAGATGAGCGGTACACGTGATCCTCCCCACCTCTCCGCACTCAATGTGTCGTCCTAAACTCCGCGGCAGCCCGGGCGGTCCCTGGCCCCTCTCCGTGCCTAACCAATCACGCGTCGGGGTATGCTCGTAAGGGCCCGAGAACGCCCGTTCTCCCACGCTCGACGGTGGAGGAAACCCGCTCTCCTTTGCGGATTGTCGGTGCTTGCGGTTGGTCAGCGGGCGTTGTTCGAGGTGTAGTTGAGAAGAATCAAGAATGGAGATGATGTAGAAGAGAGAGACGGACACCAATTTCCTGTTTGCACCAGCGGTCGAGTCGTCAGTCAGGGCGCTCGGGTAGTCTGGTGAGATCACGCGTCGTCATGTGCGGGGAGCAGAAGAGACAGGAACGGGCCGAGCAGAAGAGTGGTAAGTTTTTAGTAGACGTTTTTCAGGAGCCAGCCGGTCGTCTGTAATTTCTGTAGGACGACTCAGGCTAGTTTGTACATTTCTACAAAGAAAGTCCTCTGAAAAGTGTAGGAAAACTAGTAAAATGAGACCCGTTTGTGTATTGACCGAATAATCGGTGTGCCCTAATTGGCAGGCGACGGGAATGTCGGCAGTGCGGTACGGAGGGGCTGTGACGTACAATTGACGCGCCGGTCAAGGCCGGAAGCTATCACCTCGGGTGAAAAACGCCTTGCCTCCTGGTCACCAAAACTTTGTTCACCGCCCCCGACTACCCCTTCTCCATCCTCTTCACTTCCCTCATCACCCTTACTCTACTCCCCCCCACCACTAAACAACAATGTCCTTCAAGCCTGGTACGTCTTATCCTGCACTTGTAGAGCGACGTTACTCATACACTGTCCCTATCGGCAGGTGACGCCGCAAAGGGTGCTTCCCTCTTCAAGACTCGTTGTGCTCAGTGCCATACTACCGAGAACGGCGGTGGGAACAAGGTCGGCCCCAACCTCTTCGGCATCTTGTACGTCTATCTATCATCTCCGTTTCACCCACAAGCTAATCTCAGCTTCGTGCTGTAGCGGTCGCAAGACCGGGCAGGTTGAGGGCTTCTCCTACACCAAGGCCAACGTCGAGAAGGGTGTTACCTGGTACGCCTTCACCCCTTCACTTAATCCAATCCCCCTGACCCTTCTCATAGGGATGAGAACACTCTGTTCGAATACCTCGAGAATCCGAAAAAGTATATCCCGGGCACGAAGATGGCCTTTGCCGGTCTGAAGAAGGACAAGGACCGCAACGACCTCATCACCTGGCTTAAGGATGCCACAAAATAGACGTGTCAGGCCCTCCCCTCTGGCCTGTTTCCCCACGTTGGCCCTCTTGTCGGAGTGTTCACCGGGATTTTCAGTCTGTCTACTTGGTTTTGACCGGACGGACAGACCGTGCCGTAATTATATGTAGATACAACCTACAACCTTACATTTTCTTCACCACTCAATCCATATCTCGCAAGCCTACATGAATTCGTCTCGAAAGTCGCAAGCCCTCATTCCCACTGTCGATACATAATGCCGAAAACCGTCAGGCGAACATGAAATAATTTACATTGCGCATATATGCTGCTCAGCCCCTGTGAACTACCAAATATGGTCATCCTAAGCGCCCAATTCCACTCACAGCACTTCCTCCATGTCAAAGTCATCTTCATCGTCTTCCTCTAGCATCTCCATGTCCCCTTCTCCCTCCGCCTTAATCTCAGGAACCTCTCCCGTGCTCGCCGCTGCCCGACCCTTATAAGCCGGTAACAAGCTCCACATATTCGCAAACGTCCCCGTGCGATGTAGGAACCCAATCTCCTGGAGAACCTCGCGCAGGTACGCCTCTGGTTGCCGCGTTCGGTTACGCAAGTCCCGGATTGACCAGTTGTCGTTCGACCGGAAAAGGGGGAAGAGTAGGTCCATGAGCTCATTTCGAGGCATACGAGCAGCACGCTCGAATGCGGAACTCGCAACTGCTGCTTTCTTCTCCGTCGACTGGATCACCCATCAGCCAGATTCTCGCTTATGCGCAGATGTCAAGTCTGAAACGCACGACAAAGTTCCCGAACCCTGTGCCCAGGTTTTCCCCGGCTCCACCAGCAAGCATGTTGATCCTATGCAGCGCTCCGCCCTCGTCTTCGAGCACCTTGGTCTGCCGTTTCGGCGCATTGGCCTCTCTGTGCCTGGACGCAACGAGCGAGGTGTACGAGGCGTCCATGATTGGGAATGCGTGACAGTCATGAACGATCTTCCCTTCCAGTTTTGTTGATACTGTCAGAGATTGAGTAGAACCGAATTCTCGATAGTGAATGAATCAAAGGGACGCACTTATATTACGTTCGCGCTCTTTCATCTTTGATGCCATTACAAACTCGTTCTCTACTGTCTTACGTTGCATCTTGAGCGAGTACTGCTTCGGCAGCGTAGTTATATCGTACACAGCTGGATCCGTCATCTCCGGTAGTCGCAAGACTAACCGCTGGTTTCCATTCGGACTGCCGTGCCAAGTGAGCCTTAGTAGTATGCTGAAGCACGACACGTACTCTGGTGCGTGATACACACGCAACGTGCCCAGAACCACGTCCTCCTGCTCTATCGCCGTCCATTTCTCCATCAAGAACTTCGGCAGCTACCAGATATTCTCAGCATACATCTCAAATATCGCACACATGAACCGCACCTTAACCATCCACACCTTCTCCTCCCCCTCTGCGGCGTCCATCTCCTCATCCGGCTCGAACGAGTCGTCAGACTCGGCACCCTCGTAGTCCAAGAGGTCGTCTTCCCGCTTAGGGTCGAGACTGTCCATATCGAGTGTTGATGGACCGGCATCGGTTTCCATATCCATTTTTGAGGAATCCGGCAAAGGGAGAGGTATGGTAATGCAGATGGTGGGAGGTGGTAGTCGCAGTGGTGGTTTGTGCAAGGGATTTGAGCATGACAGCAGGGAGAAGTGCTTCCGGTGTGTGAGCGCTTACTCTGTAACTTGGCGCTATGTCCGTCAATTTCTTCGATAACACAACTAAGTTCTCGGGACATGAGGATGTGTATTATCCATATTGAGTGATAGAAGGAAATTTTGAAAACCCAATCTCCACTCAATATCTATTCGGGGGTCGTTTCCGACAAGGGTTTGTGTTTGTTTGAGTGTACGATCACTAGTGTTAATGCATACTGAGTCAGCGACCTGCGCTCCACCTAACACATCGTCGGAAGTTATTGCAGCGTGGATTCCGCAAAACAAACCTTTCGATCGATGGGATGTATGTACGACCACGGCATAGCGGGTAAACTCCTCAAACCCTCTAAAACACTGGGAGACAATCAGTATGGACAGTCCCCTTACCACTTATGAGAGCTTAGAAAAGACTTACCAACTCTGTCTGCAATGTCTCCCACCAGTCAAGGACCACATCCTTGTCAACTTGGATATACCGCCGTGATCGTGGAATCAACATTTGGCCAAATATCATGGAGGAAATCTGTCAACCATGGGATGTCCTGCTGATTGCCCACATCAACATACGCATCCACTATCACAGGCGTCATCGAAGGGGTCCACTGGAAAGTCATTGATATGTCTTCGGGGGAGATATCAGCTATTTCCAAGGAGACTCGCTTAATGTTGGAACAGTGTGCAGCCAAGTAGAGAAAACTCTGTGCTGTCAACTGTGCCATAGGCTCTCCGTAGTAATAGCCTACTTGAATGAGACATGAGAAAGAGCGCAACTGCGGCCAAGCTCTGCAGCACGCTAGGACATCCATGTCGGTGAAAGATATTGACTCAGAGGTGAATGTAAAATGAATAAGCGAAGTCTTCTCCAGAAGTGGACGAATCAGAGCGGACATAGGGCTCGAGGAGGAATAGATGGTAGTGGTAACTTCCGCTTCTTCAATCAAATATAACTCGACCTTCTCAAGCGGATGTTGATCAGCGCCCCCATCTCCCTGGACCAGAAATGCGAGAAAGGGCAAGAGGAGACCTGATCGTCCTTGTAAAGTCATGGTGTGCACTGCGGAAAAGCGGGGAGGAGGAGAAGGTCGTCCAGAATCCAACAAGGAACCAACAACCAGTGCCTTTGCATCAAAAACAACTTCCCTCCAGTCGCCCGGAAGATCATCCAGAGCCCAAATAAGATCATACTGTTCTAAAGAGGACTTGCGAGAAAGGGCCTCGAGAATTTCGGGACCATATGCCCAGAGATTTCCGGCGTACGAAGTTAGCTGTGGGAGTTGGGATATGAGTGACGCGATACGACTTCGGCGATATGCAGTGAGGTTGATAATATCTTCGATGGATGACTGGGATGGTTCGAAGCAATCTCCATATATGTACATCTCTGAACACAGTCGAGTGAGGTCCTTGCACACGGTCGCGGTCTTTTCGAAGAATCTGTCCATCTCGCGTTGATTTTCCGGTGTGATTAGAGTTGCGAAAGTTATGAATTGCAAGGTAGGAACCATATAAACCAAGGCCAGATCAATCGGTGTATGGGAACAAACTTGTAGAGATCGCAGGTTTGGGAAAATCGCGTCTGGACGAGCCTCGGCATGCATGAAAATGAGCAACATCGGCCCAAGCATCCACGATTCCCTGTCTTGCATAGCGATTGTGTATTCAGCGGGGTCATCGTAGTCGTCTTGGTATGGCCCGCAAGAAAACAGGTCCAAATGGTTAATCATATCATGGTAGCGAATGAAACGTGCTATCTTCCCGGCCGGATCCGAGCAACCAACGTAGGTGGAATTCTTGCCGAATGATTAGCCCATGCTGATGGAAAGGGTTCATGGAAGATAAATACCCAGATTGCTTCTGTTAGGCACTTCAAGGCCACGAAGTTGACGTCACTCCACAAGCGCCTCATTGCTGGATCAGCCAGCGTGCGACAGGTGCAGAGAAGAGATGCTTGTCCTGCTGAAGAAACATGTTGAAGGATCTCATCTACCATGTCCGTAATCGACCATAAGCGGTGCATTCTAGACTTGCAATTGAGATATGACCAGCGAAGAGCACAACAACCTGAGCAGCCGCCGACGAGCTTGACACACTGGGTGGCGGAATAAGTAAAAACCAAGCGTCTGCCTCAGGATAGACTTGCAATGATAGCATCCGCCGCGACCAACACAAGTCACCTGCACAAGTGTCACAAGATAACGACATAAAAATAGGTATAATAATAAATCCAGACCGTCTCGAGTGATCTAAATAACCAAACAGATTCCCTAATCTTAATAAATCAACCTTACACATTCCATCCTCCATTCCAACCAATCATCTAGCAGGATGGCGGTACCAGCAAGGCAGTTCATGTCTTCTTGCCCACGACGGTCCTCAGCGTCGCCGCCCTCGTCTCCTTCAAGAATGGCACGAGCTGTGTCCCTCCCGTGCCCCTGATATCTGCCTGCTCTCCTACCGCTCTCCGCTTCACAACCTCCCCTGCTTTCTCCCGCTCTTCGCGTGCTTCCCTCTCTGCACGGGCGCGCTGTGAGACAATGTACACCGTGACGATGCGAATGTGAGAATCACGGAACCTCTTCAGGGCGAGCACGGCTCGGTCGTAGGCAAGTGTTAACTCACTACCCGCAGGCTGGGCAAGCACAAGCGGCCTGATCTGATGTGCGGATGAAGAGAGGTTGTGTACGAATGCCTGATGGGGACCAGGCATGTACTTCTCCATTTGCTGGAGGAACGTAGGTGCACGTGTGAGGCTCGTCGTGGGCGTAGAAGCCGAATGCGAATGGGAAGTATGGTCAACGCCGAGGAAGACATCGAGTGCGTGGACGAGGGTGCTCTGCCCTGCGCTCGGCCCGCTCAAGTCTTCGGAAGTGGCAGCTTCGACGGACGACACGCCTTCGTAAATCCATTTCCGGCCGCTCCCTGCGGAGCCGCGGAACCATGGCCTGACCTCAGTGTAAAACACGTGTGGGTCGCAGCCGTCGAACATGCGCATCATCACAGTTGCGACGTCATCGATGACCAGCGCGAGCCGGGAAAGGTAGGCCGAAATACGCCGCACTGCAAGAGAATCACCAACGAACGCTTCATCCAATGAGGAACGCATGATACTGAGAGCTTCAACACCACGTAATTCGAGCTGAGCCGAGACGGTATAGAAGTGCTCTTCACTCTCCGTCCCCGTAAATAGGGTGAGGCAGCGCACGTTGTCCACGTCCACGGGACGGGAGGGGTCGATGACATCCCAGTTCCAGAGAACGGTATCAGCGTAGGTGAGGATAGGCGTGACCCCCAGTTCGTGGGAAACGGCGACGAGGGGAATGGCGATGGGAGCGGGGACTCGCAGAGGTGTGCTGGGGTCGCTGGGTGGTGGAACAGAGTGCACGTAGAAGTGCATGATGCTAGCGAGAACTTGGTGCGCCCGACGGAGGAGGAGGATGTTCCTCTGGAGATGGTCGATAGAGATGATTGCGAGTTCCCGCACATGGGCTCGCCAACGCTCCGCCTTGTCTATATCGGCACCGGTGGTATCCCGCTTGTCGCCAACTCTGAGCTCAGACCGCACCGCATCGTCTAGCACCTTCTGCCATGGTGCGTACTCCTCCGGCAAGTGCATCAAAGGTGGCGAAGGGGGCATAAACCCCGTACGGACATCGACGTCGTAGTCCGCACCAGCAAGGGTGGAAACGTCCGGTGCATGTGTTGGCGGGCGGGGAGCAAGGAATGTCGGCCGAGGAATGGAGAGGAAGTGATTATCCGGGAGACGGCGAGGGCTGCTCGGGCCTCCAGAAGACGTTGGGGAGGGAGGTGTTGACATGTTAGGGATGGTGTGAGAAGTGGCTGGTATGTTGGAAGTGTCCGTTGTTGATCCTACTTGGTCGTGCAGAATGAGCAATCCGCTGGGGAGAAAAGAGGAGTGAGCGGGGGGGTTGGTGGGCGAGGACTGGACGTACAAGTGGAAAGTGGGGGCTAATTAAGCTGACTGGCTGGCTTGTGAGCGAGTGGGTGGGCCGAGGCTTATATGGCTCAGGAGGCGGCGGAATGTATTCCCGTTCGTAATTTCGTGCTTGGTTGACGTGCGCAAGTCGGGCTTTCCCTAATAGCGATCGAGCCTGGATTCGCCCCAGTTAAAGAATGAGTGATGAAATCGACAATGACGGATGCGTATAAATAATTGTAGGGAAATTTGCAAGTTGTAGTCAGCAATGACCAGGGTTCTGGTATTTAGAGGGCGCAGGAAACGACGCTGTGGACGGCGCCCTATTAAGGCCCTCGTTCCGCTCCCGTGGCTTCGGATCTCGGACGAAGCAAAAATAAGATTGCGCGGTCACGTGAATGTAAATACATACCGTACAGTTTCGCCGAATAGTCTCCATTGTCCCCTGGTAACATTCACACCTTCTACAGGACCTGATCACGGTCTGTGTTTATGTCCTTGTTCGACTTCCGCCAAGTATCTCGCAGACGTCGGATGACCTTGATGCCAAGTCTGATAATCTGGTCGCCCAGATTGAGCACGGCGAGTGTCTGACCAAAGGTCCACTATGTGCGCGTTAATCCGGCTGATTCAGCTGTTTTCATCGAAGACATACCTGCTCGACAACCGTGAGCGTGTTCAAGTCATTCCAGCTCAGCATTTTCTCAACGGTGATAATAAGATATATGACGATGATGACGCCTAACAGCGAGGCAAGTGCGGGCAGTACAACTATGCAGCTGTTCAGCCCATACAAAACTGGCCGTAAAGATGCCCCTTACATCTTTGATTTTCTGGTTGCTCGCCCTCTTTGCTTCCCGTCGCTACGTACGACAAAAGGGCTTGGATTTCTCCCAGAAATGGTTCCCTGGAGCAGATGCGGCTGGTGATATCCAGCACCGAGAGGACAAAGTGTCCCCTTCCGGCCCAAATGAACTCAGCTAGCATCAAGATATATAGCAAAAGCGCGAAGACGCGTAAGACGGGATTAGTTGCGCTGATAGCGCGGCCGAAGATGACGAAGAAGAACTCCGAGTTGCCGCCACATTGAGGTTGATATGCAGTGCCGCCGAAATGATCCACGTCGTAGTACACCAAAATAACGAACACCCCGGAGAGGATGAGGTGGAGTCGCATCGCGATCCGCGTGGTTAGCCCGAGGTTAAGCTTGGTCACCGCCCAGGAGCACGCCGTGACCGCGGTCATGAACATCGTTACGATTTGCGCGTCGACTAGACTGAGACCAAGAGGTGTATAGCGGGCATATAGGGCAGCCGCGATTAGGGATGTCGACGTTACAAGCGCCGTCCGGACTGCATCTCGATAGCTATCCAAATCTTCAGGAAAATCTTGGTGCAAAATCGTGAACAAATTGCTGGAGGCATGGAGATTGACTTACTGTAGGTGACGAGAAACGTGACGATGGCGGAGGTATACAGTGCTATTCGATTCTCAACATGCATGATAAGGAAGACTTCCTCAGGAGAGTACGCGCACATACGCCAATTCCTAGAACGATTTTCAGAGGTCTTCCTTTGAAGGAGATAGCAGCACCGTCCGTACCTGTAATATCGGGATTGGTGGGAAATGTGCTAACGGAAGAACATTCTTCCCAGTATGTCGAGTTAACCATCCGAATCGTCCTTTGCTATGGCCGCCGTGGATAAGGTATGCGGTGAAGTAAGGGAGAATAAACGTCGATGAGGTGAAAGAGGACTGAGCCGTGGTTCGCATGGGAGACATATATAATATTCTAGATCTGTGCATACTCGCACCGCTTCCGGGTTACGAGCATGATTCCCGCGGCGGGTTTCCAAGAACGCCATCACATCGACTGCTTTGTTCACTAGCCGATGGGATGGTCAATGACTATGTGCCATGAAGCGTTTTTTGCAACATTCTTTGTAACGAGAGCATATTGTCAGTAGTGCTTTTTGTGTAGCAAGTTCGAGGAAAGGTGCGAAAGTTGTAAAGAGGATAACCAGGCACGAGGTGAAGCGAAAGCGCAGAGTGGAAGCAAATGACGTATGAAGACGACCAATTTCGGAAGCGAGCTATTTGTCCGGCCAGCGCTAGTTGTGCGACCCGGACAATATTAATGGCGTAGAATGGAGTACCGGCAACTTGTTCTTTCCCGGGCCATTTTCTTGGTGACAGAAAGTAAACTCGAGCCGGCCTATCCGCTGACAAGAGTATCCCGTGAATTTTGCCCAAGCGGCCGTTAAGAGATTGACGCTGTTCACATGCCGAGTCGGCCCGATTGAAGGGAGGTGGGGTATGTGATTTTCTGAGGTCTTTCCCCAGGCAAGGCAATGTGCAGACTGACGACCTCCGGCGAACTCCTAGCGAGATTAAGGGCAACAACGATGGAGGTGAAAGAAGAACAACCAACACCAAGGACTGTTGTCCCTAGTCACGCTCCGTCTTTCCCCACTCCTAACCCAAACGGGATCAAACCCCGCTATGGGTCATCCTTTCACCCCCTTTGGAACGGCTATGCGTCATAACCGGAAGCTGGGCGTCACGCTCCGTCGCTGACCTACTCTCTTCGGCCTTCTTCTCGAGGTATCTGAGACCTCTGTATATTATCGACCAGTACCGGGTCGACCTCTTTGCTTTCTCCACCTTCTCCTCATCACACCATCTCCCGTCTTACTATTCGTACTGTAATTGCTCTTGCATACGACGGCGATGTCAGAGCAACTCACCCCATTCGGGCACGCCCTCGCAGGCGCACTCGGAGCAGTATTCAGTAACACGTACGCGCATTCAACCTCTTTATCTCTGCGCTTACTTATCCCACATCAGCATTGTCTATCCCCTTGATACGTGCGCATTGCGTTCTCTTCATATTCTTCGTACCCATGTAACCCTTATACAGCATCAAGACCCGCATCCAAGCCGGCGAGAACAAAGTAGTCCAGAACGGGAAGGAGAAACATCTAGGTGCATGGGACCTTATGTCCAAGATCATACGCGAGGAGGGTGTGGTGGGATACTACGCAGGTTACGCAGCGACGATGTTGAGCACGTTCTCTCAATGTACGCCCTCTCGCCGCTCCCTGCCTTCCTTCTGACTAGATGGACAGCGTACGCCTACTTCCTTGCCTACACCATTGTACGCACCTCCTACCTACGCCGTCTCGCCGCCCGGACCAAATCCACCTCTACCCAAATTTCGATCGGTATGGAGCTCCTGCTCGGTGCCGTCGCTGGCGCCCTAGCACAAATATTCACGATTCCCGTGTCGGTCATCGCTACCCGGCAGCAGATCGGCAATGCACACCTGCACTCCACCCATGCGCGCAAGGAGGAGCGGGACAACTCCTTCTTCGCCGTGGCGAGGGATATTATCCGTGAAGACGGGATCACGGGGCTCTGGGCTGGCCTGAAGCCAGGGTTGGTGCTCACCGTCAACCCGGCTATCACGTACGGCGTCTTTGAGCGCATGAAGGGAATCGTACTCGCCCGCAGAAGGGAGACAAAGCTCAAGCCCTGGACGGCGTTTCTTGTCGGTGCGATGAGCAAGACGCTCGCTACAGTCGTCACGTACCCGTATATCATGGCGAAGATTAGGTTGCAGGCGAAATGGCACGGGGAGGAAGATATCGTCCCCGCTGTGGACGATGCACCGAGCTTTGCGGAAGTGGCAGCTGCAGATCCAGAGCAGGAAGTGAGGGAAAAGGCGAAGCAGGTTAATGGGACTGTCAAGCCTGGAAAGGTGCATACTACGCATCATGAGAAGTATAGGGGAGCGGTGGACTTGCTCGCGGACGTCTTGAGACAAGATGGGTTCAAGGGATGGTACGAAGTGCGTAACCCCCTCTCTGCTCTGTTCCGCTCCACATATGCTAATCCTCTTGTAGGGCATGGAAACTCAGATCACAAAAGCCGTCATCTGCCAAGCGATGCTCTTCATGATGAAAGACCAGTTTGAACATGTCGCCCTCTTGCTGACTAGGCATGGGAGGAGAGTTGTTGCTGGCGCGGCGGGGAAGGTTTAGCGTAGCGAGATTGGGTTAATGATTGTATTGAGTTAGATACAGTAAGTTATCGGTTCTTTAAGAGACAGAATGGTTGGGCGCCAATAACAAGAAAATGTCTCAGAATTCTTCTGCTTCCGCATGTGCGAGGTATTCTTGCAGACGAATGACGCCTGGACGATGGCTCCCTTTGATCTCCACCACCATGCTCTCTGCGAGAATTGCTGTCCTACCACGATCTCTTGTGCGTACGACTGATGAGCCAAGATCATTGATGGTGGGGAAAACGCCTCCATATCAAAATACTCGGATCGCCCAGATGGACCTCAATCTTGTTGCCAGGCTAACTACCCGGGGCCAGGCACAGAACCCAATGTTGGCTCCGCATTTCCGCCCTTCCGACTCTTCACATCATCACTCTTTGTTTGATGTGGGAAAAAAAGCGCGTCGGACACAGAAGATTTAGGCGGTGTTTGGACGGCGTCGTCTTGTGTCTTACACAACGCCCGCTAAACATCAAGACCTTTCGTCTCTCCCCACCGACTGCTGTACGTTGACATCCAAACCCAGCATTCCTTGCCTCAACCAAACGCGATATCCTCTCTTATTCCATCACCAAATATACGTCTGCATCCTCTCCCCTGATGTCTGCCCTCCTCTGCCCTCCCATGATGCATCGTCTGTGGTCCATTCCCGAGCTCGTGTCGGACATCCTCGATCAGCTCCCAACAAACCAACATCTTACGCTTATGCGCACTTCCCGCACGCTCTTTGAGCATGCTGTCCCACGCGTATGGAGGGACGTCGACGTTTCTGCCCTCGTCTGTCTTACTGAAACTATATGGGTAAGCGCGTTATCATGGGTACTCGGATTGTCGATCTAACTGATGTGCTCACCACAGGTTTCAAATGCCTTTGTTCAAGACAGGCAAACGAAGATGGAGCGCTACATGACCTACGAGACCCACATCCGCACCCTTTTGCTGTCCGGCATTGATTTGGAACTTAGCTGCACTTTCATACCGCGGTTCCATACCTTCCATACCCCCCCTTCCGGTTACAAGCATCGCCTTCACCAGATCGACGAAGGCCGATGGAACGTGACTCTCGAGGACCTACTGGATTTGCTTGAAGCTCGGCATGGAGTAGACAGCGAACTGTGTCCGTTTCCCCGCTTGCGGAATCTCACCGTCAACGAAGATGGAATTCCCTTCGGTGGGGCAATAATGTCTCACATCGTCTCTTGCTGTCTCACCCCGACGTTGTCCTCCCTCGACCTGGAGCAAGAATGCAGCATGTGGCTCATATGGGACGTTACACTCAATCATCTAACAATCACGCCTGCATTTCCAAATCTTACGTCCTATTCTGAAAATGCATGGAGTTACGAGGTGCAAGTCATCGAGGTCCTGTCCCAAATCCCGACTCTGAAACAACTCCAGATCAACTGGATCAATGACCCACCACCCCAATTCTACCTCAAGCACTTAATGGGCCAGACCAAATGCTGGAGCCTAGGGAATCAAGTGGTCTGGTTTCCATCTCTGTCTCATCTCATTCTCAAAGGCTTTGAACTCCCTCTTGGTTCTCTGCTCTATCACAGAAGGCTTCCATCTCGAAGGCAAATCTCCCTCATGGTGGTATCCCAGCAATGGTCACCAGAAGTCAAATTCCCTGACAGCTGCATTTTGACTCTCATTCAAGGTCTCACTGCTCTCAATTCCCTGATGCACTGTGCGCTATACTTACATGGGCCGTATTTGTTGAGCAATGGACAAATTTCCGCTTGGTCACTTGCTTGGCCAGACTTGCAAGCCCTTCTCATATCCACGCTGCTCACCCAAGGCAGTGGGAGTCGTCTGACTCCACGTTGTCTTGTTTCTCTGGCACGTCACTGTCCTTCCCTCAAGTTCCTGGAGCTGCCACTTCATACTCTCAGTCAAGCGCAGATTCCACAGGACTTTGCCCCTTCTTCATTATCAATAAAGCTCAGAGTAACATACGACCTTTATTCCGTGATTAGCGAGGAGTGCGTAACCGCGTTTCGCTCGTTCATTGACGAACTATGGCCGAATGTTGTTTTTTTTGGATTGGCAGACTTTGTGGGAGATTGTGGGAGAGGACAATGGATATTGGAAGTGACCTCAACTCATGAGGCTGGAATAAAGACCTGCGACGTTGTGATTGTGGTTTCCTGCGGTCTGTCGAGCATTTGTAATAGAACAGCTGTTCACCAGTGACCATAGCAATCTTCCTAGGCAAAGCTCTCAGAGTAATGTGATGACTTGTAACATGATGGCTTGAGAGCAATGAGAGCGTGAATAAGGGTCGAAATGCGTAAATCGGGGAATTCGATTCTTGGTGACCATTTCCGGGATACCACCATGATGGAGAGTTGCCTTAGAGAAGCATGCTTTCTGTCATAGAGAAGGGAACCAAGAGGGAGTTCAAAGCCTTTGAGAATGAGATGAGACAGAGATGGAAACCAGACTGCTTGATTCCCTAGGCTCCAGCATTTGGTCTGGCCCATTAAGCGCTTGAGGTAGAATTGGGGTGGTGGGTCATTGATCTAGTTGATCTGGAGTCGTTTCAGAGTCGGGATTTGGGACAGAACCTCAATGACTTGCGCCTCGTAACTCCACGCATTTCCGGAATACGATGTAACATTCAGAAAAGCCAGCATGATTGTTAGATAATCGAGTGTAACAGCCTGTACGAGCTGCATTCTCGCTCCAGGTCGAGGGAGGACAACGTCGAGGTGAGACAGCAAAAGACTATGTGAGACATTATTGCCCCAAAAGCGGGCGTGATTGTTAGATAGTAAAGATCCGAGGTTCCTCCGGGGCGTGCTGCATAGCCATATATTTGCGAGCACTTCTGATCTGTGCAGTAATGCCTTTCACACAAGGAGTAAGGTCGATAGGAGATTCGGTGTTCAGTCAGCGCCTGCACCCATAATAGCATGATGCCAGAGACACGAGACACGATATCATGCGAAATATTCAGTTCTTATTTTCTTGATACCACATCCAGCATACAGCACGTCTAATCCCCCCTTTCTACCAAATCTCCTCCAAGATCTCCAACACCTCCTCCCTCCCCACATCCGGGTTCTCATCCCCATGCCCATGCATGCAAATACTCTCAAACTCCTCTTTCCCAATCCCATATTCCCTGAGCGTGCTCCCCAGTCCGAGCGTGTGGACCAGAGCGTCCACATACCCCGCAAGCTTGACGCCGTCTTGCGCGCCCTGGGGGAGCACTGAGTCCCCAGGCTTGGAGAACCTACTAGTAGGGGGAGGGAGGTCCGGTACGCTCCCTTCCACACGGCGCAGGGCTTCGCTCAACAACGCCTGATACTCCGGCTTCGTCCTTCTCGCAACTCTGGCACAGCTCGCAGCTAGCGTCAAGCAGCTCGTGATCCCGTGTGGGATGGCGTACGTCGCCCCGAGTGCATGACCCAGGCCGTGGGAGAGGCCTACAGCCCCTGGGAGCGGGTTGGGGTAGAGCGACAGCCAGCAGGCGAGTTGCAGTTGTTCCCTTGTGCCGAGGTCTTCTGGGTGCTGGTGGGAAGCCAGCAAGTGCGTGAAGAGCATCGGCAGTGCTTGGAGTGCGGTTGCCAGTACTGGAGGGGGCATCCCCCTCCGGTAAAGTGTCTCAATCGCGTGATCTACACTGCGCATGCCGCTGCTGAGCCAGAGCCGCTGCGGGGTGTCCAGCGTCGCCTCTGCGTCGTAGATGATCACTTGCGGGCAGAGCTCGACAGCGCTCACGGAGACTTTCTGGCCTTGGTCGTCTGTGTAGCCGGCGTTTTGTGTCGTGTCGGCATTGCTGAGTGTCGTGGGGATTATGAGGATGTTGAGCCATACGGAAGGGGAAGAGGAGGGGGAGGAGGTGTGCAGAAAGTACTTGATCGCTTTCGCTGCGTCTATCGGGGACCCACCGCCGAGGGCTACGAGGGTGTCTGCGTTCTGCCCCGAGTCAGGGGTTGCGCCGGGGGAGTAGGGGTGGGTTGGGGGACTCACAGCAGCAGTAACGTCCGCCATCGCCTTCCTAATGCCCGCGATAGGTGCATGCTGCCCGATACCATTATTGACGCCTACGAGTTTGTCCCCTATAAGCTGCTTTACCCGCTCGCACAAGGCGGTCTTGCTAATGCTGTTTCCTGTGAGGAGGAATACGCGGCTGGCGTTGAGGGATTGGAGGGAGGAGGGAAGGGAGAGGAGGGATGAGCGGCCGTAGTGGACTGCTTTGAGGGGAGAGGTGTAGTAGGAGCCTTGTGGGGAGGGGAGGGTGGACATGGTGTGCGTGGGCAACTTGGGATGTTGGAGACAGGGGTGCTATAGGAGGAGGAGGAGCAAGCGATTGATATTGTTTGTCATTCATTGCGTGCTCTCATTGTCTTCATTGTCACTTCGGATAAACTACGGCCCGCGCCGAATAAAGCCGGAGACGCGCAAGGGCCGTCGGCGATAAGCATTTCCTCACTTAACCACGACTGCCGACTGAGAAGGAGATGAGCGAGTGTGATGTACCTGCTGCAAAGAGGGCAAGACGAGCAGAGTCAGAGCAAGGGGAAGAAGAGGGAACAGTACTGCTCACTCTAGAACACTTACCAGTCGAGGTATGCACCTTTTATGAGTATATCTCACGTGCTCATGTCCTTCAGCTGCTATGGGATATCCTCATCCTCTCTGTATCACCTTCTCTCCCTTTGGTATCACACAGGCTACACTCAGTATGTAACTCCGCACCGCCGTCCATAAGAGCAAGATACATCCTCTCATCATTCCTTGCTCTCTCTCCCACCTCTCAGCCAACATCCCCCGACCCACCATCCATCCCTTCTCCAGCACCTACTCCCTTCCGTTCTGCACAAAGTAAATGGATCTACGCACACGCACTTCTCTTCCCCATATGCACACTTCCCGTCTTCCTAGCGCTGGAACGGATATGGGCACAAGTCTCCCCCTTAGAAGGGAGCGAACCTGAAGCAAGTCAAGACGGCGCTGGTGCCAAGACTAGGAACGGGAATGGGACTGGGAGTGGTGCACCCGCACGCCCTGTAGTAGACCTCGATTCCGAGATGTGGACTCTTCCCAGAAGAATCTTCCGCTCTCTCCCATCCCTCTCCAGCCCCTCTCCATCCAACCGTCTCTCTCCACCAGGGACATCCGACCCCTACCCCTTACTCGCACACATCCTCCCCCTCTACCCGTACAACACCTCCTCCCACCTCGGTTACCCGCTCAGCATGTCCGTCCGCGCTGGCCACCTCCCGCTTATCCGGCTCCTCCTGGAGCGAGGGGCGAACCCGGCGTTGAAGGACTCGCTAGCGGTGAGGATCGCTATCGCGAAACGGGATTTGGGACTTGTGAGGCTTCTCGTGGAGCGGGAGGATGCGTGTTCCCGGAGAGAGGGATGGGGGAAGAAGAGGAAGAGGAGGAGATTGAGTGATCGGGTGCAGGTGGATCCGGGCATGTTACAGCTTGCGGTCAAGCTTGACGCTAGGGATATCGTGCAGTATCTGATGGAGAGGGGGTGCGTGCCGGATATGAAGACGCTTAGGATGGTTAGATGATGACTATGCTATGCTATGTCGTGTGATCATTTGGCTGTCAGTCGGGATGTATGCGCGTGCGGGTAACGTGCGGAGTGTACGTTCGAGTTTGGGGACGATGATGAGGAGGTTGACGTGGATGATATTTGAATTTTCTGGAAAGTGGGGATGAGTGGGGGCCGGGGTGGGGGGGGGGGGGTAGGGAGATAGATGTGCGCGCTCGGAGGGCGCTTATGATCCTTTCATTCACGTTTCGCTGTTGTATTGTTTCTCGCATGCAATCCATCACCCGTCCTCCTCCCCAAACGTCTCCGTCTCGTTGATCTTTGCGTTCTCGGGCAGCTCCCCGTATGCCTTGAGGTTGCGCGCTTCGTCCGCGGTGTATTTCACGATTACGTCCGCTTTGTCGTCTTGGAAGTCACGTAGGGAGAGGAGGATGATATCGCCTTGATTTATCCAGACCTACACCAACAAACGCAACACAACCAATGCAAGACAGGCGACTTGGTCAGCACCTCCCACACACAACCACCAAAGAAACCAAACGCACCTTCTTCCTCATCTTACCCCTAATATGCGCCAACCGTTTCTCCCCATCAAAACACTGCACCTCCAGCCGTCCATTCCCCAGCATCTTAATGACCTGCGCATACTCCTGCCCGTCTTCGCGGAAGACGAGCTCGCGCTTCTCGTCTTCGTTTTCGTTCTTGCCTCGGCGCCGGTTCTTGCCGCCTTTGCCTTTGTTCTGGGGGGGTTGTTATGTTAGCTGGGAGTGGGGAAAAGGGGAGGGGAGGGGGGACGGACTTTGGGCATGATGCGTTCCTTGCTTGCTTGCTACGCTACTGTGTTGTCCGACTCTTGCCTGTGTGTGTGCAAGCGCTCTATTTATCACCCGAGCTGAGAGTGCGCGTGAGTCGGTCGTTAATAGGAGAAGAGTGCGTATTGCGTGTGACTGGTGAGGCCGTACAAGCGGCGGAGGCTATTCGGAAGGAGAACTTTTTTCTGACTGTAACCCCAATCCCCGGATTTCTTGTGATTGTGATGGAATAATTAGCTAATTGGGCTTTGTTCGACTTTGTTGGTTGGTTCAAGTTGGACTGCTTGTTCGTGTTGGCCTGCACTCTCGAGTTCTAGTTGAGGATCGACAAGGACGTCCTATCGTCATCTGCGATCGCTTTAGCTTTTGAATTCCTGTCGCGACTCCCCACTGCATATGTACTCCAGGATTTATCGTTCCATCCACACTTGCGGTGTGTCACCACCTTCGAAACCCATGGGCCGCCAACGGTGTTCTGCAAGAGCAAGAAACCGTTTCCCGTAAATACATCCCAAATACATACATCTTCCTCCTTCCACAAATACACTGTGTTCTTTTCCTCACTCAGGCATCCCTCTGTCTAACCAAGCTCCATTTATCCCGACATCCCTCTAACTCTCACATGGCGTCGTCCCCCGGCTCTCGTCTTATGAACTTGATAATAAGCTTCGAGATCTGGTCACCGAGCATGACGACGGAGATCGTCTGACCGAACGTCCACTGCACGTGCGTGCGTCAGTCTGCTGTTTGCTTGTGCGCTAGTGTCTTATGCTCAGGCGCACCGTTTTGACAATAGAGGACGTGGTGAGGTCGTTCCAGCTCAGCATCTGCTCGACGGTGACGATGAGGTAGATGATCACGACGATGCCGAAGAACGACGCTCTTCTTGGTACTATGCGCTGTTTAGCAGCGTGACATGACTGGACCGCGCGCACTGGCATGGTACTCACGGCCTTTCTTCTCCCCGCCCAGCTGGCCAGCAGCAATATGCTCCACGATCTGCATAAGTGCGTTTACGAACGGTTCGTCTATGAAAGTGAAGACCACCCTCAACAGCCCGATGGTAAACCGTTTCCTTCCAGCCCAGATGAACTCGGCCAGCGCTGCGGAGTACAGCAGGAGCGCGAAGATCTGCAGTCCGCGATTCGTCGCGCTGATCGTATGACTGAAGACGACGAACGAGAATTCGGAGTTGTCCGCACACTGAGGCAAGTAGGCCGTGCCACCAAAATGGTCTACGTCGTAGTACACCAGAATGCCAAACACGGCAGAGAGGATCAGGTGCAGCCGCACCGCGATCCGGGTCGTGAGCCCAAAGTCGAACTTGCTGACGCTGTAGTAGCACGCAGTGATCGCGGTCACGAACATCGTCACGATTTGGGCGTCGATGAGACTCAGACCAAGATCGGTGTACCGGGCATAGAGGGCGGCGATGATCATTGACGTTGATGTTACTAGGGACGTTCGGGCTGCATCCCGGTAGCTGTCCATGTCGTGGGGAAAGACTGGTACCAGGAAATCAGGATGAATTGACGTCGAAAGGGGGAGGAAGAGAGGCGACGTACAGAACGCCATGAGGAAACCGATTATGCTAGACGCATACAACGCTGTCCGGTTCTGCAAACGCAGCATGAGAACATGCGATCATCCTACTAAAGTCGGTGCACATACACCTATTCCTAGTGCAACGTTGAATATTCTGTCTTACGAAGAGACAAATAAGCGCCCGTCGTACCTGTAATATCGGGATTCGTGGGAAACGTGGTAACATTAAGTTGAGAGGCGCAGTTCGCTAGGTATGCCGAATCCATGGTACTCCAAGAGCTCGTTGGCGACGATCGTCACGGAGGGTATGAGAGCGAAGGTATACAAAGGAGAGGGGTATTGAGGGAAAGTGAGTAACGATCCTGCGTGGGGCGCGAGCTGATGAACCCTCGCTCGGGTTTAAGAGTCTCGGTGTGTTCTTTTTCCGGGTCAGGCCTCTGCCGGTTCCCGATCTTGTCTTTTACGTGAAGATCAACAAAAAATGCTGCGCAACTAAAGTTCGTGCTAGTTTTCAAAGGGTACATGGAGTTATCGAATGCCGATCGTGACTCATTCCCGTAGCAACGGGAAATGACTATAGGGTTAAGAGGCGGAATGTACTATAAACAATTCTCACTGGCAGCAGCAATTTCTTTGCCCAACGTTCCACCGTGCGCCACGTGAACCTCCCGACGCAGCTCCCCTTCTAATGACCAGGCCTCAATGGCATACATATCCGCTTTCGTGGCATCAGTCAGATTCCCAACTTACTTCGGGTTGTTGATCTTCCACGTAGAGAGAAGTGGCCACTGCCCAATCTGAAGCAGTAGCCACATGTCGTAGATTAAGGTAGATCCTACAATAAATTGGGATCAGTGAAGGGTATGGTCGACAAATGCATTAATTACTTTGATATCAGAAGAGAGTCAAGCGTCCAGTCCGGTCTATAGAGGTTCGTGAGCATTCTGATCGCGGGTTCACAACGATGAAATCCGTACGCATACGCGACTAGAAAGAGTGAATCCTAAAAAAAACATTGTTATAGATCAATGGGATTCATGAAATGAGCCAAACGCACTGGCAACGCGACATAGGCGGGAAGATTTGCTAGGTGTCCGGCTGGGTTCTCTCAGAGACTGAAAGCGGAGGTGTTATATACGAGTGCTTACCCAACATGCACTGGAATCATGGTTAATCATCTTTGTTTTGCTCAATGGATGGGTGAACTTACTAGATTGTAGAAGATCCCGTCTCGCAGAAGATAGGATATGACTCCCCCATTGTTCATCATGCGGCGCTGATTCCGGTTTCGAATAGTTTCGGCAATCAGGATTCCGCAAACTGCAAATTGGAAGACCATCTATGATCCACCGGATAGTGAGTGAAAGGACTATTTCCTCGTCTCGTGTGAGAGCTTACCAAACCGGGCCAATACGCCCAGAAGTAAGGTGGCCTAGATGTAATAGCGCAGAGCCCTGGAACCGGTGTATAAACAAAATTATCCGGACCTTTATGACAATGTGAGAAAATGATAAACGTTCAGGAAGAAAACGTACCGTTCCAGAAGGTAGCCAGAGCATAAGACAGTATGACCGTGGGTGAAAGCCACGCCAGGGTGGAGAGAAGGGCCAGGAAAAGCTTGATATGCTTGACCGTTTTATACAACGCATAGACGCGCAAGAGCACCAAGACTATTTAAGTGCATTCAGTCTACTGCGCTGCAAATGAGACGAAACCAGATTACAGCTGCCAATCATGGGAGTCTGGACAATGAGGACCCATGTTACGGAGACCCAGTAAGTCTTGCAGCTGACAAAGGTCAGAGCATGGTTTTCGACAGGACGAATGCCACGCACAACTGTGAGATAAATGAGCACTCGGTAAAGGAAGATATGCAGATCACCGTACGTGATCGGAAAGAGGTCCCGAGAACCCTCCCATAACTAGGGATGTTGTCAGAGAACTCTTCAGAGACAGGGAAAATGCGCACTGTAGGTTTGTGGTAAGACAAGTCCCAACAGACAATATCGGTTGAACAAGTAGAGATATTTGACCACAGAACGCGGGGCGCCCCAGATGAGCTTACTCTAGGCGCATCCGTGAGCAGGACCGGAATAAATTGCTAGCGCGCTTTCTCACTTCTTGGGGTATTGTAAGAATGATGTCGTAGAATGCGAGTGCCTGAGATGGAGCAGTGAGAATTATTTTCACATGCAGTTGGAGGAAGTTATGTACCGCACTGGCTGCCATTGAATATTGCGTTGCTCGTGCTTGGGAGAGCTCGGTCACAATACTGCTGTCCATGTTGTACGATTGGTAGACAGTCACAAGAGGGGCAACGGCGGGGTCATCCAGACAGCCACGAAGATATATACACGCCGACAAGGATGGAGGAAGCCGGCTGGGAGCATACGCACGTTCGGCGTCAGGATGCCGGTGTTGCCATGTGAAATCTAGAAAAGTATTCAAAATGTCAACATCCTGAAAAACGAGAATCTGGAAATATCAGAAAATGCTTGAGTCACCCCCTTTTGTGAGCGGAAAGCCATACGAGTGTAGGAGAGATGCTCGACGTACTGATACGCATGTCGTCAATCAACCATTGTTGGCATATCGCACAGCATATCGAAGGACCCTAGTACGCATCAGATTCTCTGTTGGAAAATGGACTGAATAGAGAGTACCATATGTTGCGCGCAAGCGAAACGGAAAATGCGGCAGAATCTGTTGCTGGCAGAAGTCATCGGAACATGACAATGACACACGTGGTCGAAAAACACCCGACGCCCCATTCTGATCGAGGCTGTTCCGCCCCAAAAGCTCATTGTAGAATCAGTCCCGCCAGCCAGGCACAGTATGGTCGATAGGAGAGGCAGCCAGACAGCAGGTTTTGTTAGAGTCGGACTTGGTTGCAGAGTTCATCACCGTTGCCGGATGATGATTGAGGGGGATCTGACTGCTATCCCGAATGTTGCCGGCGTTATAGCTTGAGCTCGCATTTTGCTCTGATGTTCCTAACATACACTGCGGCATCAAGATAGAACCTCTTGGCCCTTCTGTTGATCCAGGTGCCGAACAACCATCCCCAAGCAACTGCGCCACCAAAAGCTTCGCGTGGACAGCATTGCACCTGACATTCGAAAGTATTGTTCGTGCAACACGGATTTTTTATCTCGTCGCAATAATGTTGTTCTTCTTGTGTGCTGTGTTGTCCTGGTAACAGTGGCATAGTTGGGTGATGTTATAACTCCGCATCTGGGTACAATTTGCCAGTGTGGGTGTGGGTAAGCGTTTACTAAGTGGACATGGGTAACCCAAACACGGGACGTACTGATAGAAAACGCAGAACATATCCCTAAGCTCTCTCATGCCAGCCTCTGCAGGCGCGCTATATCTTTATAGCAAATGAACTCGAACCCCAGCTACAGAGGACGGCTTTTCGTTGATAGTGAGCACGATCGGTTTCTTCTCAAGGCGCATCGGTGTCTCCCTGCGTCATTGCGGTGGGATATGTGTGCAAGCATGATATTCAGCACGTTATGTCAGAGTGTGAGGGTAATATTTAGTGAGCATCCTGGGATTGACACACTTGTGGCATGTGAGAGATCGGAGCAGATGAAGTCAGCCGATCAAAAAAGCGCTTTCAGAAACCAGTACATACGACTCTGGACTCTGCACGGGGTACGTGGCAGTGTTTTTTGCTTACTGTACATATCTTACTCAGCTGACATAATATTATTCCATTGTACTCCTACATTATGTACATCATCACCGGTTATCTACTATACCTGACAAACGGCACCAGTCACGCTCGTCGTCATCCAACCAGCTGAGCTCGCTGCCAATCCACTGCCCCTAGCTGACTCCTCCCTCCCTCGACTCCCCTTCCCTCCTCTCCTCATACCAACTCCCCCACCCACCATATTACTCCTCCACCTCATTCGCCAGCTTTTGGCAGCACACGAGTCCTTGCCACGACTCACTGTCCAGCAAGCCCTCCTCTTCATCACCCTCTGCCAGCACCTCCAAACGTGCATCGCCTGGCAAGAAATCCCTGGCATCGAACACCTCAACACTCCCCCAGCTGCAATACCGAACACGGTCGCAGCTTTCCTCTCCGATTCGCTCGGGCTCCCACCAGGGCACATTCCCGTCCTCTGGCAAGCTCTTCAGTGGACTGCTTGGACACCTGACAGGGATCCTACACGTCCTACTGGCCCTCTGGTAGATCCCCTCCCTTTCTTTGGCCAGCCTGAAGAAGCTCATCAAAAGGTTCAGCAAATGGCCAGGGAGTACATGGGCGAGGTTCCGGCTGTGTGCCCGGAGGAAGAATGACGGACGTCTGAAGGATGGCGAGGTGGAGATGGACAAGCAGGCTTGGTGGGTGGAGTCGGATGAAGAGGGAGAGTAAGAGATGGTGAATTGACTGCGTAGAAATACAATAGACGGGCTTGGAGGTGATGTCCTCCAAGTCCTCTGTTTTTCTTGTTTTTTGTGTAGTAGTATCAATTAATAATTACACGATGTCTAGATAGAACACTAACTAATTGTATCTATCAGACTTAGGCGTTCGGTGTTAGGCAGCACCGGCTATTGAATTGCTCAGCAATGCACCCTGCCCTGCCCGCTTGACGCGGAGCGGGATTAAATTACTAAGCTTAGGACCCTGACATCTGTATCCAGAGTCCAGACGTGCCCCCAAACCTGGATGCTCTCTAAGAAACGAACCCGCACAGCCACTTATACATTTCCGAGCCCTCACGTGACGACCATGACCACCTTCAAAATTTCTGCAACTTCCATCACAACTATCAACATACGTCAGAGCTGGTATTCACACACAGCAATCCCTCGATCTGAGGCTGTTGATCAGTTGCTGATATGCATTAACTCTGTATGGAAAGAGACAGAGAGATGTGTGTGTTTATCATGGCCAGCTCAGCGACGTGCAGGAAGATTTGCGTTGGCAGTAGCCATAGGACAGCGAGTGAATCTCCGATAGTCATCCTCCACCCTGTGGAGTAGCCAAAATTGTCCCGGTGAGCAGCCAAGTGCAGCCAAGCAACGGATCTTCGGACAGTCAGGAAGATGCACCCCTTTCGGGGTAAACCTTTGACAGAACCCATGTCCCTTCGCAATATGTGTGCCATTAATACGACAGCCAAATCCCTCAAATAACCGGGTACGAGAAGATCGCAGACAGAACATACGTGCGATCCCGCTGGTCCGAGAGGTCTGGACAACGATGTGGGTGGAAGCGGATCAATACCTTGGATTGACGGTCCGACCAGCGCCCGAAGATCCAAACGGGGCCTGTAGAGAAGCTTGCTAGTACAACGCCAGCAAGGAGATAATACGTATTGTTGACTGGGTGGATCCGTAAATCCCGAATTTCAGAGGAGTTGTGTGGTCCGACAGGATTACATCATTGTGGGAACAATCGGACATCTCCTACACAAGACAGCTGGCGAGTAATGTTCATCAAGTAATTTCTCCAGGCGCCAAAAATGGATCTTCTGGCGGGGTTGATTGATTGACAGCGGGACGAAGTGGATCTAGTGAATTGGAGCTCGCAGGTAGAAATTCGGACGAAGAGAGAAGCGCGAAAGCAAAAGAAGCCAGAAGTTGCACGCGCCCATTTTACGGCACAGACGATGCGACATTTCAACACTTTGTCTCCTAATGAGTGCCTTGCTGTAACCATTCTCCGGGATACGTCGAACGATCCACACCGGACTTGCGTACAACCGAGTGGATCTGTGAAGGAGAGAAGCATACTGAGCCGTCGGGCAGACACACGTTCACTCCCGCCGGCGAATAGTACGAAGTAGGTGTGTTGGTCACCTCCACTGCCCAAAATACTTAAAGATGCGGCTCGTTGCAGGTCCCACATCCGCTTTGCTGTCCGTGGTAGCACGGCCTGCTCTCTCAGATAGCAAGGATGGTTCGTTTATCCGCCGTCGTTGTAGCTGCGTTATGTGCCTATGCCGTCAAGGCCGATATCCTGACAGGCATACCGGATGCGGCGCCTCCGGGTTATGAGGAGTGGATGTCCCCCATCGTGCGTCTCCTTGCCCTCTACTCCTTCATCCCCACTCTAACCATGTTCTAGGTTGTTCCTGCTAAGACTGTTACTGGAGATGGTCCTTGGGCTTCGGCTGTGGCTCGTGCGCGAGAGTTTGTGGGTAATCTCACCCTCCAGGAGAAGGTCAACCTGACCACTGGTGCGGGCGCAAACGGTCGCTGCGTTGGGATGACTGGGGTATGTCCTATCTTCTCCAGCAACATATGCCAATGCTGATATTCTATAGACGATCCCTCGCCTGAACTTCACTGCATTCTGCTTGGAAGACTCTCCTCTTGGTGTTCGTTTCACCGACTTTGCCAGCGCTTTGTGTGTGACTTACTCCAACGAGCCTACAAATATGCTTACTTCGTTTTCAGTCCAGCAGGAATTAACGTCGCAATGACTTGGGACAAGCAGATGATGTACGACCGTGGGTACGCCATGGGTCAGGAGCACTACGGCAAGGGTGTGAACATGGCCCTCGGTCCTATGACCAACATGTATGCGCGTCCTTCTCATCCATCAGCATTCTAACGCACTCTGCAGGGGCCGTGTCCAAGCCGGCGGTCGGAATTGGGAAGGTTTTGGTGCTGACCCATACCTCTCTGGCTGGGGGGCCTACCAGACCGTCCAAGGCATTCAAGCCGCCGGAGTGATCGCCACGGTCAAACACTACATCGGGAACGAGCAAGAGCACTACCGCGGTGGTGGGGGCGCGTACCAAGTGTACAGTTCCAACATCGATGACCGGACGATGCACGAGATCTACGCCTGGCCTTTCGCTGAGGCCGTCCGTGCCGGTGTGGGCAGCGTCATGTGCTCATACAACAAGATCAACCAGACCCAGGCATGCCAGAACTCCAAGACTCTCAACGGAATCCTCAAGGAGGAACTTGACTTCCAAGGATTTGTCATGTCTGACTGGACGGCTATTATTAGCGGTGCGGACTCGGTGCTCGCAGGATGCGATATGAACATGCCTGGGTTCATGTCCTACAGCGACCCGGAGGAGTACAACCCCGATACGGAGGTGTACAGCTACTGGGGATCCAACCTAATCCAGATGGTTTATAACGGCTCCGTCCCCAAGTCCAGGGTAGACGATATGGTCACCCGCAGTATGTTTATCCTTTCCCCCCCAACGCTGTCGCTCACAGCTCTCTAGTCATGGCGGCATACTATCAGATGGGGCAGGACAAGAACTACCCTGCGTTGAACTTTGACCAGCAGACGGAGAACACGTACGTTAACGGGCAGCTCGTGAACGAGCACGTGAACGTCATGTCCACCCATGGGCAGACGATCCGCGAGATCGGGGCTGCGTCGACCGTCGTGCTCAAGAACACGGGTGTCCTTCCTGTGGACGTGACAAAGTACAAGCGCTATGGGATCTTCGGAAGTGATGCGGCTCCGAACCCGGATGGACCTAATGGGTGCTCGGATAGGGGATGTGATCAGGGCACGCTGGCGATGGGCTGGGGCTCTGGAACGGCTAATGTGCGTAATTTCCTTTCACAGCAGCAGCATCACTCATAAACAGAGCAGTTCCCGTACCTCATTGACCCTCTCGCGGCTATCACGAGCTTCGTATACAGCCAGGAGCCTGACACTGTCCTCGAGGGTATACTGAACGACTACAACTACGCTGCGATCAATACCGTCGCCGCGCAGGCCGATATCTGCTTAGTGTTTGCTAATGCGGATTCGGGTGAGGGGTATATCACTGTTGACGTATGTCTCTTCATGATGTGCTGGATGACGCTGACGGGTATGTATGCAGAACAACGCCGGTGACCGGAACAACCTCACTCTCTGGCATGGCGGGGAGGCGCTTATCAATGCCTCGACGACCTACTGCAACAACACCATCGTCGTCCTTCACACCGTCGGCGCTGTGACGATGGAGTCGTGGATCGATAATGAGAACGTGACTGCGGTGCTGTACTCCGCCCTTCCCGGCCAAGAGTCTGGCAACTCCCTCGTGGACGTCCTGTTCGGCGCTGTGACCCCCTCTGGCAAGCTACCATACACGATCGCGAAGCAGCGGTCGGACTACCCGGCAGACGTGGTGTACTCTTCCGACCAGACCACACCCCAAATCACCTACTCCGAAGCGCTCAAGATCGACTACCGCTGGTTTGATTCGCTCAACATCACACCTCGCTTCGAGTTCGGCTTCGGCTTATCGTACACGACGTTCACGTATTCTGATCTTGAGATCTGGCCTGTGGGGCTCTATAGCTCTTATCCATATGCGACGAACGCGTCTCTCGCTCCTTCGCCTGGTGGAGCTCAAGACCTCTTCTACACGGCTTATGGCGTCTCGTTCCACGTGACAAACACGGGCGCTCGGGACGGAGCAGAGGTGTCCCAGCTGTACTTAGGCTTCCCGCCCAGCGCAGGCGAGCCGCCCAAGGTGCTGCGCGGGTTTGAGAAGACGACGATCAAGAGCCAGAACACTGCTGTTGTTGTGCTCGGGTTGTTGAAACACGATATCAGTATTTGGGATGTTGTTAGCCAGAGTTGGCAGGTGCCGAGTGGGAAGTTTACGGTGATGATTGGGAGTTCTAGTAGGGATATTAGGTTGACTGGGACATTTACTGTTTGAGCAGTGAGAAGTGGATTGGGTGATTCATGCACGGGATCAATGAGAGCGCGGTTGTCCGAGGTGTTTGGAATCTCTTGGCAGAAAGGAAGCATTGTGACCCTCGTTGTCATTTGCCCCGCCCCTACCCATTTCACTTTCCCCAGAGAGTCGTTCACCTCACCTTTCTGCTGTCCTCCTCGCTTACCTCATCCCGCAGAGGCTCCACTCGTTCATCTCATCTGCCTGTCTTTACCTCCTTTCTCTCCTTCCTCCTCCTCCTCTCCCTCCCTCTCCTCCCCTCATCCTCCCCACCACAATGGACGTCGTACTCGAGTATGCAGACCACTACCTCCTCGACTCCCTCTACGCCTGCTGGGTGCCTGCTGACCCCCTCCACCCTACCTCTCCCATATCTGTACTCAACACCTCCTACCAAGATCCATACTCCTACCTCCCCAGTCCAGCACCGCTCGCGTCAGCGTGGGAGAGGGATAACGTCTACCGTCAGATCGTCTCTCTCACGGTCATAACCATGCTCGGCATCCACATCCTCTACTTCCTATTCGCTTACCTCTCCTATGCCTTCATCTTCGACCACAGGCTCAAGTTCCATCCTCGCTATCTCCCAAACCAGATCTCGCAAGAGATTCGCTCAAGCGTGTCTTCCTTCCCGGGTATGATGGCGCTCATGCTGCCCTGGTTCTTGGGAGAAGTACGCGGTTGGAGCAAGATGTACGATAAGGTAGAAGACTACGGATGGACCTACCTCATCCTCTCCGTTCCTATCTTCCTCCTCTTCACGGACTATATGATCTACTGGATCCATCGTGGACTGCACTATCCCCTGGTCTACAAATACGTGCACAAGCCGCACCACAAGTGGATCGGTACGCTTCCTCCCTTCCCTCGTTGCACCCACTGACCTCGGCATGCACGCAGTGCCAACCCCGTTCGCCTCACACGCCTTCCACCCGCTGGACGGAACAGCCCAAGGCATGCCCTACCACTTCTTCGTCTTCCTACTCCCGATGCAACGACACCTCTATCTCGCCCTCTTCATCCTCGTCAACATCTGGACCGTCATAATCCACGACGCGGACATGCTCGTCGACCACCCTCTGCTGAGGTTCATCAATGGCCCTGCGCATCATACGCTGCACCATATCTACTTTACGGTCAACTATGGCCAGTACTTCACCTGGGCGGACTGGGTCGGAGGCAGCTTCATGCAGCCTGGGAAAGAACTCGATCCCTTGATCGCTTCGCTCGAGAACCAGAAGAAGCTGCAAGCGAAGGGGAAGAGCCAGTGAGCATGGCCGATCACCCGCACGCACGCACGTCTGGGTTACTACGGGGCTGTATGGATGAAGTAGCGCGTCGCTTGACGAATCGGGAGGTTCAGGTTCTGGGAAATCTGTACATTTTTGTTGGAAAGAAAAAAACGCCCTCTCTACTCTCTACTCATTCTCCGAAGGACTTTGTTTCGCAGTAGATCATCCCTTCCTATACCCATTACCCCCTTTCTCTGTTCATTCACCCGCTTCACATTTTCCCATTTCATGAGGCAGTTTAGGTCTTTCAGGGAAGCCGTCCCGAACAACGAAATTAATTGGGGTTTTCCTTCCATCAATTACTTGCTTGTCTCTACCTGATCCCCAAGGCAAATTGTCTTCCTAGTACTTACTGTAGAAGAATAGGAAGATGTCTGAATTATAGATTTTTTTTTGGTGGTTTCGGTCTGGCCACTTATTACCACACATATGAACGGGTCAGGGGTGGGTATATTCCCTTATCGGGATCTCCCGCTGATAATCGAGATCGAATGCCGTGAGCTTGGGGCTATCACACGATACTAGCTAGTACTTTCCCGGCGAACAAAGTCAGAACCATGAAGCGATCTCAATATTAATGGGTTGGATTAGATCTCGCACACTCTTTTGGCTAGGCTGGATCTGCACGGCACCCTCCACAGCAGCTCCACCACGCCAGCCCGAGATCCGACATACGACCGAGAAAGGGAAGACCTCTTACTCAAATGGGACCCGGGTTGTACTGTAGAATTAGACCGAGGGGGGCCGAGGAAAGAAAGATCCATATTCGAGGGTGGAGCTGACGCCTTTGAGCAGTACTACACTAGTGGCCGGGCTGAGTACTTGCCAGCTGAGGGATTTGCCGGTTTTCAGAGATGGGAGGGACGGTGGGATGACCCGCCGGGAATGTGGAGGGGAGGAGATAAGCTAGCAATATTATCGGACATGTTTTATCAGATTGCTAACAAGAAGCGAGCTGGAACCTGGACATTCATTCCAGCGTGAGCAGGAACAGCGGGTTTACGGGCATTCTTCACATGTTTTTTCTCAACTAAGGAAGATGACATGATAGTACGAGTGGAGAGAAACACATGGGATAACGACTGTTCTACTTCGCCAAGCTAACAAGAACAGAGAGCGAAAAACATCACAGATACCCCAGATGAATACAATACAGAAGCAGGGGAAAATATCACTGAGGGTATGGTCCAGATATATCTTGACAGGTATGCCGACTTCGTTCAACTTCAAACAGGCACAATCATGATTCAACCGCCGGCCACCGTCATATCACGGCAGCGCTTGACGCAGCTACGATGGGTGTTTTCCCCTTATACCGCTCCCACCACCGTTCTGTTGTGGTCTCGGCTAGCATGCTCGCACTTGGGATCTTGTCTTCACCATCCAACTTCATGTTCCACAGAGCGGAAACATGATCCAGAAGCATCTTCTCTCCTCTATGATACCATTCAACGATTTCGTCCCACTCCTCTTCGGACGGCCATCTTCGCTCGAGAATTATCGTCTTGTCCTCCCATAGTTTTGCAGCATTTATCTTAATCTTGTTCAGCCCTTCACCAACAGAATTTGAAAGATCGATCGCCTCCGCCTGGGTTCAATACTCATTAGGACTTCATCCCTTACACTGTGCGTAGGGACCTCACCGATGGGTGTCGCCAGAGTGATATGCCGAACTTGTGGTCGGTGCTGTCATTGAGCATCCCATACAAGCCAGTTGGCGGGAAGGAGCAGGGAATGCCCACGACGTCCATCGGTTTATCTGCTTCTGCCTGCTGAAGGAAATGTTCGCGTAGTTGCTCTGCATTGTAGACCCCAAGCTGAATAATAAGGTGCGGTGCAGTGGGACTAGACCAAAACGTAGAGCATAAGTACAAGACACATAACGGGCGATTTACGTACTCGAATGCGTCAAATCGTTGGGCCCACCTACGTGTTGCCTCCGTCTCTTCCTTGGTGAGGAAAAAAGACCAATTCCATTCAATACGCCCTGGTTCAGGCGGTCCACTATCCCACTCAAAGCAGTGCCATCTTTCAGACTGCTGCTCAGGCAGAGGGAAATTGGGGAACCGTCCATGCTCAGTGGCAAGCTTCAGAGTTTTGTTCTCCATAATTGCGACGCAGTCCTTGCAGCGGTCGTCCTCAGTTCGTTCAGTATGTACTCCACTCTCTACGAAAGGGGTCAAGGAGCTGTGAACAGAATTGTCCAGTGGCGGTGTGTCCGGGGGCTCCGACACCGGCATGGTCCTGGCAGCTACCGCCAGCTCCACCTCCTCCTGCTCGTTTTCTGAGTCAGAAGCATTGTGAAGTCCGTCTGGTTCCACAGTGGACGCGTCTTCAAGGTCTTCCATGTCTTCAAATTCAGAGGGAACTGGGGTGAATGGGGAGAGTTCGCGAGGTTCAAGGTTGGATGGATAATGTTTGTCAAGCTGCATGTCCTCGGCCGACTGTTCTTCGGATACTGAATACACCGGCCCCTTGGGTTCTTCACTTGAAGATTGGGCACTATCCTGCTTCAGAGGACCCCAAGGTGACACAACTGAAGCTGCCTTTTCAGATACCTTTAGCTGTTGTCCGGTTTCGATGTGACTTGTCGTGGCCTGCCCAATTTCGGTGAAAGAAGCTTGTTGCATGAAGACGGGTCTTTCCATTGTTTGAAGGCGTTCCATTGCTACCTCATTATCTCCCGTTCCGATCTCTTCAAGTCTGTCCGTGGGATTTGGCGAGGCCAACTTTCCTGATTTCACGGCCGACAGGATGGCAGGATCTTGTCCACCAACATGGTCCTGAGCAGTGCGGAAAACGACATGTACACTTTTGCTATCTCCGTGACGAGTTTCACCCAGGTGAAACTTCCCAGCTTTGATAGACTTTCGAGATATACTGCCCAAGTACTGCTCAATCTCAGCCGCCGACTTACCGGGAGCTTGAGCCGAAATGAAAGCACGCAGCGCGGGAAGTTCAGGTTCGTTCCAGATAGACCACTGTTGCTCTTCGACTGAATGTGTGGTAGCGGGAGTTAGAGATGGCCTTTCTCTCTCTCGATTATCTGTCGAAGGGGTAGACGATTTCCCACTTTCTTCAGAGGATCGCACGATAGCTTGAGGGCCAATTGTGAGACCAAGAAGGTTAGACTGGCTGTTAGGTGCATCTGGACTGGATTCTGCATGGAAAGCCACCTCTGTATCTGATTTGCGTTTTTTCTTTGGACGAGGTGACGTGATCGGACCATCGGATGCCTCTGGCTTGATCCCCGAGCCGTCTTCATCCATTTCCAGCTTGATCTTTAGCGGGCTTGGCGTTGTCAGATCGATTAGTACGAGTTTCTGTCGTTCTTTTTGCTTTCGTGCTTCCACTCTTTTCCTCCGTTCTTCTCTGATCCGCCTTGCATCTGCTTCAGTCAGAATGGGAGAGCGTGGAGTTTCGGGACTTTGAGACGGAGGAACGGTGAGCGGAGGCTTAAGGGGAAATTGTGTTTGAGACGGGGAGCGGCTTGGAGCAGCCATCACGGAAGGAATGGAGGCGCCAGGGGGAACCTCGGATCCTGGGGGTTGGTTGCTACCAGAGACGGCACGGTGCTCAACAGGTCTCTGGGCATCAACGTGAGTGCCACGAAGGTGCAGCACATTCCCTCCTGCAGAAGGCCTTGCACCGCCTTCCGTGTTTACAACAGGCTGAAAGACACTCGGGGGAAAGGGTGGTTCAGGTGACTCCGGCCAACCCGAAGGATCTGTGAGCGGAACTGCCGTCTCTGTAGGTGTACCTGCTTCCCCACTTGCGCGACGGTGTGCCTCCTTCAGCTGCTGTAGCTTCTCAAATTGATCTTGCGTTATTTGAATCTGCGAAGGTAGTTGTCCCTGAGCAGCGACGGCAGCCTGGACGGCTTGCTGATGAGTGGACATGACAGCAATGACTCTCTGAGCCTCGGTCTGCGGGATTTGCTGGTGCGAGACTTGTGTCCTAGGTGCAGCACGAGTCTTCTCAACTATGAGTGGGTTTTTCACAGACATGCGCTCAATGTTACTCACCACTGCAGGCCTTCCAGACTGCTGTCCCCGCCCTGCAGGAACCGTACCAGTCGCTATCGATGGGGTCATTTGCGCCAGTGGCACGTTAGGTGACTGAATGTACTTGTTTTGCGGTATTCTGATAGAGCTCGGAGGGGTAGCACTATGACTGCCCAGTGATGCGGGTGACTGGGCTGCCGGAGATCCGCGTGCTGACAAGGGCAGGGATGATCGTGCACTTGGGGTTGCTTGTATCTGCGTCTGTACCGAGAGAGGACCAGGCAGATGTCCCTGCTGGAGCGTATTCTGTACATCCTGCTGGAAATAGAGTCTTTGCTGCTGTCTCATCTGCGCTTGGTGGAGCTGCTGCTGAGCCTGTACTTGTCCCATCAAATACCGTTCTTCTTCCTCCTTCGTCACGCGCGCTATACAGTCCAGGTATGGGCCACAAGAGACGGAAAGCGGCATTGGCTGACTGATGCCCCAATTGGCGGCCGCATTTTGGTTGGCGAAGACGAAGGTGCTGCGCCCGCTTTCGCGAAGGATGAGCGCGGCGCGCTGCGGGCCACCGTCGAATCGACTATTCACCTCATGCCATGCAGAAGTAAGATCATTATACCGTCGCCAGAGCTCAACGCGAAGTGGGGAGGGGAAATAGGTAGCAGCAGGCGCCTGTTCGTTTGCAGGTGTCGAGGTGTTGAGGAATGCTGCTGCGTACTTGGAGAGAGACTCCATGAGTGTGCCAATGCCTGGGAGGAGCTGGTTGACAAATTGAAACGATTGGGAGGTGCTTTGGAGTCTGAAATAAGTGGCTGCACGCATCGCTTGCTACACTGACCTGTCAATCAAACACGTACAAAACACGGGAAATACGCACCTCGGCGAGGACAACAGCCCAGGGTATACTCTGGAAATACCAGCCCAGGCTATTGGAAAAGAATCTTAAAATCTGGTTCAGGGCCATGAGCGCGAACTGGGGCTCATAAAGTTGCTACAAAGTAGGAGGTGAGCGCAGGAGAAGCGCGAGAAATGAAACGGAGAGACGCACACTATATAGGTTTGTGAACGTCACCTCGTTCTTGGCAAAGGCGGGATCCAAGGGGAATGACATAAACCTCTTGTTCACGCCTGGGATCTGTACTACGGTGAAACCTGTTGCCTGCCCTTGGGCTTGGGCTTGGGCTTGGACTCGAGCATGGACTTCTGCCAGTGAAACCGTCTGAAATTGTGCTTGTGCTTGTGCTTCGGCATCCAGAGCTCCCCAAGCAGTGGGATGTGCTTGTGGAGTGACCATCGACTCCGGAGACCAGGGAAGGTCACTATCCTGCGCGGTGACGATCGGAGGCGGTCTTGTCCTAGCGGGGTTGGGGCGTCCCCGGGGTCGAGTAGCGGAAAGGGAGGATTCGCCGGCTGGGGTACGCGTCGAAGCTGATTTGCGCCGGGTGGAGGATGGCTTGCTTGGCCCGGCGGAGGATTGAGGTTGAGGTCGAGACTGAGGTCGCGGTCGCGGTCGCTGTTGCGATTGGACTTGAGGGGAAAGAGTAGGTAGAGAGTGGGCTGAGGGCGGGATCTGACCTGCTAGTGCTGGTCGGTGCGTGTTCAATGACGAGGGTAAGAGTTGTGCTTGGGTGAAAGGTGGGGGTAGTTGTTGACCTTGGGCGTGGGGTTGGGGTTGGGATTGTGCTGGCGGGGTGGGGTACGCTGAGGATTGGAGATCTGGTAATTCGGGCCATGCACCGGCGGAAGGAGGGACAGTCGGTACAGATGGGCTAATACTTCCCTCACCGGTGGGAGACGACGACGAAGCAGGTGTTGGGATCCTAGGGGTCAGGTTCGTCACCAAAGGGTTAACGAAGGGCATATATGCTATATTTTCAGCAGGTTGGAGTATTGGTGGCGAGGGCGTTGACGGGCGGAGCGCATATAGTGACCCTTGATGGGGTGGAAGTTGAATGCTATTTGGCGGGGAATTGCGCAACGCGTGAGATGTTGGGTTGGGATTGGGGGTTGACTGGGTGTTGGATCTGACTGGCGAGGTTCGAGGGTTGGGGTCGACTGCTTGAGTAGGTGAGGGTGCCATGGTCTGAACTCGGAATACGGGCATAGAAGAGGCAGGCGGTGGGTATAGGGTCTGTGGAGTCGTAGATGAGCCGGCGCCCAGGCTGATAGTTTGTTGCCCTCCAATGTCCTCCGTTCCTGCGATCCTTCCTCCATCCCCTGCTCCTCCGGTTCTCTCAGCCTCATCCCCGATCCCCCCAGGGAGTGACCTCATCAGCGGGGGCATCAAGTTCCCGCTCTCCACCTGTTCCTTCTTCATCTTCAGCTCCCTTAAGAGAACGGCCAAACTCGAAGGAGGTGGACGTGACATCTGCGTTGAGGGTAGCGCGACAGTTGGTGAAGGGAAGGGACGGAAGGTTTAGGATGAATGGCGGTCAATATGGAGAGATGTTGCCCTCGGGGAAGCCGGCCCGGAAGGCAGAAGAGGAAATGTCGTCTGGCTTTCGACTGATCGTGTCGACCGTCCCAGAGCAGAAGAGGACAACCCTGCAGACGGTTCCAGACGTCGCCTTGAAAGTGTCAGAAGCCAGAGCTGACGAAGCTGGTCAGCATACAACGAGCGCCGGTGACAAGGATCAATCAACAAACCCTGTCGTGACCAAGAAAGGCAAGTATATGCTATCAACCAGTTGATAGCTCGCTGTCAGGAGGTACACCCAGGCGGTCTGCACTGGTTGGACCTCGCTGTCCAGCAGCACAATCGCTAGGCGGCAGACACCCTCGTTGGGTAACACTGCCACACAACACTTTTCATGTTCCATCGCGTTTCCGCCTCGTGTCATCCGCAAAGGCTTTTGTTCCACGGGACGCGGACACATGGGTCCATGAAAGAGAAAAGAGACTTAATGGAATCAAAGTTTATTGCCCCGGTGTGGGTTGCAGGGGATGGAATCAAACGGGCCCAAATGAAATCAAAAGGACCCAAAAGGAAGACAAAATCCCACGAATAGATGTTCGAGAAATTCCGAGGGCCTAAGCATTTGCCTCCGGATATTAATATTGTGGGAACAGTAACTCCGTGGAGGGGCACCGGAGATGGATGTTCTCCGCGACACAGCCTCCGGGAGAATAGAGGGATGCCAGGGTCCACGGAAGCGACGTCATGATCCCGTGCTTCTCTCTTCTCTTCTTCATTGGCTACTCTGACAACACGGGACTGCACACTGGGTCGACAATAGACGAGGAATAATGAATGCTGTGGAGCTGATTGTGGTCATGATCCACCATATAGGGCGGGAGTACAGCATTCGATAGTGGGGCTAATGGACTCTGCGTGCCTGGACCTGGGATTCTCTCTTGCTTTGGACCGTACCTTCAACCCGCCGTAACGGACAGTACGACCGCTTATTAGACCATACGATCTGGATTGAAACTGGTTGTGTGATTGATACCGTAGTGAGCACACTTTTTTTGGGCCGTACGAAAACTCTGAGCGAATTACGTGCAGCGCCTATTTCTGACAGCGGAGATAAGCGCCCGTTTCCCACGGTCACACCCGCGACAGTCAACACCCGAATTCCGCAGGCCTAGCATCAAGCACTCACCTCTCCCACGACCACATACGACTCCATTCCTGTCACATAGACTTTGCAATCCATTCATAACATAGATGACACGGTCAACGAAGCAACGACACTCACGATCTTCGTGGCGCTTCTTCTGCATACTCCAAGCGCTATTCGCCCTCCCCACCTTAGGGTACACCCCGCTCCCTCGTTGGGCTCACGCCTCCCTCCTGACGCCTTCTGCTTTATACATCCAAGGCGGTCTCCTCTCTCCCAATACCACTATCAACGCATACAACGACAGTACTGCTCCCCTCACGTCTTCACTCCTCACACTCCCGCTGGATAGGGCGTTCGATCTCACCGACCCACCATGGTTCGAGCCAGAGCTGGAAGAGCAAGGACCGGTGGTGGCATGGCACACCCTTACTGCTATGAAAGCGGGAAGCACACAAGAGGGTCAGGCGGTGCTGTTTGGAGGTGCGTCGACTGAGCTGGGGGACGATAACGCGACTACCTGGATGTTCGCCTACCCTTCTTCCTCAACCTCCGCAACCTCCGCAACCTCCGCAACCTCCAGTACTTCCTTCTCTCTCCCGAGCAATTTCAACTTTACCCCCGACCCGGGCTGGCCAGATTCAGGCCGACGTTTTGGACACGCCGCCGCCTCCTCCGTGGGCTCGGTATACATCATTGGCGGTCAGAACACCTCCGGCGATGCTTGGCTCACCGGACTGCGATTCTCACTCCCTACCTCACCGGAGGAGAGCATCCACTTCCAAGAGTTCCCTACCCCCTTCCCAGGGCAGTTTGGCGGACGCCTCCTACCGCTCGACCCGGGGGCATCGACCTTCCTTTATCTCCCTGCACCACCTCTAGCTCTGGGCACTCTATGGGTGCTGAACGCGACCAACCCCGAGCCAGAATGGATCGAAGTTCCCGTAAGTGGGGCACTGAGCGGCTCTGGCTCCGGATCCGGCTCGGGTTCGTCAAAGCGACAAACCAGTATCCCCAGCCCGAGACAACAAGCTGCCGCCATCCTGACCCCTGGAGGACAGCTCCTGGTACATGGTGGTCGTACCCCTTCTGGAGCGGTACTAGCCGATGGGTGGGTGGTTGACCTCACACAACCTTCCTGGACTTGGGAGAACAAACCTGCATTGGGGGTGTTAGGTGGGAGGAGAGACCATTCGGCCGTACCAGTGGGGAATGATGGGGCCATGTTCCTTTTCGGTGCTTTTCCTCCCGCCTGGGATCTGGAATTGGAACTAATAAATGGCAGGATACGGGACTGATGGGCCGGTGAGCGTACAGCCGATGCTGTACAACCTCACCACGGACTCGTTCGAGTCGGCTTACAACCCTCCTTCCAGTCTGCCCCCCACCAATCCCCATAGTAGTTCCATCCTCACGACACCTGTGACGACCACTATCACTACCGTTGTGGAGACCACCTCCGCTGGACACGCGCTGACGGAGACCGTCACAGTTCCTACGACTTTCCAACCGTGGAGCTTCACCGTGACCGTTCTCGGAGGGACAACGACCACTTTGCCTATAATCACACCTGAAGGGGGTAGCACGCTCACTTTCCTCCCTGGCCGGCCTACGACCTACCTAAACGGTGGCCACATCTATACACTCCTTCCTAGCGCGTCTTTTCCTACTGCTGAAATCCCTTCCGGGGCGAGCACCGTGACGTCCACATACGACCCCTCGTCTCCTTTCACCAGTCTCTCAACGCAAACGAGTTCCACTGCCTTCCCCACAAGCACCTCCGCCGCCGCAGGGTCAACAGCCCGCACCCTATCAACAAGCAGCAAAGCCCTGCTCGGCTCCTTCCTAGGTGTCTTCGGCCTGATCCTCCTCGCCCTCCTCCTCATCCTTTGTATAAGAAGACATCGCACGTCGCCAGCACGCAGTGGGAGTAACGGGAGCGCGAGGTGGACTGGAGAGGGTGCGGCAAGCCTTCTGAGGTCTGATGGGGCAGGAGACGCTGGTTCAGGGGTTGGACAAAGGGGTGCTGGCTCAGTCACTGAGATGGACGATCGACCCAATCATAACGGGACAGGGATATGGAACGGGCTATTAGCTATCCTGCTTATCCCTGGGCTGGCGAGGAAAGACACAACCCCTAAAGAACACTCGCGCAGGAGCAAAACCCGGTTCGACATACTTGCCTCGGAGGACTTGCCTTCCCGTCATCCGTCTAACGGGACGCGCGGAACGAGGGAGTCTGGCTTACCAAGGCGACCGTCGCAGCGGTCTTATGACAGCACTACAGGAAGTATGCTCCCTGCTGTGCTTGCTGCAGGGATGGCAGCGGCAAATAGGAGTGTGCAGGGCGCACGGAGTGCGTGGGGCCATGGGTCAGACGCTAGCAGTACCCGTTCTCCAGAGTGGTGGGAGAAGGATCCGTTCGACGAAGGACTGGCATTCGTCGACCATGATGGCACACCTTCCCGCTCCGATCCTCTCGCTGCCGAAGACACTCCGCCTTCATCTCGATTGCCATATGTCCCGCCTGGCGCTGCTCGGCCAGTGATGCCCTCTCCAACACCGAGCTTCAACACCCTGGCCAGCTACAGTAGGAGAAGCGCTTATGCCGACCCATGGGCGAGCGATAGCGCGATTGAGCACCGGCCGATGGGTTTCAGCGAAGAGGTGGGACTAGGATATACGTTTATGGGAGGTCTACGTCATGCGAGACAGGGGACTTCTAGTCCTTGGAGATCCGGAGAGCTCTCCACTCCTCCGCAGGCAAGCTCGTCCAGGTTTCCCAACATCGGACTCCCAGGCAACATCACCGAAAGTGGTGAAAACGCCCAAGCTGTCCTTTCATCTCCTGTCAGCTCGGAGAAACCGCGATCTAGCCTAGAGCAAGCATCCAGCGAGGATCAAGAATTCAGTCAGCAGGCAAGTGTGGGACATGGTGCACACGCCCGACATATTGAGCCCTCCCCGCTTCAGTCACCCAGCCAGCCGCAATTCTGGCATAATCAAACCAGGGCTAGTCCACAATCAGGCTCTAGCGCTGGCTGGACCAAGAACAGTGGAGCGTCGAATGACGACATCCGAAAGTCAATAGATATTCTTCGTCCGCCGATGCCTTTCCATGAGTCGAGTGGAAGTGGCTCGAGATCCTCAGGTTCGAGAACCCAGAATGCTCAGCGTGCAACCCCAGTCCTTCCACCCATCAACACTGGTGGAAGCTCTCTGGGACGCGTAGACTCATGGTGGAACAAAATTCGCGCTTCATCCTCCCAGCTTATGTCGCCTATCCGTTCCCCTATATCCTCGCCGCCAGTCGCTCGGCGACCTATAATACCAATTGACTTTAGAGATCCAAAGCCGCCTCCAACACCCTTCTTAGGCACGATTACAGAATCCGCCCCTTCATCGGTTGATCACACAGCAGCTCGGTTACGACAAGTACGCCATTGGTCGGGCCTGGCTTCTACCACTTCGCTTCATTCAGCTGCAACCGCGGAAAGTGCGGTTCTTGATCAGATTGCACGGACTGGGGGGGTGGACGTTGTGCGGCGTGGGCAGGGAAGTGCGTCCGATCTCACGCTACGGTGTAATACCAGAGATGGGGTGTCTCCATCCACCGGTCTATCCCCGTCCACTGGGATTTCCAGTTCCGCTTCTTCTGCTGGACCACGATTGCTACCGTCTCCACCTCCTCGTGAAGAAAATTCGGTGCGACGGTCACCCACAACAGCACCACCAGTCAGCCAAAGGCAATCCCGTGCGAAATACGGGTTGGCAAGGAGTGCAAGCCTGTTCATCGCAAACCCGGATGGTCTATCTGAGGGCATCGATGCCCTCTAATCACCTGTTTTTGAAGGACATCGGAGAGCATGAGCTCCATTCAAGCTCCGACTGGCATCTTTATACCTTCCCCATCATTCCCCTGTGCTGTATCCAGTGTTTCCTTGGACAAACTTCTTCGAACTGCATTTCTAGAGAGCATAACAGAACACGTCGATTCATGACTGGAATAAATGCAATTCAAGGGCCAGCATATGTAGGCCCGCGTGATTTGGTCCTCAAAGAAAAAAAACCAGCTATCATTGAAAGATCACCCGGTCGGCGTTGTCCTTCGTCAATAATGCCAAGCAAGTTTTTTCTCAGATACGCCACACATATCCCACCTTAGCAGATGAATTATCGGTTATTCGCAATCACACCATATCCGATATATCAGGGAAGCACACTGGGTAATTTCGTATTTCAATGAACAACATGAAACAAGCCGCAGTGCTTCTGTAATGTGTTTTCATATCAACAACCACGACATGAACCAGGCGTCAATCATGATGATACCTACTTCCTCAACCCAGCATCCCACCTGTGTCATTCTCTTGGTGTTCATCCAAATATTCTCCACCCACTGATCCTCGGCTGCCTCTTGAGAGTCAACGTTGGGCGTAATTGACGAACGAAGGAGTAGAACTGTACAGTTGTGGCTGCCCTATGATCAGGGTGACACAACCGTTTGTTTCGTGTATCCTCGCCTGGCTTCCTCTCATAGATGATTATTTCCTGTTAGCCCAGTTCTTTCAGAAAATACAGTGGATTAATGTCATCATGAAGGCTCCAAACAAGCCGTGACTTCCTTGGTCATACCCTTCTCAGGGTGCGAGGTCACCTTGGTCACTTTCCACGCATTCGGGCTTTGGGACACGTATCATGACCAGTAGCAACGTCAGGGCGAATAGAGTCTACGAAGACCAGGTAAACATATTATCGTCTTTCACCAATTAAGAGAAGGTATCGAAGAAGTGCAGTTGATACGGATACACGACAAAGAAAAAGACAGTTCCATCATTCCAACAACGCTCACGATATGGTACCCAACACAGAAGGGGGAGTATAGTCGAGACACAGAAGGGTTTTGCGGTCGTTGCGAGTTGCATGAGCGAGACACGGAAAGCCGCGAAAAGTCAGAGACGATGAGCATCTTACACCCCACCAGCGCCGCGCGTCCTTTCAATCAGAGCCCGCAGCGCACTGAGCCACTTGATCTCCTCGTCCTCGCTCGGCGCACATAGAATATATGCGCGCTCAGGAGTGATGACTTTGAAGATGTGTGCCTCCTCGGGGCCGAGACCGGAAGTGTCGATGATGCTTTTCTCCGGTGGGGAGTGGGGCAGGTGGGGTAGGTGATGGTGTGATTTCGGATCGGGCGGGGCGTACTCGACCGCGTGAAGAATTTGGGAGATTGGTATAGAACGGTGAGATCTGGTATCCTGCGAAAGGTATCAGCTACCCAACATGACTTTGAGGGAAGTAAAACGTACCATATGACTCTTCCCATACTCTAAGCCCGATTCCTTGAGCACAAACCAACGCTTTCTCCACTGCTTCCTCTTCCCCATCTTGGTCATGTATCCTTGGAGGATGGGCTTGTTTGGGTCTCGCTTCGTAGACACACTCCGAAGCATCCCTGTGCTCGGAGCAGAGGCGGGAGTCGGTGCGACAGGCGAGGGTGGCACAGTGGGCAATGAAGTAGCCATAGCCGTTGAGCTGGATCGAGACCGTCCGGGTGGAGACTGTGGTGAGCGGTGCTCGTCTGAGTCCGAGCTGGTTCCTAATATGGGCGACGTATGCTTTGTGCTAAGGGAAATACGAGGCGGCAGCGGTGCGCTCAACTGATTCGTCACGGAGGCTGGGCTTGCAACGTTCATTGCACTTTCAAGCTCTTCGGCTTCCTCCTCTTTGGCATCTCGAGCGATCTCGCGCAAGGCGGCCACCCAGTCTTGCGCTTCACGCTCCGTTTCCGCACGGAGATAGTAGGTGCGTGAAGCGGTGATAAGCGCGAATGCGTGTCCATACTTCTTGAGCGTCACCGGCTGGACGGCGGAGATACTAGATGTGGGGATCAACTGCAGCAAACGATACTCGGCATCGGACTTGTAGTATGCTAGCTTGGCGCCACGCAGCACAAACCATCGCTTTTGCCATGCCTGAAGAAGGAATGAGCATATATGCGCTATCATAGAATAGTAACACGATACCTTGCGTCGCTCGCCCTTCTTGAGCAGATAACCAGCCTTTATGACTTGTTCATCTCGAAGTCCGCCCTCATCCACCTCTCCCTCGCTCGCTTCGACCTCCTCATCCTCATCTGACTCACTCCCGTCCTGTGTCGCCCTCTCTTCGATAACACCCAGAGTGCTCCCACCTTCACTGAAGCTTGGGATGGTATGATGAGCTGCTGTGGGGGAATGCATGGCGCTTGTGTCCGAGTCGGATTCGCTGCTGAACGCGCTGGGGTAGACGGGGGCGCCAGTGCTTATAGCGCTAAGGGCGCGCACGGTACGCTTAGACGGAGTACGGCTCGGAACCGGCATGGGTCCCGGAGCGGTCATCGAGAGCTTGCGGTGGACCTCCTGAGGAGATGGAGGAGCGGCCGCTGATACAGCATGAGAGGACGCTGTTTGGGTAGACATAGTGGTGGGTAGTGAAAATCGTTACGGTCGTGATCGTCGTCGAAGATGGATGGTTGATGTATGCGCGTTGACAGATGTATGCGCCAAGCGAATGAAGGGTACGAAAGCGTTGGCCCTAAAAAGGTGGGGAATGCGTCCGTCTCCGTGGGCGACGTCCAGCGCGTGGAGATGCGAACACCTGATGTACACCCGTTTGGTCCAATCGGCTAGTGTGGGTATTTGTTAATCGTTCAACTTTTCCTTGTTGGCGTTTGCCCCGTTAGTCGGTGGGGGCGTGGTTGGCAGTTGGACGTATAATGGGGTGGATGCGAGAGGAGGGGGGCGTTCAGAAGGGGACTATGGACGACCAAGCCAAAGGGTCCGTCTCACCCGGTTGGAATGCGACGACGACAAGAGAACCAGCTCCAGCGTGACCAAAGACTTCCGCCAGGGGCTTCTTATTCCAAATGAACAATACCGACGCTGCCGGCGGCTGGCTGGACAATAGTCGTGTGGAGCCTGATCAGATGGACGACGACGAGCCCGACGGGGTCGTGTGCCTGCGTGGGTGACATATGCGGACGGTGAGGCCCTTGGTGACGCAAGGCGATGCTGACACGTCCGACTGAATGCCTAGCGGCGTTACGTCGTCAACAGCCCATCATCTGGGCATCATCCCTACTTTTCTTTGTCTTCATTCCGTGATGTGCTATGTTCTCTTTCACTGTCTATCGATGCTCCACGGGACAGTGTGAGAATTGAGGACATCACCCTTAGGGAAATTCGCCCGATGGAGAAGTGCCGATCATGAACTGGATGATCTGCAATCTTCGCAAGTGTTTGGGCAGCATCAGGATGATGTGACAGCTCCCGGTTATGGCATATGACATCGATTACCTCAACGTCCTGATAAACACTGACTACAACGGGAAATTCTTCATTAATGGGAATTCGGGCTGTGCCCGAGCCTTCCTCGACAGCGTGTTGAACACTGCCTGTAGCATCGACCTAGGACGAGGTGATGTTCGCCGCAAAGTCGTGGCTCCTTGAAAGCATGTCGATCTCCGTCCAGTACTGGGTGAAAAACTGGGTCCAATAGGCCGCGCCTGGGTACGTGCGCCAGTCGCGCAAGAGCTCGAAAGTGACGGCGAACAAGGAGAGCACCTGGATGTTGGGTGCCTGGCGCATGCGGTCGTATGCTAGCTCGGCGGTCATAGTGTCAAACGTGCCGGATGCGTCGCGGACGACAAAGACCTGCATCATATCAGCACACCGCAGGACATATGCCTGAATTGAGCACTCGCATCGTATCCCTCCTGAGCAAGAGACAGTGCCAAGAAAGCGACACACACGTCGGTAGTGATGCCCGCAACGATCAGCTGCGTCTTCTTCGTCGCTTGGACCGCGTTTCTGAAATCTTTATTATCCCAGGCATTCACCTGCCCAGGCCTCTGGATAAACGTCGCATTCGGGTGATCCTCCAAAATCTGCCTGGGCAGCGGCCCGTTCAGCCCAGTCTGGGCCGAACTGGAGAGGATGGTAGTGAGGTTGAATAAGTTACCGAGCTTCGATAAGGCGAAGACGTTGTTCCGGAACTGGATGCGTTCGATGTCGTGCACGAGCTGGAAGAGGCCGGACTGGTGGTCCACTAGCAGCAGAGCGGCGGTGTCTTTGTCAAGCCGGTTGTAGGTGAAGCCTGAATCTGGGTTAGTGGCCCTTTGACATATGGAGGACGTTGCTCACCTGAAGCACCAGCAAAGAAGGCGAGAAGAGCGACTGCGAAGCTAAGCAAGTGGAGCATGGCTTTGAGGTGGAATGGCTTGCACTGTCAGGTATCAGTGTGGTCAAGATTGCCTTTGCCGCTGAAGCTCCAGAACCCCGTCTGGTTGAATATTTATACCTCATCGGATCGACATTCGCCCAGTGCGAAGTTTGATGGTAGGAGACCTAGTTAGGCTAATGGAACCTTGGTAGGCGCTTCAGAAGATATTTGTTTTGATGCAGCGTTAACCAACTTTCCCGACGTAGGACATATGTCGCAACGAACCAGGAGCATCGCGGTCAAAATTAATTGCGCGCCTAGAGTTCAGGTGACCGAATAGGTCAAAAGAGTAAGCAAGGTGAGGCACAAGCCCCTTGTGGGAACGCTATGCACCACCGGAGAAACTCGAAGCAAACAAATGTACCGGGAAGACTCGACGGGCACAGTGAGAAGCCTTGGGCCTATTCAAAACAGGCCGAGACGTCCATTCGGCTACCCTGGCCAGCGCTCGAGTGGGAATGGCGATCCACAGAGAATCTGCATTCCGTTCATGCTGGGTAGATTGAATATGCACGTCAGAGAGACAGGGGTTTGCCCAAGCGTTCCATCCGAAGAGTTGAGAAGGCGGGTTTGGATTGCGCGCTTCCTTAGATTAGGTAAGCAGATTTGTTCCCAACATACCAGTAGGCTTTGGGAAGATCAGATCGACTTGGACAAGAGATGAGAGAACCGGCTCACGCAGAATTGAGTGAATGTGGAAGATCCGGAGAAAAGAGCCGCGAAGATACGCGCGTGTTTACTGGGTCGGAGAAAGACTGTTCCCACGACCATACCAGAGCAGGATGGACCTAGTAAAGCCATCAATATTGTGTGCTTTCACGTGAAAATACATTGTTGGGTTTTGCTGGCTTGTTCGATGACTTCCTCCTTCCAGCCTCGTATACGGAGATAGCTTAATAAGCAACCCTATGTGCAGTTGGGCTATAGAAGACGCGAGAGTAACCATTGGTACGTTCATCAGACAGAGAACTGAGCACAACAAACATCCTGCGGTGCAAAGCGCACCGTCCGTCAAACGCTCTCCCGAAGTCCGTATCCAGTCGTCAAGTACCCCAACCAGCAGGAAGACATGGAGCCGATCGGAGCAGGAAGACAATGACGAGCCTTTCTCCTCGGAATCCTCTGTTTCGCGCGTTTCCGCGGAGATGCAGGGGAACGGTAAGGACACGGTCACTGACTTGGAGCACCGATCGGCAGTTGATTGATTGGCGGTTCAAGGATGTCTAACAGACGGCCTGGAGCGATGTTTCAGTGAGAGAACAGTTGAGAGATGACAGAGGACAGGGAAGGGGATGAGAGAGAGTCAAGGTGCACAAACAAAGTTGTCGACGTCCGTGTTGGCCGGCGAACCCCAAAAAAGTGAGTGACCAGGGAAAAGGGACGATCGAGGCGAAAAGCGGGAGCAATGGCGGTGGAGCACACAGGGGGACGGGATCAATGGGCGTAATATGGACCGAATGTGCGCGTCTCCGGGGAGTCACTCCACGCAAGAGGGAAGACGAAAAGGAGAGAGAACGGGAAATGCTGAGGGGAAGGGCAGTGAGCTCCGCAATGCACAGCCCAAAATCTATAACATTTATTGGTTTATACACTAGTTAGTTAACGTTGTTGTACATGTCACAGCTTGAACCGTGTCATCTTGAACTTATATTTGAGCCTGAGACGGTGGGAAGAAAGAAACGCTTCGTAGTGAGGGCCCACCCGACACACGCGCGCCGTCTTTGACCCCTCACCAGTACTAGCACTTGCACTCCTCGTCGACACCAATCCTCTACTCATCGGCTCGTCGTCCACAGCGTCGCCTCTACAACGGCGGCAGCGATAGCTACGGCACTGCACTGCGCTTAGACACTGCCTCTCAAGCGCGGCTGAAGAACTGCATAGTCGGTTCTGATAGACCCCGCACTCAGTCACTGTCAACCACCCTTCTCCAATCGTCCTTAACTGCAAGTGCAACCCAGGCAACCCACGTCTGCCCAACCTGTTTCTTTCCCGTATTACCCTCCGTCAACCGGACGGTCCTCCTCCTCCTCGTCGAGGAAACCGAACTTCCATCCTGGCTGCTTCTCGACCTTCTCCCGCTCCCGCACACGCGGCGGGCAACGGACCACCACCTCCACCCCCAAGGCTTAGGGTTACTCTCCCCCCGCCTGCGTCGTCAAGAGATGACAGGCCGCTAGCGAAGAGAATGCAGAGTATGGGCTCTGATGCTAGTGGGAATGGGGAAGGGGCGCCGCCGAGCAAGGCAGGACTCAAGACTTGGTGGAAGCAGTTCACCATCTTGCAGCGCGTGAAACGAGAGGCACAACAACAACAGCAGCAGCAACAACAACAACAACAGCAACAGATGACGCAAACGAAACCTGGAGATCCCAACGCCGCACCTCAGACACTGGGAAAGGTCTTCGGCGTCCCGCTCCGAGAGAGCCTCAAGTACGCCAGTGTGCAAATCAGCACAGTGGACCAGAATGGAGAGCTTTACGTATGGGGCTACGTCCCTGTTGTCGTGGCCAAATGGTGTGTTCTCTTCTTTTCTCAAAAAACAAATGCTTACTCCTGCCAGCGGCCTCTACCTGAAAGAAAACGCAACCGAAGTCCCCGGCACATTCCGCGTCTCTGGCTCTGCAAAGCGTATGCGTGATCTCCAGTCGACATTCGAAAAACCTCCCAAGTACGGCAAGAGCCTCGATTGGAAAAAGGAGAATTATACCACGCATGACGTTGCTAGCGTCTTTAGGCGGTACTTAACCCAGATGCCAGAGCCTGTGATTCCTCATCAACTGTATCATCAATTCAGGGATACGATGGGTGCGTCCCCTGTGCATTCTTCTTCTAATATGTTGACAAAGAAACAGCGAAGAAACCGTTCGATAGAGATCAGGCAATCAAGACCTACCAGAGGCTAATACGCAGCATGCCCCGCGCAAATCAGTACTTGCTGCTGTATGTGCTCGACTTGCTCAGCGTCTTTGCGCGGAAGAGCGATGTGAACCTTATGCCTGCGTCGAGTGCGTGCTGTCTATGCTGTGGAAGTCGGAGACTGACTATATGCACAGACTTGGCTCTTATCTTCCGGCCGGGACTTATCTCACACCCTTCGCACGAGCTCACCCCAGAAGAACACCAGCTCTCCCTGAAAGTCCTCGAGTTCCTCATCGCACAACAAGACTACTTTATGATGGACCTGTCTCCCCCTCCCATCCCTCCTACGCCTTCGGCCGAGTCCCCACAACCGCCGTTTCCGACCGCCCCACCTCTCACACCCGCATCGCTCCCTTCGACCGGGTCGCAGACAGGTCAAGTCTCAGACGAGTCAAGCGACATCTACATGGTCCCTTCTTCTTCCGACTCAGACCCACCATCCGGAGGTTGGAAATTGATAAACAGAAGGGGAAAGGAGGTGCATAGGAGGCGGACGACAGACGCTAGGAGTGGGACTGGGAAACGTGCTGCAGGGACAGGCGCTGGCGCGGGAAAGGGAAAGGGAAAGGAGAGGCTTGAGGTGGTGACGGACGAGCCTGAGGCTTCTGGAGCTGCAGCGTCGGGAGGGGCCACGGGGGTGAAGAGATCTCGCACACTACCGTCGAGGAAGGAAGAGCCAGCGCCTGTTGTGGAGCGATCCCAGAGGAGAGACAGAGGAGCAGAGAGGGAAAGAGAGAGGGAGCATAAGAACGTTCTCAGTAAACGGCAGAAACGGCTTTCCCAGCAACCGAGTGCTACCACTCGAGTAGACTTGGGAAGGAGGGCAGTCGAGGCGCCAACATAGCCCTCCTTAACTTCTCTTCCTGTTAAGCTTTCACAGCTTTTCGGCGAGCTTTCCCCTTTGTTGTTGTTGATAGTTGGATGGTGATAGTACCGCTGTGTGATAGTCGACATGCTCATGATCTCTTATTTCCTCCCTGTTGTTTTCTTCGAACTGTTTCTTCTGATCCTCTATATTCCCCTCTATATTTCTGTTTGTGGATCGGGCAAGATTAGGATATGTAATCACCCTACCGATATGTACTGCTATCATCTTCTACCTCTGCACTTTTCTGTGTCTGTCCTATTCCGTCCACACACGGGTCATGTCGTTGATCATGAACAATAAATGTTATTCTGCTGCTGGATGGATGTTAAGGCAAGGTTGGTCTGACAGGGAAAAGAGAGGAAGGACACAGCTCAAAGAATGCTTTCCGAGGCGACCGTACCGGTTGATGACATGCCTGACGGTGGAGTTGTATTTAGCCAGGCATGGGCCCCGCCACGTATCTCGCTGTTGGAGGACGTACCACGTAGGGAGAAGGCTATGGTTGATTAGGGGCGGAACAGAACCTGTCGAGGGGGGGTGTCGGCAAAACCGGCCCTAAACAATGCCAAGGCTATACGCTCGTTCCGTTCTTATCGCATGCAACAGGTAACCAATATTGTAACTGGTTTCAGTGTACAATATAATGGACATCAGACAATGAGGTAACGATATTATACATAACGCAAGGTGACGTAAGTGTAAAACCGTAGTTGCTTTTTTTCAGATGAAGAGGAGCGGATAGCCACACCTGACGAACCTGTGTGCGGTGCGAGCTTGCGGAGTTGGTCCCTCTTTTGCAGACAGTCATTCTTTTGTTTCTGCCTCATCTTCCATCTGCACTTTCCCCTTGTCATCTGATGCGATGCTTCCTGGTTCGACGGCTAAAACATTCGTCAAGCGTGCTCTTCCTGTCGGTAATCTACGTGCCCTTAAACGTCTGATGTGAGCAGGCTGCAACAGAAATGTGCCATCTGGATGCGCCCACGAATGCCCCGAGGTTACTGTTCATTTTCTGATGGTTGGATGTGGGTGCTGGTTTGAGCTGGCAGCATGCGCATCGTGCTTCTGATACCAGGCACCCACTTACTGAACTCAATACACGCTCCTCAAGGGAGGCTATCTTCTTCTGCTCTATCGTTGGTAGCTCTGCCATCTGCACAGGGAATATCATCTTCAGGTAACTGTGCTGCTTTGTTCTTCTTCTGAATTCTATGGATGGAACTGCTTTCCATGCCAGGCGCTGGATTGTCACTTCGTCGTGGGCTTCTGGGATGATATGCAGCCCTTTGGTGGCGCCATACACATGCATGAATTGCATAGCCGAACACCACCGGCGACTGTAACACTGCACCAGCAACTCTGATAGGAGCTCCGGATCTCTTCAAGCTGCGATAATCCTTTCCCGGAAGTGTTACATTGTCATTTTTTAAACCCGTCAAGAGATCCGAGGATGTCAGAATACATCGTATCTCCGCTTCAGTCGATCCCTGACCAAACGCTGTTTCAATTGCTGCCTGTCTCGGTCACGAATCGGTCCTGAATTGGTTCCCCACATCGAAAATTCAGACGTGTGCTATGGCATCCCAGTCATAAGGTTCCCGTGCGAGAGATACCCCAGCCAGGACGCCCTTGGAATACGCATCGTGACTTGTCTCGACACCGTCGTCGTTTCGCTTTCATTTGTGGCGCTCCTTTGTGCTCTCCAACTCGGCCTATCATGGACTACGTAACGGTTCTCTCTCAAGCTCGAGCGACTCAGTATACAATGGCGGCCAGCGCTGTGAGGGAACCTTTCCCATTCATAATTATTATTGACTTATGAACTCTCTAGGCCATTGCACTGTATGATACTGTGCTAACCACCCCCCGAGAAGTCCGATTACTTCAACCGGCGTCGGGCAACCATACCCTAACTACTATGTCAGTAGATCGAGCTCATATGGCGCTCCGGATCGTCTTTTGTCAAGTGGTTCTATATGATGAATCGCTATGGACTCATAGTGCTTGTTATACCCCAGATCATTGGTATGTAAGAGTTACGTGTTATCGTACGGCCTCATTGTACAATTTCGGTTGCAGTACAAGGTGGATTCTCGGGGCCGCTTTCAAATCAGGTGGGTCACCATACCAATGACTTGTTGTAGTCAGAACTGATGCTGTCTCAAGTCGTAGGGGCTTCAACAGCCAAGTTATGTGACTGATGGCTTAAATATTCTTGCTCAGCTGCTACACCTATTGGGTAACAACCACAGCATGTCTCTTGGTCGTCATCCCTGTCTTTGGATCAGGCAAGTATATGTATCTATTCCAACCATCCTACTGAGCTGAAGTGAAATCTTCAGCCCTCATCTTATTCCCGGTATATGCTCTGTACAAGCCCCAAACACATGTCAAAATTCTACTTGCTCTTCTCTGGGTGATCTCTTGGATCCCGACGCTGGGTATCGTCATTATTTCCTTCCTGACCTCAAAATGGCACGGTAAGTGATTCATTTCACTTCCCGACGGTAGTTCAAGAACCACCATTAGATCCAAGTGACTACCCCTATGTCTCGGTTCCCGGAATCTGCAGTGTTGGGACCAAACCATCGTACTTCTGGGTTGAATTCATTGGTCTAGTAAGTACTCACGCTTATTCAACCGAACGTCCAAAGTTCAGGGATGTTCTACAATGCAGGTTTCCTTCCAATCCACCGTTTGTGCCATCCAAGCGTACGAGGCGTATCGAAGCCATCAAAGCCAGGCGATTCTCGTAGGATCTCGCGTCCCCAGTCTCATTGCCTATTTGTTTCGAGATGGTCTCCTGTATAACCTGGTGCGCCGTGATGAAAAAGAGACCCGTTCATATCTTACTGATAGATGTCCCAGTTTATTCTTTGTATGTGTATTTTTAACAGGAAGTATGAATACTGGAGGCTGAATTGTGTTGGAGTGGGTCAAATCATGAACATGCCTCTTTTCAGTCTTCTACCCGTATGCGTGTCACTTGTCTGAAACACAGCAGCTAACCATAATTTTCCCTTCTTAGACCCCTCTCTTTCTCATTGCATACTCGTAAGAGCTCCTATGCCATATATACCAGTCCTGCTAAAACAATTCAGGCCTACTTGGGCGATCACCTCACTTCTTATCTCAAGGTAATGATCATCATTGTTTGGTACGTCGAGCGCATTGATACGAAGTCCGACAGGATGTATCTCAGCCTTCGGGATGTAACCACTGCTCATGAGTGGACCGTGGCGACTGGTCTTACGCCATCCGCACGCTTTGCGTCGCGGTCGGTCCATTTGCTGGACGAAGAAATGACGTCGACGATCCATGCCGCGTGCGAACTTTGATCGAGTTGACAAGGTGTCCAGGGACGACGCAGTGTTCTACACAGCATGATTTTGCTGAAATTGTGCATTACTGTGCATATATTTAGGTTACGGTAACTCAAGTCAACATACACAGGACAGAATCCGTCCGTATGGTGTTATTGTGAGGTACTGAACCAATTTCCCAGCGCAATCCCACATGCCAGTCTAGGAGAAAAGACAGGCCCATGTGTCATTTTGCATGTGGATGAGATTTGAAAATGGACCTGGGGACGAAAAGCGCTCCTAGCCCGCCTAATCCAACCACTTTTCATCCTTGCTCACCAATTGCGGATCCATACCACCGTCCGGCATCTCTGTGGAGTATACTCTGACCCTAAGCCCGTCTGGGTCTTCGCACACGACAAGTTCCCCAACGAGGCCTCTGAGGGTGCCAGAGTTCGGCACGGAGTGTTGTGTCAACCATTCGCTCCAGGCTGTGATGGCGGTGGAAGAAGGTGCGGATAGAGTGAGGATATCGACATGGTTTTCCCCCAGGAGGGGGGCAGTTTCCGGGGCTAGCCGGAGCTCTAGCAAGATGTCCTCGTGTGTGATGGGGATCTTGTGTTCGGCAGGATGGGCAGCATTGGCAGAGAGCCGCAAGATGTGCGCGTACAGTTTGCCGGAGGGGTCGTAGTGGTCGTATGCCGGGATGTGGGTGAAGCCCAAGATTTGGGTGTAGAAGACTAGAGAGTGGGAGAGAGAGGAGACAGGTAGTTTGATATGGTGAAGCCCAGAGAGGGGTGGAATAGGGCTGGCAACAGCGGGAGTGGACATTGTGATGTCCGTTGTTCGAGGGTCAAATGCTTTGATTGTAGATAGGCAGGAAGGGGATGCAGCAGGTTATATACTGCCAGAGAGTATGAATTGTCACATAAAGCACGGGGTTTACATGCCGAGTTTCGCGTCACCATTTGGTCCAAAGCCGATATGAGCAGAAAAGACAACAGAAGGAAGCAGAGGGGAGACCTTCACCACGGATGATATGAGGTCAGCAAGCGATGTCAGCACCAGCGCCAGACGGCGTTGCAATTCGCAACTAGCCAGATATGTCGAGTAATCTTTAGAGGAGACGTAAGCCCGCCGTGACCTCCAGCAGTCCATTCAATACTAAAGCGCGCTCCACCAACGCCACATGTTGATGAGGGTGAGAGCAATGAAGGACTGAGATGCTCGAGGCAAAAATAGAAAAGAAATCAGTCACGTGATGGGGTGTCCGCGTCGAGGCACACGCGCTGGGCGATGCCTCCGAACAAGAGGAACTCCCTGAGCGCCCCAGTACGGTCGTTCAACATTCAACCTCCATCCTCGACGACGGCTACGATTACGACGGCGACCACGCCAGTCACGACGGCATCCTCGTTTACGGGAAAGGCATTTCAAGAATAAGGTAAACTATCGAGCAACCAGGATGTTTCGCGCGTTCCGCACCCCGGGACCCAGGCGTTCCCTCTCAACAGACTCGCTCAACCTTCAAGCCCAAACCCAAGTTGATAGACCACCAGAACCCAAGTCGACGCGCATGCAGCCATCTGGGAAACGTGAAGGAAAAGAGAACAGATATGAGAGGATGCAAAGTGCATCTGCTGTGCTTATGTTCGATCCTACAGCTAAGAGTACTGCTGGGCAGACGTGGACTGGACCTGCCCCCATTGCCATTCCTGATGAGCATAGCAAGGATGTACCCCGAACTGTGGGCGCTAAAGGGGGAAAAATTGACCGCGAGAAGATTCAAGAGCATAGTGAAATACAAGAGGCATTCGAGAAGATGCTGGTGCGCTGTGATAACTGTACTCCGTGATGTGATTGCTCACTGTTCATAGGATGACCTCCAAATCCCATCCTCCCTCCGTCCGCGACTAGACACTCTTGAAATTTCCGTTAAAGCAGCTATGCTTCGCTCTAGCAAGACACTCGACTTCATTAACGCCACCGGGCCGCCAGGTACGGCCTCCACGTCGCGTACAGTGCGGAAAACGCGGTCGCACGATTCCCTTGCCCCTTTTCATTCGCCGGGCCTTGCAGCACCACCTGAGCGGTCTGCATCGCCATTCATGTCCCCAATCTCACCAAGAAAACGCAAGGCTTATGATTCCCCGCCTGCCACCCCCACGAGACCTCGCAAAAGCTCCAAACCTCCGTTCGAGATTTTTGAAGTGGACGGTTTCACCTTCGTCACCGCTGAGGCATCTCCGAAGTCCAAACCGACCCTCACAGCCCCCTCCAGGCCCACCTCGGCTCACATATCCGAGTTCCCCAGCATGTCGTCTCTCGCGGATCTGTCGGATGCCCCTCCCCTGCCTGCCAAGTCTCGTATCTCAAGCAAAGAGAAAGCTTTACTCTCCCAGAATACCCCATCTGGTCTGGCAAGCATGCTGGCGAATACGAGCGCCACACGTGTAGACGTTGAACGAGTGAAAAAGCTCAGGTTGATGTTAAGGAACGAGCCGGCAAGCTGGACAGAAGAGTTTCTGTGCCATGGGGGATACGTCGCGCTTTGTGGCAGATTGAGGGAGCTCTTAGGTGTTGAGTGGAGGTGCGTTCCCAATTTAAGCACCGTTCTTCTACTCATCAATATTTTCGGTTGGCAGAGACGAGCAACACGACGACCGAGCACTGCACGAGCTTCTGCGGTGTCTAAAAGCCCTATCCACTTCCGCAATTGGTTGCTTTGCCCTGCGGTCCACCGTGCCATTCCCATTTTCTGCTCTCATCGAGCTCATGTATAGCGACAAGAAGCCAGGCGACGTGGCTACAAGGCAGCTGATGGTTGAGCTTTACTCAGTCCTCTTTGAGATCTATCCCACCCGTTCTACTCGAGGAAGTGGGAGTACTCCAGGTACTCCAACTCGTAGGGGTGCAAACAGCACGTACCCCCTTCCAGCACCACACGATTCCCTGTTCTCCCTTTTGCGCTCCATTCTGCTGATCAAGCCTCCTCCGACCGCAGAGGCCCACCTGTCCCCACCGCCTTCCGAAGCGCACGACTTCCTCCTTCCTCTTCACCCCTCCCGGATCTACAAGTCCTACCTTGCCGAGCTCTCTGATATCTGCAGGGACTACTTCTGGGTGTTTTGTCATCCCGCAAATGGGGTATGGGCGCTGGAGGAGGTAGATGTGGGCGGTGTTGAGAGACCCAGGGCACCGGGAGGAATGACGGGAGGAGTGGAGTTCGAAGCCATGAGCTATTTGGTGCGTTAGCTCTCCCTGCTGCCCCCGTGCTAAACACCGTGTGTTGACGTACCTGCCCGTGCTGCCCAATGTAGACGACCCATCTTAAGTTTACAAACGCCATGGCCAAAGCAGCGGCAGAGCAGAATCTGCCGCCAGCACATGAGTTGTCTGCCAAGCGTTTCCACGAGGACTTGTTCGCGTCAGGTCTAGAGAAAATCTTGGCGGTACGTAATTCTGATCTTTCCACTGAGCGTTGTCTGATCTGCTCCAGACCGTCCGCAAAGCATCAACCACGTACTACCCAGCGCTCCACCTCGAAATAGCGCGCTACGTCCGTCTCGCTGTCCAAGCCCGTTTTGAACTGCCCTGGTCCTTCTCGCGACTGGTTGGCCCACCACCAGTCGGGGCGCGTAAGCCCGGTCTCAGTACGCCGGACCGTTCGGTGGGGCCGGCGAGCGCGAATGGTGCGGCCGGGAATGGGGCAGTCGGGAATGGAAATGGGAGGAGCCCAGGAAGAAGACCGCAAGGCGGGAGGCCGCCCATGTTGCCGGCTACTCCGAAGCTGGATGCTATTCGGATGTGAACATCGTAATCTAGAAGTTCGACCGCCGTCTTGTGGCTCAACCCCTCTCCCTCGGCTCGCCCTGGCTTCATCCCCTTTTCGGATATGGCAGTTCCGGTGATGATCCAGCGTCGAATGGTCTAGCCGATCACCACAACGTTCAGTAGGTGTATCTGATGCGGAGCGCGTGCGTCACCCCCTGGCAGTTCGGGATTCTTCTTTTTCGCTTCTTTCAGGGATCGGCTATCACCAAAACAACATGCTTTTGCCCCGCTTTCTGATTTCACCAGACCAAACGATCTGCTTTCTTCGATCCTTCTTTGGGTGCTTCGCACCCTCAAGTCCAACACTCCTCGGACCACAAAACGTGTTTCACTTCCTGTTCCTCGTTTTCTATTCTGCTCTCGACTTGCTCCTGTCCAAAATCAACATCTCCACCATGATCATCACCATTACCATCACTGTTAACATGAATCTCTCGGTGTATGGACGGCGCATAGATAGCGTTGTTCTAGCTTGAATGCTGCTTCCCCAACAATCCTCCATTGGACGTTGCCCTTCCCCAAGAATTGCACAGCTGGCCGTACCTTTTGCTCTGATCTCCTCCCTGTTTCTGTCTTCCTCCTCGATGGTTGTCCCACGCAGGCGTTGACATTTCCCAATTTGGTATATATGCTCCATGTGCGTGTAAAAATAGACAGCGTTGACATTGATATTGATGGGAATCTGTCGTCGTCGCCATGCAAGGAGACAATTGGTGCAGTGACGTCCCCATCAGCTACCAAGTCTCGACCTCGCTGCAACACCTTTATGCTGTAACTCTTGCAACCTTGGCCCTGCAACCGGGAGAAAGGGTTTGACTCGAGACCATGTTTGGAGCAGTACTTACCCTCAGCGCTTACGGCTGTGAGATTATTGGAAGAATATCAGCGTGGCGTTCTTCCATATGCACCAGATCGTTGCGACGTCGCGCAGCATTCGTCCCACAACGCAGGTCACGTTGCAACATCTGCAACTGGATGGCCGGTACATATCAACGCTTCCGCAGCGCATCCGGTTGCGTTTCTCCTTTTTTGCTCTCGCTCGAATCGCAGAATATCGTATAATGTTCCACCATTCAGAAACGATCAGATCAAGAGAGAGACCCTTACAAAAAGGGTTAACATTCTATCCCTGGGAGGGCAGGGATGCAGCCAAGTTCGCATCAGAGGTCAGTTTCCGATCGCTATTGAAGTGGTCGTCTGGGTCAAAGCCTTTTCTGGTCGATCTTCTGCCCCATCAGCGAGGAACGAGCCAGCCGAAATTGAGCACGCCTGCAACCACGGGACTGTGAAGGCCACAGCGAGCGATCGAGTAGTATGACTGAGCCACAGGAATCATGGATGACACTTACCACGTCTACCCCAGATCGAAGGCATGTCCGCCGCTGGACATGGTCGGTGGTGATAAGCACTGCAATACAAGCTTACAATGATAACTCTCATTTCTGATGCGTTTTGAGGAGGGAGCTCGGAATTGTCAAGTTTAGGGCCTGATCGAAGACGTAAACAGCCGACACCCGCGGAGAACTTTTGACACGTGGCTCTTCGGTTGAATCACGCTCACGAAGCTTATACTCGATCTGATATTGATCCTAATCAGGAGAAAAGTTCCTGTAAACACGCGCAGCCAGCCAGCGGCCATCAGGGCTGTGCGAAGTGTCTTCTTCGTACAATTCTAACAGTATCGCCGGAGTACCAGACGCTTTGCGCCAACAAGACGGCCAACTTACTGAATTTGCTTTGTCCTCAGTGCCAGCTCACCCCCTTCGTCGGTTCTTTCGATAACAGTCGGCTGACTTTGTTGACGGGCAGACACGCAAGGCGAATCGCACTAGATGGCACCGGTCCACTGACGTGGGATTCCCCTTGTTGTTACATGCGGACTAGTGGAAAGGCTATGCGATCCTTTCTTTGACTGACGAATTGTCCAGGTCGCTTAATGGAATTTGTGGGGGACTTCAGTATGAATGCTATTCGAAGACGGATGAACGGAAGTCCTGATGGCTAGGCTATGACACTCCGGCAGCCTACTTGACCGCTCTTAAATGTGCTTGCAAGTAGGTTGAAGGAATCCCCGTCGTCCTTTCGCTGCAGTTTGGCTTGCCATGGATCCACAGTCGGCTCAAGCGGCGCAAGCTGAACTTGATGCGGAGGTACAAACTCTGTTCTTTGCAAGAGTCAACCAGTATTCTATTGTTACCGCTCTCGTACGCACTGGATTCCTTCGTCCTCTGCCTCGGCTGATGTATGATAGTGTCTAGTTCTGTACGACATCTTCCTCACTACTCCCGACGAGGTTCGCTCTTGCCAACATGCCCATCAATGTTAGTCTCATTGACTCCTAGGTTCGTCTCATCTGGAAGACACCGCGATCGATCACCAAATATCTTTACTTCTTCAATCGTTATGCCACCCTAATCGTTTTTATCCCTCTCGTTTACGGTGCGTTCTCGGTTACTATCGGTTCTGACGATGTTAATGCCGTGTCAAGTTATGTGTGGACTGAGCCCCACATTGAGCGACGAGGTTAGTCAACCTGCTTTACTCAATCAGCATATGCTAAAAATTGTCTCCAGACGTGCGTCTGACATGATCATCCTGAAAGGGGTTGTCTAATGTAAATTCCACAGATGTCTGGTTTTCCAAGGGTTTATGGTAGTTTTCGACAACGTGCAAGCGACGGGGGTGGTTGGAGGTGCGCTGTTCCTTCGTTCAAAAAGTTTGAATGTTAATCATAAGTCAGCCTTGGTACTCTTGCGGGTCTACGCCCTCTACAAGAATATGCGATACATTGGCTACATCATCGTCGCCCTTTGGCTGGTGTACTTCATTCCACCTTTCGTTACCACTTGTCACGCGCTCGCCACGTACTTCACAGGTGAAAGAGCTCATTTCACGGAAGAAGTAGAAACTAATGATCGGACCCAGTGCCCGGAACTCTCGTGTGGGTGCCAGTGGTGAATATGTGTGGACTATCCGGCAAGCCGGACTACCTGTGGATGGACTGGCCTTTCTTGGTGCGCTCACATCCGCTCATACTGCGTAACCGTGCATGAACCTTCAACACAGATTCTTGTAGAAAGTATTGTCTGTACGATGATCACGTACAAGACATGGGAGCATACGCAGTCAGGCGTACGAACACCCTTGTTGAGCGCTCTACTCAGGGATGGATGGATCTATTATGTTGTAAGTCATTTCTGGCAATGTTGCTGTATGTAGTACGAGATGTTGACCCCACATTAGGCGATGCTTTGTATGTACCCCATATTGGGCAGCCATATTTTCTAACGAGTTCAAGTGGGCGAAATTGCCAACTTGATTAACTTCTTGGTTGCCCCTGTAAGTACAATGTGCTTCATCAATGGCAAATTGTACTGACACCCTACGTAAGGATGCACTTTACTTCTTTGCTGTCTTGTGCGTCTTACGCGCTTCCTGATGCCGTGACTTAACTTCTCACACAATTTTCAGCCCGTTTTGGGCATTAAGCACTGTGTTGGCCTCAAGGTGAAGAAAACCCAGCTTATTATAAGACGTTAACTGACCGAAATCAGGATCTACTTGAACCTTCGAAACGTGGCGACTCCGGTAGAATGGGAAGCTGCAACAACACTCTGGAACACCGGTCCCTCAAATCGCTCTACCAAGCCAACTCCGGGCCCATCACGGCGCGCCGGGTCCGCAGGCATGACAACGTCATCGTTCAGCGGAAGCGATGATCTTGCAATTGAACTCGGCAAGATCAAGGACTGATGCGGGGCGTAACGAGCATGTGCATTTAGTATTACGTGTTACACATTGAACATTTGGGTGTGCGTTGTATCATTTCCTGTAGGAGCGAAGCTCCATTCGTTCCTGCAACCTGAATTATTAATAATAAGGTGTAATTTATATGTTTGCATACAAGCAGTGAATTGGATGAGATGCGTTGAGCTGAGCCATTTGGCCTTCCTGTGCATCCTCAAAAGAGGGAGACACATACCAGTCCAATATACCCAAAGCCATGTTGCTCAATCTGTTTATCGCAAAACTCTCGTGCCCGTCCCCTAAGCATTCCAGTGCATTGGAACTTGAGTTCCTCTTGCCGACGTAAGACGGACTGTGTCATGTGACCAATGCGGATGGGCCAATATTGAAACGATGCGATAAGACACCTCAAGAAGATCAGATCGTCGTGAAAGGCGAGGTGGTTCTGGTTCATCTGGAAAGATCGTCAATCTCTGTAAATGAGGTACAACGAGCCTATGGTAATGGCACTTTCGGTACTCAAATTGCATCAGTAGCTTGCCCAACTCATCTCTCCACACTGGTGTACTTTGAGTGGTGGGTTCAAGCAAGTGGGTCGCGAGAAAGAGGGATACGAGCATCCATTTCAGTGGGACACATTGTGATTGATGTCCCTTCTATTTGATTTCCATCCCTCTCCAAACCATTCCAGCTGAAGGAACTGGAAATCGCATCTAGACAGCCAGTTAGGCCCGAGAAGCCCAGTACGGGATAGAAGAGCGATCAAGAACCAAGCAGACGCTGAACTCCACCCAGCGTTTATTGAATACAGCAAGTGGATGTCTGCTGGCACTTCCTTCGCATGCTGGTCAGATAGCCACCCGCAAGTGAGAACACTAAGGCCAGCCCAAGAACCACGTCTCGGCGTAATAGCAAATGTGCGCATCTACGTCGTGGCCTCCAAAGTCATCGCGGATTTCCAGTTGATGGAGGGAACAGATCCCGGGCCATCAATACCGTTTCGACGTAGCAGGCAGGGTCAGATGAGCAAGAGACGAAATGGAGATAAAATGCATCACCCCGCAGTTGATAGGATAGAGCTATCCGAGAGCGGGAATAAATTGCCTAAAACAACATTTTGAGGTGTTTTGAAGGTTCAGACAAGACGGACACTGTACAGGCACTCACTGTTATTTAGGGTTGATATGCTTCTGGGGGCTGTGCTATGACGTAAAGAGTCCTCAGCTACAGAGCAGCTGGGGCTTAGTTATCCTTCAAGCTGACTGCTTCCAAATGAACTATCAATCCTAGTATTCTGGAAGACATTGAAAATGGCGCCCAAATATTGACACGACATAGTTGTTCCGACAATGGAAATGCCCATGCCAGCCGAGCGTCCTGATTGCGAGGCGAAAGCTAAGCGACTGGAATTGCCAACAATACGTAGCGGATTAGTTCATCTTTCTTAAATGCAATTGCGGCAAGGCTTTGAATAGCTTCAACCACCACCCCATGGACACACAGACGCCCCCAGCTGCGCAAGCTGACCTTACTGCTCTGGAAACAACTGTCTTCTATGCCAGGGTCAACCAGTACGCAATTTTGGCAGCGTACGTACGTACTTGATTCCGACGCACCCCCTCCCGCACTGAAGCGTGATAGTGCCTAGCTGTGTACGATATTTTACTCACTATTGCCGACGAGGTTTGATCTTATTCGCCGCACATGTCGATGTTGCATTCACGGAGTGCTAGGCCCATCTTATCTCGAAAGCACCGCGATCGATCGTCAAATATCTCTACTTCTTCAATGGCTATGCCATGGCACTGGCATTTACTCCGCTTGTTTATAGTGGGCTCTTTGTTGCTCCTAGTCCCTGACAATGATAAATACCCAGTCGAGTAATGTGTGGGATGAGCTCTTCCTTCAGCAATGAAGTGAGAGTGCTCCATTATTCCAAGGATCCAAATTGACTGTTTTCTCCAGTCGTAGGAAACAAAATGAACACCGTGATCAAGGTCTCTAATCGTGGACAACCAGTTGTTTGCACTTTTTCGCATTTCTACTCGTTTTCGATAATATCCAAGGCAATGGTATTGTCGGAGGTCAGCTCTTCTGTTCTTTATTCGATGATCACTTATTGTCTGTTATATAGCCTTGGTGCTGTCAAGGGTTTATGTGCTCTACAAGAACATGCGATACATTCGGTACATCGTCCTTGCCCTTTGGCTGATCTATTTGATACCGGTTCTGGTTTCGACGTGTCATGCCCTCGCCTCATATTACACATGTGCGTCCGTTTGTACAACTCAATAATCGAGGGGGATGCTAACAGATTGCGACAGTACCGGGAAATTTAGTATGGGTGCCAAGTCTGCATACGTGTGCCCTGTACGGGAGGCCGGCTTATTTGTGGCTGATTTGGCCATTCTTGGTGCGCTCCGTTGCAATATCACCTTCTCACTTTTCATGAAGCATACAAACACAGATTCTGGTCGAGAGCATTGTTTGCACTATGATCACGTACAAAACTTGGAAGTATGTTAGGTCGGGGGTCCGCACGCCATTGCTGAGCGCGATTTTGAGGGATGGGTGGATGTATTATATTGTACGCCCAACCAGACTGATACCAAAACAATCTAACTCCCTATAGGCTATGCTGTGTGCGTCCCATCCGTTCTGCTCAGATGTATGCTCACGCTGCAAAGTGGGCGAAATTGCAAATCTTATCAGCTTCTCAGTGGCTCCTGTCAGTACAAGACTTACCTCCTTTGGCGATTTATTTGACACAATACCCAAGGATCCACTTTACTTTTTTGCCGTCTTGTAGGTCATCATTGCTCAGAATTCGTTCTCACTCTCATTCTCATGGACTTCTTAGCCCATTTTGGGCCATAAGCACAGTAGTGACTTCGACGTGAAGCAGCCGACGCTGGTGTTGATGGATGCAGACTGACACGAAATTAGGATATATTTGAACCTCCGAAATGTGACAACACCGACGGAATGGGATGCAGCAACCACTGCCATCAACAGAAGCGAAGAAAGTTCATCAGACCGCGTTTCAACGCCGACTCGGTCTCTCACAAGACGAGGCGGATCCCCACGATTACCGAGGTCTTCGTACAGTCAAAGCGATGATGAAACATTTGGCATTGAACTTGGGGAGATGGACTAGAAGTGTGGGAAGACCTGGCTTGTGTATGTTGTGATCGCGAGTTGCTTTTTGAAGAACGTGGGGTATGGCGTCTTGTATTATGTGCCTGCTCTGCCAATTTGACTCGTTCTGAGATGACATATAGACGGGCATCATCGTCCCCAGGCTCCCGAAACCAGAGCCAAGACTGCGTCAATGACTTTTGGTGTCTTCCCTTCGCTTCCTTTGTACGGGGTAATACATACCCAGGCAGGTATGGGGCGCCTATGGAAGACCAGAACGCGAACGCTCAAGGCCAATCCAAAGAACTCGCGCTGTTTGATGTTGCCAGAAAACCCACACAGAATATCATCTGTTTATGATCGGAGAATGCCAGTTGGACCGCGGCTAGAGATCTCAATCAGGGGCGTCCAGATAATATACTACTGTTGCAGTCAAGCTGCTGAGAACAGATTCCAAAACGGTAATTGTGTAGGAACAGCGCACGTCAAGCGAATGCTCTAGCCGAGATACAAGGCGAGCCCTTCATCAGAATGCGGTAAAGAGCATTAGCAGGCAGCACAGCACACAGCAGCTGATGGGGTGTATATACATTTAGGGGCAGCACGGTTGTCAAATAAACGCACAAAGATAAGGCGGTTCAATCCATGCACGTCCATTGCTCCAGCGATCACCACACCTAAACCTCCATGAAGCGAGAGGTTGGATCCGATCCGATCCGATGTGCTGTCCCATCAGCCTATCACAATGTGGTAGTGATTGCAGGGTTGGACTAGCACCTCCGCCCGAGGAGGAGAAATATTCTTTCAGAGTTCCACAGAGCCATGCATAGTACTAGTACGAGCAGCTGCAGAGAGAACGTGCGCGTGCCTGAAGTCATAGGTAGGACCCCGACAAACGATAAATCGGGGTCTACACTTCAGGCCATCGAAAGTGTCCTCGAGTGTCAGCATGAGTCGACTCCTTCATCGCGGGTGGCATCATAGAAGAAACCCGTCAGACTGTTTTCTGGACTAGAGCATCGGTTACTATTGTGGACTAGAACAAGCGCCGCGGCCGGTAGTTCCCGCGTGCTATGTCCACAATGGGAACTCTTTGCCAATCAAAATCAGTGCGGCGATCTGAAGGCAGATGAATCCAAGTTCTGGCCTCTTAACTTAGGAAATATGAAAGAGAGCGGTCCTGCTCTCCCTTAAACGTGAGCAGCAAGCACCTGGAGGGATTTCAAGTATCTCTCCCTATTGATCAACCATGGCCAATCGAACACAACAAGCTGAACTTGCCGCTGAAGAAACAGCACTGTTCAACGCAAGCGTTGAACAATATTCTTTTGCGGTCGGACTGGTATGCATTTGCTCTATGTATAGTCCTCCTTCACTTACGTACAAATAGTGTTTGGTCGTGTACGACATTCTACTGACAACTCCCGACGAGGTATGCACTTGCAAAGGCGACTCGAGGCAGTTTTCATCAGTATTAGGTTCGGCTTATCTGGAAGACACCACGCTCGTTCATCAAATATCTATACTTTTTCAATCGTTATGTCGCACTGGTCCTCTTCTTTCTGGTCGTGTATGGTGCGTCCTGGAGCACGCGTCCTGAACAAGACTTACGATTTGGGACAAGTGATGTGTGGACTGAGCCCTCCGTTGAGCGATAAGGCCAGTCGGTCATTATATTCCTAAACGTCAAGCCAACCTTTCGTCTAGTCGTACGTCTCAGAACGATCGTTCCAAGTCAATATGTTGTAATGTTGGCTCCCCAGGTGTCTGGTTTTCGTAGGGGTCATGATGTCATTCGACAGTATCGAAAGGAACGGGGTTGTTGGAGGTCAGAATTCTGTTCCTACCATGAACAACGGTTGAAGTCTCATTACCCACCAGCTCTAGTGCTCCTCCGAGTCTACGCGCTCTACAAAAATATGCGGCACATTGGATACATCATCGCCGCCCTTTAGATATTGTACTTTGTGCCAATTGTGGCTGCAACCTGCTGTGCTTTGTCCACATACTTCACAGGTGAAACCTTCCAGATGATGAATTGGGAGGGTGGCTCACAGCATATGCATAGCGCCTGGAGCTGTCTTATGGGTATCAGGCCTGAATATGTGTGGGGTGTGCGGCATGCCGCCTTATCTTTGGGTGGACTGGCCTTCCATGGTGCCCTCCTATTGAAGCTCCTCTACTCAAATATCCCTGAATCTTCAAATACAGATCCTGGTCGAAAGCATTGTGTGCGCCATGATCACCTACAAGACTGGGGAGCATGCTCGGAGTGGAGCGCGCACGCCTCTACTGAGTGCAATGCTGCGGGATGGGTGGATCTACTATATTGTGAGTTCTCTGCAATCTGTGCTTCGATAGGGAGTACAAGGCGTTTACTGTCTTATAGGCTATGCTTCGTATGCCGAGACCGTGATGCTGAAGCGCAGTTGTTGACCTATTGAAGTGGGGGAAATTACAAACCTCATCAACTTCACGGTAGCACCAGTAAGATATTGACCGAAAATATATCTCTAGATGCTGACCTCGGATATCAGGACTCACTTTACTTCTTCGCTCTTTTGTGCGTTATGCTTTATCACGTTATGTGGCATCCATTCTCACACAATTTCAGCCCGTTTTCGGCGCTGTCGACGGTGGTAACTTCGAGGTAAAGAGACCGTTAAGGAAGGATGGGCGTGAACTGAGCAGAATCCAGGATTTATCTGAGCCTTAGGAACGTGACAAATCCCAAGGAGTGGGAAGCCGCAACGATCGTCGCGAACAACGTTGGATTGAATGCGTCAAACCCCTTACCAAATCCTCATCTGGCGTTCCCGAGGCGAGAAGCGCCGCCGCGCATGGCTAGAACATCGCACAGTACAAGTGACGGAGCTCTTGAAGTAGAGCTTGGAGATCTGGATGAATGGAGTATCTAGCACCGCACGCTGAAATCATGAGTTTTGTATATCACCGTGAATATTATTGTGTGGTGTGCATCAGCGGCGCTTCTTCCTTTGTCTTCTACGAGTCAACCTAAATAAAACACGCGCAAGTCATGCAATCACACATGAATAATCAGCGGACAGCGAGGCACCCGCAGTTGATAGTCGCTTCCACACGTCCAAGTGAAACACCCTGCACATCGATGGAAGGAACTGGAACTTCCGCTTCTTGTGTGTCCTCAGCAGTGAGGTAGTGAATGGCAAGGACTGGCTCACAAGCGCGAGCGGAGAGTGTGAGCCAATGGGATACAAGTGGGTGTGGGGAGGAATGAGGCATATATGCGGTGTTGAGACGAATGCAACCCCGATTCAGCGAGTATGAGACATCGGCGGTTCACCAAGTAGTTGACCTGGGACATTTGTCAAGTATCGGTAAGCGTGCACAAGGTGTATATTGTAACGGGCGAACGGACTTCGGGGCATGCGTGAGCCAGAACAATGTGAGAGGTGTAACAATTGTGGTCTGCTCGATTCTGGGTCAATGTGTCACTATAGCATAGCAGGATGTGTTTATGAACGGAGAGCATTCAAGGCATATCATTATTCTGAGACTGTGCGTTTTATCGAGATTTCTCATTGTCGAGATATCATCATCCCAGGACCGATGGTTGACCATGAGCATACAGACGACAGACCTGTGGGAGACGTAGACGTTCGCGGAGAGGTTGTGGCACATCAACAGAGACCGCAGACATGAAGAATCATGCAACCCGCCAAGAGAACGGCAGTGTGAGCGAATGATTCTGTCGAAGAATAGAACTATCGGCACATCGAATCGAGGAGGTAGAGACAAGTACCAGAAGCGGCAGGTAGCAGTGGAGGGTGCATAAGTAGTTTCCGGATGCAGGAACGAAGAGCTAGGAACGCTAAGCGAAACGAGATCCGCTGAGGACGCTTCGCTCACACTCGCAGCTGCAGTGATTCGAGTAAAGAGCCAGAACGAGGCAATGGGTTGCGCGCAGTCCCGGCCTTGTAACATTATTCTGATCTTGAGCGCTGTAAACCTCACGCTCGAACCATGCAAGGTTTCCTGAAGGACCGCCCAGCCTCTTCGTGCTATGCGTTCACATGGAATCCATCAACAGATCACAAGACCACACATTCGATTGATTCGGCCAAACCACATCGACTTTCAAGAGACGCATACCTACAAGACACCTAGTCAAACAATCTAACAATGTTTTGAGCCATCGGAGAGCGGCAACATTACTTCTTTGCGAAGTAATCGCTCAACTTGCCTCCGGCCTTCCCACCGGATTTTGTGGTTGGTTTTGGTTTTGGTTTCGGCTTCGGCACCTCTTCTTTCACTGTCTCCTTCGGCTTCGCTTCCTTTTTCGCTGTTGACTTCCTTGCCTTCTCCGGTACCGTCAACTCTTCTGATTCGGATACTGTTTCGTACTCTGAGTAGTCCTCCATCCCTGCTAATCCATTAGTAGTAGTCTAACTCCTGGGAGGTTACGCACCCATGTAGCCTTTCTCGTCCGTTGTCATCCGGCTTTTAACAACGCGTCTCTTCTTCCTGCCATCTTTCATAAGAATGGCTCCTTCCGCGGGTTTCGGCTTCGCGCGACGCTTCCTTTGGGGTTTGTCGATAACATGAGCTTCCGATTCGTCCGGTTCCTCTTCCGGTCGTTCATCGTCTTCAAACGCAGCCTCCATCCGCTCTTCCTTTGCTGCAGGCTCAGGTACGGCAGGCTCAGGTGCGGTAGGCTTCATTTCCACTACGTCGAACAGGTGAGAAAAGCTCGGAGCTGTCAAATGAATGACTCACCGTCACTAGACTCGTCGAACATCGCCGCCAAGCTTGCTTCAACGGCGGTTTGTGCTTTTGGAGCTCTTGAATCCGTCTTCTTGGTCCTACGGCGGGCAGAAGTACCTTCATCCTGTTCCTCCTCTTGCTTGACAGGAAGCCGTTGCTTAGATTTAGGCTTAGCCGTGCTGTTGGACCTCGAGCCGCTGGGTTTCACAACGGGCGCGTCTCCCTCATCCTCTGATTGAAGGAGCCCACGTTTCCGTGTGAGACTAGAACTCGACATTTCGGTCTTTTGCTGCTGCCCGAGTTTCTATATTCTGTATTAGAACTGCTCGAACGGGTAAACAGCTCGCATATGCGCACCTGTGACCCTTCCTCTTTCTTCACCTTCACTTCCTTTGCCGGAGGAGTCGCCTCCTTACCCGACTTCATCTCCTCCTTCGGCTTAGCAGCGCCAGAGTTGAGCGTTCCGTTCCTGCTCGAACTCTTCTTTTCGGGGGCATCCGGTTTCTTTCCTGCAGGCTCGACCTTCTTCTCTTCAGCCTCTAGCTTCTTTTCCACAGGGGCTGGTTTCACAGCAGGGGCGGAGGGAGGCACCGCTGCCTTGCTCTTGCCTTTTGTGTTCGATTTCGCTGCAGTTACCTCCATGGAATGATTAGAGCTGCGTCCTAGTCCCTTGTATATAACTACATACCGAAACGTCGCCGATGACCACTCCAAACGCACGTAATTGGTCCTGAGAGGCGCCGGCATCCGTAGCACGTACCGCATCCTGAGCAGTGGCCAACGTACTTGCATCCTGTAGTTTATCAAGGACTGAAATCTGATGGAAAATGACAAGGCACACACCTTAATCGGAGCAGCACTCAAGCTATATACATGTATGGTCCTCACCCGCGCAAAATCTGCTTTAGTCGCCTCCAATGTCTCCTCTGTACACATCACCACCTTGTCCGTTCCCAATTCTGTCACATCAGCCTCTTGTGGCTGAGAGGAGGATGGAATATCAAGGTCCATCGTATCGTCCATTGCGCCATTTGTCGACTTTGATTTGGGTCGTGCTAGACCCGTTACAATAAATGTCGCATGGATGGCAGAGGAGTTGTTATCTTTAGCGGAGTGATAGAACTCCGCAAGTGCACTAAACATATGTCAATCAGCATATCCTAAAAGCAACGGGAACGCGCGCACGTTTTGGCTTGGTTCACATGGATCGCCTGCTGGCGGGACAAGGTGCGATATGTGACCTAGTCGCGAATCATCAGGCTCATCGTCCTCTATAACAGCAGCGGAGCAGCGCATACAATCTGCTTTTCATGAAGTACAAGTTTGGTCAAGAGATCAGAGGTCGACATTATTATCGCAGGATATCGCTAGAGTAAGGGGGTCGTCGCCCGGAAGGTGGTCATGAGCGACGCGTCTCTCCAACACGCGTTTGACCGGAATCACAGTCACGCGAACACCAGATATGAGATTCAGAGATGATTTATATTTGTTCACTTGTACATGTCATAACATACTGAACATCAGACAGGGGCATGAATATGGCAATAGAGATAGAGATACAAGGCAAAGTGAGGAATGGCTTCGTGCCGTAGTTGAGGGAACTGGAAATTATATGCCAAAGAAACAGAGGGCAGTGATGTCCAATGAAAGGACGAACACCAAAGGTCTATCAGACAGTTGATCAGCGCGGTTCAACAGTGCATGTCAAAGTACGCACTAGTGCTTGTGCCCTTCTTTGTGCTTGTCATGGCCCTTCTCGTGACCCTTTCCGTGACCGTGCTCATTGCCGTGCTCCTTCCGGTGGTCTTTGCTGTGACCCTTATGCTCTTTGGGCTCCTTTTTTAGCTCCTCGGTGTGGTCTTTTAGCTCATGATGGCCTTCGCCCTCGGTGTGCAGAGCACCCTGAACGATGTCAGCAAAAGATCCAAACATTCCACAACTCGCGACCACTCACCGGTACGTTGGTGTTACCGTGCCCGTGATCCCGTCCCATTATGGTGCAAACAAGGTATACCGATAAGGGTGAAAGGCGCTTAAGATGTGTCTGTGTTGCGGTGAGAGCTCGATGTGCTCGTTGTGGTGACATTACAATCAACCCAAGGCAGGGTATATATGGGCCATCGGCGGATCACCCTGCCGCTTGCTCGGCGGGAGGCGGAGAAACTGGTGTATACGCCATCTTCAACAGGCAATGCAGGCACACATGAGGAACACCATAGTCAGCCAGCCTTCCGTGGTCCGCCGAGTGAAAGAGCTGAGGTATGAGCGGAAGGGTAGTGCCGTCGATGGCGGAGGGGCACTGCAGCCAGGGCCCGCCCGGTGTTCCGCTGCGGGAGTGAACTTGAAGTGCCGTCGTAAGGGCGCTCACCTATGGAATGATATTCGATTACGCCCTAATTTGGACCCTGGCCCATTGAGTTAGCGGTGGCTGAGCACAGAGACCCCGTATAGACGCCTCCACCTGACACCCTTTTCCACAAATATGTGGGGAAGGCGATGCTCGCCCTTCCCACAAATGTGTGAGTATCACAAGGGTCTTTCTCATCCAGTACTTATCCAGCAAAATCAGGCATGTATGTGATTAGACCCTACTACATGTCACATGTAAACCATAACAAGTACTTACTGGTGTCTGAGTCTTGAATTGCCTGTCTGGTATCATCTTGTTCTTGCTTTCAGTCCATGAACTCGGCTACCACCACCTCTTCATATGCTGGTTGACCTCGTAACAAGTTTGTGCCAAGTTCCAGCTCACAAAGCACTTGCTTGGGCTTGTACAAGGCCTCTGTCACATCAGCAAGGCCAGTCCAAGGCATGGTCAACCTCACGGCACTTTGGGATAGTCTTGTAGCATGGTGACAAGCAAACAACATGACCTCAGCACCAGCAGACATGCCTGCTACACCAAGACCAGTGGTCCCTCTCTGGTGGTGCACACTCATGCTCAAGGCCCTGGCTGCTCACCAAGAAGCCAAGGAACTGGACCGAGCTTGACAGCTTGCAGGTGAGTTCTATCTGTCATTCACCTTGTGCTTGCTCACAACCCCATTTTAGCTGCACCTGAAGAGGCACAAGCAAACTATTTTCTTTCCCAGCTTCTTTGGTCTCAAGGCACACCACCCACATCTGTTGATGACTTCAAGAGCTTTGGTCAAGATCAAGATGAGGCCATGAGCATGGCCAATGAAGGGGAGGAAGAAGGGCAGGTGCAGAGTGCAGTAGAGTTCATGTTGTACTCTTTCAGGTGTGTCTTTCCATGTTCCATTCTGTTTTCCTCATCTCATGCATTTGCACAGGAAATGAAAACATTGATCATGACCAAGGCATCATTCAGGAGTGGGAACCTATGCCCAATAGCTTGGGGCTAGTCATGGGTGCTGGGAAGCCCAAGTTCCATCTCTTGTCAAAGCATTCTTGCAATGGTGGCATGAACATGGCACTCCCCCTGTTCATAGCAAAGGCATTGAAGCATCCCTTGGAGCAGAACAAGGGGAAGAACAAGGGGGTGCCTGCATTCAACTACTTGATTGGCAAGATATGACACCCTTCTACTTGATAAGTACTTCTTTACAGGATCTTGTAGGTATTCAGTCACATACATTCCAATGTCAAGAAGATGGAGAAAGCCTGTTGGCCCACATCCTTCAATGAGGTTACCTCCTGACAAGCCCAGTTCATCCCTGCTTGGCCATCTCTTTGGGCATGACAGAGGTATTGCATCATGCATGCCTCCGTGCATATGTATCTCATGAGTCATTTGCAAGGATTCTTTGTGATGTTCATAGTGTACATCTCACAACATGTGTTTATGCTGAAGCTGATGCATTTCTAGTGCTTATACAAGCCATACTTCCAACATCAGCTTTCTTGTGCATATGACACATATATTCTTATTCTGCTGGCCCTTGGACAACATCTTTGGCAAGCCTTTGGTCAAGATACCCCCAATTGGAGGATGCTTCATGCTTGCTCAGCATGCAACTACTGTGTAAGCACTTGGATTTCCTGCCATGTTTTCAGCTCATGAATGTGTGCTTGTAGTTGGAGGGTGAGCCTGAGCTCCCCCATATGAAGCTCATGTCATTGGATGGTAATAACTCATCCAAGTGTTTTCTCCATGCCGGCCATCAAGACCTTTGCAAGTTCAAGAGCGATTACATACTGGCACCTGAGTTTGTGGACCAGTATCAGAAGGCAAGCAAGGTGTTGAGCAAGAAGAGTGCAGTATGTTTGCCAATCAAGTGCAACCACATGTCATTGATGAACATCTTATAGCTGGAGCATACTCCTGTTGTTGTGGAAGATACCAAGTGCATGGACATGTGGAAGACCTCCAATGCAAGAAAGTGACCTTCTCACTGGATGGATGGACTTGACACCACAGGCAATTTCTTGTGCTCATGCCATCATGGCATCATTGTGTGCTCAGCAGACATGCTCCAGAGTGGAGAACTGTAAGTACTTCCTCTTGCTCATGAATGGGTGCTTAAGACAACTGTCAGTTCCAAATACCCTCTTGCATGGATCAGTAAGGTCCTGCAAGTCTATGGGCATGGGCTCAGTAAGAGCCATTGTAGACAAGATCTACTCCCTGCCAAGAATGCCTGACTCACTGGATGATTGGTACCTCTATTCTGAGAGGTTTGATCAACAGTGGAGGAGGCTGGAAGCAAGGAGGAAGATTATGACTAACTCTAACAAACCCAATCATGCCACAACTAGGCAAGCCCAGCCCACCTTCAAGTTCAATACTCCTAAGGCCCCTGTTATCCCTGATGGGGAACCTATGGATATTGATGCTAGTAGGGCTTCTAAGCCTAGGGTTGCTTGCTATACCTGTCACCAACAGGGTCATGTCTCCAGGAACTGCCCTCAGAATATCAAGAAAGCTATTAGGGCTATTCTCATGGAAGACTTTAATATGACCCTGGATGAGGGACAAGGTGAAGAAGAAGAGAAGGGTTTTTGAAGAGGTCAACAGGGGGGGACATGTCCTGTTTGACCAATAGCACCACTCAGTTCTTGTATGATTGTCTGAATACTACAATGAAAGACTCCAATAGTGTTCAGACTCTAACTTCAACTGAGGGTAAAATCATGTCCAGAGACTCAGCTGTAACCCAGGTATCCTCTGAAGAAGAGCAAGGAATGCCTCCTGTCATTCACCTGAGGTCTGTCTCTACC